AGTAGTCGTCGTGGTGGTAGTAGTAGTAGTAGTAGGTGGTACTACAAGGGGGCAAGGGTCCCTTACGGGTGGCTGTGCCGCGAACAAGAAGCAAAGAAAAAAGTTCCAGGCAGTATGCGAAAAAAACATCACGTTTTTTAAGCACTGTCGCCGCGCAGGAAGATTTTCAACATTTCTGGCGCGATCTATTTTTTTCCCACCCAAATCTAGACCAAAACGCAAAATTAATTTCCTGGTTGCTAATTTTTTTTCCGGGGACTGGGATGCTGGCACAGCACAAGCATGGAATGTGGAATTTGAACCCGGCCAAACCAGATCCGCTATGATCTTTGAATTTGCAGACAGATTTGCAATCTGGGCGACTCCAGCTATAATTTCTGAAGCAGGTCGACAAGCCTCAGCCAGCCTACGTCGTTGTTCAATGTTGTTCCTACCAACAGATGTAAAACAAGAAAATATACCATAGAGCAAAAGAACCACCAAACCACCACAAAATTATCCAAGTTTGAAAAGGAAATCTATGTTGGCATCTGCTCAGACTTGCATCAATGTGCCACTAGTTTCTAGCTCGGATGAAATTCTGCTCAGCATGAAAATACGTGTTTTCAAGTAAAGAAGTGATACCCCATAGTGTAAAACAATGCTGCTCGCCTCGCTCGCTTTTTGGGATCGTGCGTTCCAGGCCGATAATTTCACACTGCCTTGAGCTTTTGCAGATACCAGATGAAATATATAAGTCCATCTAAAGTTGTTTGTTTTTGGCAGCTAGGGGGTTGTGTGGGAATCTTGGCAGGGGTGGCTTTGCAGTACTGCAAACATTACAAGTATCAAAGAAAGCAACCATGCATTTGTTTGGCAAAGTTAGACATTTTGATGGAAATTCCCAAGCTAGCCAATGGGCCCCGAGAGTAAACACAAAAAATATGACACGCCAACACCCTTTGGTATATTTTCAAATTTATATCGCATTGGGGCATGCCTCACCATCATCATGTGCCGAATTACATTGATCATATTGATCGTCTAGGCCTAGGCCCCGTGGAATTTGTTTCCTAGCAGCGATTACCACATCATCACACTTTCATTGGACCATCTCCCGTGTGCCCACAAGTTTGTTTCCGGTGATGTCCTCTCCTATTTTAAGGTTTTACTCCTGCATGAAGTATAACTACATATCTACTTTCTCTGTCAGTCTATTGTGTACAGCAATAGAAAATGTTTAAATTTAAACATACCAACTTGCAAATGTCAGCTGTGTCTAAGGTAAAGAAAAAAAATTCTACAAATGATCAACCATTTGAAGGACTACTCATTTCATGAGGCTATAGATCATGCAAGGTCGTCGTGAGAGAGCAGGGTTTGTCACTGAGGCCTCATTGACGAACTGACCATCAAAGCGCCCAAGTTCGCCCATGGTTCCTCAAAACATGCAGGTGACCACAGAAGTTTCGTCAATGAAACAGGCAGTTCGTCAATATTGACGATCTGGTTCGTCAACGCGGCCAAGTTCGTCAATGGTTCGTCAATGGTTCTTCAATGGTTCGTCAATAAGTGGTGACGACAACAAAAGTTCGTCAACAACCCAGAAAGTTCGTCAAAATTGACGAACTGGTTCGTCAATAGTTCGTCAATGTGCAAGACGTGTTCGTCAATATTGACGAACTTTTTGGCCATTGACGAACTTTCTGGGTCATTGACGCAGTTTTGCGGTCGTCAGCAGCTATTGACGAACCATTGACGAACTTGGTTGCGTTTATGAGCCAGATCGTCAATATTGACGAACTGCCTGTTTCATTGACGAACTTCTGTGATCAGCCGCATATTTTGAGGAACCATGGGTGAACTGTCAAACTTGGGCGCTTACCAGTTCGTCAACGATTGAGAAATAAAGTGACAAACTCTGCTGACCACTTTGGGCGATCGATCGATGAAGCAAACAGGACTGCTGGAATTCTTGACTGCAGCCTCAGGGTTCCAGGCAGAGATGTTTTTGCATTTTTTTGCGCACCTTGATTTTTTGATCACGTCGCATTCAAATTTGAAAAAAGAATCTCTGATCTATAGATGTATGGAGGAGGATCTTCGCAGACCCAAAACATTCAATCATGAAACAAACTGACTGCTCCTGCTAGAAACTAAACGGTGTTGAAGTTGTGTGAGGCTCATGCTCATGCAGTTTGACTACACACGGCACTCCCATGTCAAATCTGAATATCTAAATATATCTATGTAAAACTCATCGACTGATGTGGAAAGAGCCGGCACCCAGTGATTGGTGATAGGCGGTTGATGTGAAGAACTCTGGGGAAGAGGGACCGCATGAACAAAAAAAGAGGCCAATGGAAAACAGGAACTAATTTTTTCAAACGTCCACAAGGTACATGAATGATATTTAAAATGTATTTAACACACAAAGGTGCGCAAAAAAAAAACGCAAACAAGAACCGGTTCTGCATGGCGCACACGCACAACACTTCTTACACCTTCACCGAGATTTGACACTTGACAAAACTCAAATTATTGTAAAGTATTCAAACATAGCGCAAACATACATCACATCATTACCTCGTCTTTTGTTTTCATCATCACACACAGGCGCAGCTGTGAAAAGTGGAGAGGGTACTGCACTCACACAAGCAAACAACTACAATCGAAACAAAAAATGGAAACAATCAAACGTGAATCGGATTCGCATGCTGTAACCCTTTGCCTATTTGAATTGGCAAACTCTACAAATCTGCAGAATGTGCTGGCCACCATCCACCCACCAAAAACGGAAGTGTAAAAACAGGAAACAGTAGGGGAACAAAACAACACCAAAACCAAACAGGAAAACGGTTGAAGGATGGCCTTTTTGTCAATTCATCGTCATTTCATCCAACATGTTTCTGCTTATCAGATAATACTATATGCAGCAGGCAGAAGGGTCTTATCTATGAAATAAATTCTTTGGTTGGTTTTGATGTACCTGATTAGTTGACGTCTGTTTATCTATCATCTGATCGGTGTCGGGAAGAAACATTATATATCATAGTAAATCAAGATATTCCCGTGAATGGGTCTGGCCCCTGGTTTCTTCAGCAACGAACCACCTTCTAAGAAACAGTTCGCGCACAGTGCGAAAGTAGTGCCCTAGAATCTGTTGTATTTTGACCTCTCCGCTGAAAATCATTGTTTTTTGCTAGAAAAAACTGGAACGCTTTATTTTCAAGGTCCCTTTGACGCGGAAAGGGCTGGTTGACATTAGTAAAGGTGAGTTGAAATCATTTTAAACCCCCAAAATTCAATAAGATACGAATAATAAAATTGGTTTAAAATTGTTTAAATATGTTTAAATCAAAAAAGAACCCTGAAATCCCAACAGAAATCCACTACTTTTCCCCATCACTGAGAGCCCCAGCAGGTCCTTCGACCGCTCCCAGCGGCTCCAAGAAACAATGCGCCCGAAGGTGCTGCGGGGGTGGCCTTGGAACTGACACTGCCACCATTTCCACCAAAAAAAATGTAGAAATTTGGGGCTTGACTCATCTTGATTCCATGAAAATCTGCGAAATCATCAAAAAAATGACCTTCATGTGATCCAAATGATCCAATGATGTAGAAATTAGGATTTCATCTTCAAACTTGGTTGGCAAGCGGAAAACCCTGTAATTACATGATGTTGGAAGGGTGGTTCGCGAAATTGGGGTACCCGAATCGCTGGTTTCCTAACAATAGTCAAGGAGTTGTAATTTGGAGGATAGTTTGGGGTGTCATTCTTAGAATTCCCCCTTTAATCAACGTTATTTTCCCCAGAATATGGAGAAACATATTCCAACACGTTCTAGCAATAATCAAAAACGAAGGATTTTGGTGTTTGTTGATGATGTCGACTGCTATTCAACTCTTTGGAGAAGTTGCCCAGTTTTTGGGCCCAAATTCTTCCAGCCCAGGGCGATATTTTCACCAAAATCATTAAAGTCCCTTGACCCTCACATCTCATCTCTGGGAGCATCACAGCTTGCAAGGCCCTTGAAGCTGAAAGAATTGCAAGGACCATATCCTGCAAAGAGCAGCACCACTCACTGAGAGTCCGGTGGGGTCTTATGTCCAACATCGCACCCATGGAGCAAGAAAGAGACACAAACTTTCTGGTGGCATCAGAACTACTTCGGCAGGGGCTCAAGGGATCTCAAGCGGCTAAGCAGCCTAATCCCCAAGCTGCACCATCTTTTTAGCACCAAAAGTCTGGAGGAGGCCGTTCTCCATCTGAGTCAGATTCTTGCGTTACCGCACCCATGGAGCAAGAAAGAGACACAAACTTTCTGGTGGCATCAGAACTACTTCGCAAAGGGAGTTGCAGGGGCTCAAGGGATCTCAAGCGGCTAAGCAGCCTAATCCCCAAGCTGCACCATCTTTTTAGCACCAAAAGTCTGGAGGAGGCCGTTCTCCATCTGAGTCAGATTCTCGCGTTACCGCTGGTACACGGCTTGGCAATGACACAGGGTCTCTAGCCATCTCGGCTTCTTGGTCCCTGTAAATGACTTGAAGCCCAGGGACAAAATCTAGGGTGTTGATGATTTCCTTGATGTAGAACTGCCCTACCTCAAAATCCAATTCCGGCACCACTAACATTTTGAGGAAACGGCAATTTCTCAAGGCCCTAATGATCGCTGGGACTGAGATCCCTTCAAAGGATCTAATGATTGCTCTTGAATAACATATGCCCGTCTCTATATCATCAGGGCCGTAGCAGGAAATGTCATCGGCGGCGTTGATGATCAAGGTCATACGGATCTGCATTACATCAACATGGATTGCGGAGCAATTGCTCTCATCGCATGATGGCCAGTTTTTGCAGCGCTGCTCCGAAGGCTTGTGGAAGTACTTGCACTTGAAGTTCCCGCAGTGTCGTCCGCTGGGGCATTGGTCCACCTGGGCTCTGAAAATAGTGCACCCCTAAATCCATTGAATCCGTTGGTTATTCATACTTGTTCCCTTGAAAGTGGCCATGTATTGGGCAGCAAATTATGATTAAATTTCTCCGTTTTTGGACAACCTGACCTTGTAATCCTCTGGAAGTGGCTCGTCCATCCAGCCGGGTAGCTCCAGCAGATTCGGCTCCCGCCGCCGCGGGACCACCGGTACGACCCAAGGCCTGTACTCGTCCCCTCCATGGCCATTGGAGTGGCGTGGGGACCTAGCTGACAAGCAGGGAACATCATCTAGCAATGAGGTAAGACGGTCTTTCAGTCTCGGATCTTCTGGCCCTAGCCACTCCATCTTGATTCATCTTGAGCCAAATGCAGTTGCCATTGTCGACATAGAGTACTGGTGTGATTCTAAGGTTGTTTTGACACTTGAGCGTGCAAGCACTCAACTGCAAGATCATCCCCAGTTCTCCCAAGGCAACGGGCTCCTTGAAGATAACCATGGGCATTCCAAAGGTGTTCAGAATGCCGGCCAGGCTCCTATCAGCATCAGGTGATAGCCTTGGAATGCCTTGGACGTTTGGAAGCTGACCCCAAGGACGGCTCCTGCGAATCCAGCTCTGGGCCGTGGCCATCTGCCCCAAGTCCTGCGGTTCTCCGTTGTCCTCAGGGCGGCATGGCGGCCTATGGTGGCATATTCCCGGAAATATCCAGCATTAATCCAGCCATGTCTAGCCATGCGAAATTGGGATGCCGACCAAAAACAAGGGATCCTCCGCTTCTTCATCAGACCTCGGCCAAAACCAAGAACATGAGCAGCTCTCCTGAAGCGAGATCTATGTCAATGGCTTGCAGTTTTCCTTTACAGCTTGTAGGATCCTCAAAGGTGGTTTTGGTTTACATGGTTTGGCTATTGTTGCTGCCAGACTTTTTGAATCCGTTTCTTCGGCCTCCAAAAGGGTCTGTCTGAACATGATGCAAAACCCTTGGAGTTGGATGGTTTTCTATGGTTTTTGATTCAGCTGTTCCCAACATTTTTCAGGTACCAAAGCTACGACCGACCGTACCAATGCTCTGAGATTGCCACAGGAACGTGAGGCCTGCGTCTCCCAGGATGTCGCGGAGCTTCTGACGATCCTGGCAGAGTGATACGGGAATTTTCATCAATGGGGAAACCCCCAAAATAGCTGGATGGCTGAATAATGTGGCACCCCCATTTTAGGAAATACATATATGCTTCTATGATGTAATATTGATAATATTTGATATCAAATTGATGCAGAATCAACAAGACCTGGTACTCGCAATTCTTTAGATCTCGTGGCCCACAGCGCGGGTCCTGCGTGGTTTCCAAACGCTCACCCAACTGTAGCATTCCTTCATGCCAGACCTCGGGCCATACAAATCCGACAAAAACGACCACTGATCTACTCTAACAGTACCACTGCTCAGTCTTGCAAGGTCATTCAGGTCACTGAGGTTGTCGCTATTCGCTGCAAGTCCAAGGTGGATATGATGTTTTGGGCATATTGGGAGATGCTTTGAAACCTCAGTGGCAGACAACAAGGAGAAGCGAAAGCTCTGAGCTAAGCTCTTGAGGCAGCGGCCACCGGGTGAGGTCCAGGAAGGGTGAGATTGCAAAGGGCTGCGCTGGCCCAAAAGTCCTCGCTGCCTGACGTAGCTCTTCACCCGGTGATCCCTTGTCATTGAGAAAAAGGAGCACCAGATTGTGGAGGTTTTGGAAGGATCCAGTTTGCATTTGTACTTTGTGAGTGGGCTTTGTCTGAAAATAGGCTCCCCTATTCCAGTAGTACCGCACAAGGCGGTGACGGAAGTTTCAAAAATAGGAAACCTATAGGAGAGCTTGGTTGTTGTGAATCAGGGATGGCAGAGCGAAGCCACTGATGGACTGAAAGGTGCTTGATCTCTCTCTCTCTTTCTCTCTCTTTCTCTCTCTTTCTCTCTTTTTCTCTCTGTTTCTCTATCTTTCTCTGATTATCTACCCACCTACCTACTGATCTATCTGTCTATCTATCTATCTGTCTGTCTATCTCCCTATCTATCTATCTATCTACCTACCTATCTAGCTGTCTAGTTTTCTAGTTTTTTGTCTATCTATCTATCGATCTATCCATCTATCCATCTATTTATCTGTCTATCTGTCTATCTGTCTGTCTGCCTGTCTGTCTATCTATCTGTCTATCTGTCTATCTGTCTATCTATCTATCTATCTATCTCTTTCTCTCTCTCTCTCTCTCTCTCTTTCCCTCTATCTCTCTGTCTGTCTGTCTGTCTATCTATCTATCTATCTATCTATCTAATCTAATCTAATCCAATCCAATCTAATCTAATCTAATCTAATCTATCTTTCTATCTATCTATCTATCCATCTATCGATCTATCCATCTATCCATCTATTTATCTGTCTATCTGTCTATCTGTCTGTCTGTCTGTCTATCTATCTGTCTATCTGTCTATCTGTCTATCTGTCTTTCTATCTATCTATCTGTCTATCTATCTATCTTTCTTTCTTTCTTTCCGTCTACCTATCTATTTTTCTATCCATGTATCTATCTTTCTTTCTACCTATCTATCTATCGATCTATCTGTCTAGCCATCTATCCATCCATCTATCTATCGATCGATCTATTCATCCATCCAACAATCTATCTATCTATTAATATAACCTAATCTAATCTAATCTAGTCTAATCAAATCTAATCTATCTATCTTTCTATCTATCTATCGATCTATCTATCTATCCATCTATCTATCTATCTAATCTGTCTGTCTGTCTGTCTGTCTGTCTGTCTATCTATCTATCTATCTATCTATCAAATTCATCCTATCTATCAATCTAAATAATCTAATCTAATAAATCTATCTAATCTATCTAATCTATCTAATCTATCTAATCTATCTAATCTATCTAATCTATCTATCTATCTATCTAACTATCTATCTATCTATCTATCTATCTGTCTATTTATCTCTCTATCTATCTATCTATCTATCGATCTGCAAGATCAAAAACGAAGAAATTCTGCGAGACTTCCTTAATGTTTGAGCATAACAAAGTCCAAAACGAAACAAATCTGCGAGATTGAACTTGACAACATCCGAAACGAAGCAATTCTGCGAGACTTCCTTAATGTTTGAGCATAACAACGTCCAAAACAAAATAATTCTGCGAGACGTCTTCATTTTTTGAACTTGACAACATCCGAAACGAAGCAATTCTGCGAGACTTTCTTAGTGTTTGAGCATAACAACGTCCAAAACGAAACAATTCTGCGAGACGTCTTCAATTTTTGAACTTGACAACCTCCAAAACGAAGCAATTCTGCGAGACTTCCTTCCAAAATGGAAAGTTGAGTGCAGCGCTGGGACCCTCGTACCAATGCGTTTTGCATTTTTGTCCACTCCACCTGTGTAAAGTACTGCGCCTGCCACGAAAAATTGATGCCAGGCCATACGACGTGCCGCCTGTCACGCAAAATCATCTAAGATCTGAGCTACAAAATGCAACCCCTCTCAGGAAATCAGCGCCCTGACCTCCTAACATCTCTGATGAACATGTCTTTTGTAGTGCGCGTGCCACGCGAAATGCATATTTGAAGATCCTCTTCAAATGTCCCACGGTGCACAATCCCTTGCGCCTGCCACGCGAAGCGACATCTGAACGTCCAAAAGTGCCCCGTACCCCTCAGTTTTTTACACTTTTGACTTGGAAATATGCTTCGCGCCACAACGGCGTGCACTTTTTCGACATCTGAACTTCCAAAAGTGGTCCGAGAATGGTGTGCTTTGTACATTTTGACTTCGAAATGTGCTTCGCGCCACAACGGCGTGCACTTTTTCGACATCTCAACTTCCAAAAGTGGTGCGAGGCTGAGGTGTTTTGTGCATTTTCACTTCGAAATCTGCTTCGCGCCACAAAGGCGTGCGCTTTTTCGACATCTCAACTTCCAAGAGTGCTCCGACCCTGGTGTGCTTTGTACATCTTGACTTGCAAATGTGCTTCGCGCCACAACGGCGTGCAATTTTTCATCTCTCATCTGGCCAGCTGGCTCCGCGCCCGCCGCTTTAGCGGGCCTACTTTTCGACCCTCCGGAGCCCAAAATCATTGGAAAAACAACACAGTGTTTCGCGACTTTCCTACCTTTTCGCGCATCTGCATCTTCTTTCTTCTTACTCTTTCTCTTCTACTCTTCTTTCTTCTGATCTTTCTCTTCTCTCTGCCTCTTCCCTGCTCAGCTTTTCATCTGTCCATATTGTCGGAAGTTTGACTTCTAAACTTCCTTCGACCATCCAATGGTTAATCATTATTTTCCATAAATTTCCCCTATGAAATGGCAATTTTGTATGGTAAATCCCCCATGCACCGACCTACCGGCCGCCTCAAGGATGACTTTAACCACTCGTTCTGGGAAGCTGCGGGAAATCAGCATGATGCCTCAGATGGCTGTCTAAAAAGTGGGGATACCAGGATACCATTCTAAAGAAATATACATAAAGTGTTGCTATTGTTATCGTTGTTATAGAGGAACAAGATGATCAACCAATTGATATCAATTGACCTCTTGACTTAGGGGAACCCAAAGTTCAAACAAAACCAGATGGATTCAGATGGGGTGAACCTTGCCTTGCTGCAGAGATTCGAAGCATCTTGACAGGGTCATAGAGGGTTTAAGCTTATTCAAGGCTGGATTCCGAGCAGGCCGTGTTCAAATAAAAGGCCTCTCAATTTCCGGATTGCATCCAAAGGGCGTGCTTCTTCTGAGGGCACCTGTGCATACCATCGTTGCACCAATCTGGTACCTTCAGAAACAGATGACAATATGCTGGCAGAGCTCATCTCTAGACTACACCAACATCCGCAACATCGCTGCACTGCCCGGAAGGGTACACACATCTCTCAAAGAGGTCTCGCTCAAGTCCGGATTCTGCAAGGCCTCTAAACGAGGGGCACAAACAAGCGGCTGTGCAGTCTCTCGCCTAGCAGTGAGTCGTTCCTGTTCAATGAAATTTGATTCCGATCATACTTGCGTTTTGCTCTTCTCGATCAAATGAAATCAAACATTTGACGAATGGCGTAGTCATTGTCGTCTTGTCCCTCATTATAGCAATAATAATAATAACAATAATGATATATAATAATGATGATGATAATAATAAAAATAATCATCAGCGTCATAATCATCATCATAGTAGTAGTAGGAAATAGATTGTGATAACAACTGTAGTAACAACAATAGTAATAGTTTTCATCATCATCATCATCTTCTTCTTCTTCTTCATCTTCATCTTAATCTTCATCTTCAGCAGCAGCATGTGTGTCTTATTTGTCATCATCAGCAGCAGCATGTTCAGCACCGTTTCGGTGCTACCAAGCTGCTAGGAAGTGCCGCAGCCACCGTTCGCCTGAACAGCAACAGATTTCAGCAATGCGATGGAACATGACCCAACATTCTATAGAACCCAGAGCGAAAAGAGGGGAAACCCACGTGTTCCAAGGAACCAACACCTCCTGTATCTGTCTATTCTATTTGAGCGGTGATACCAGTGCTATCTGAAGTGCCACTCCTAGTGATAATGGCGATGGTGGGAAGAATCTTACAAGCAGGCTACTACAGGCCTGTATTTCCAGCATCTCGTTCAATAGCACCAAGCCACCTGGATGTCAAATGCAATCACGACTGTCAACTGCCTAATTCTCACCAAAATCCTCTTGTGTTTCCAGAATCTGTTAAGCTCATGGATGCCGTTTTGGAATGTTTCATATATCATAACTTATAATGTTTGTAATGTTTTATTAGCCGATGTACCTGTCTGATTCTACACCGGAAAAAAAATCAGCTACAAGCATAAGCGTGGCACAGACCCAGAGCGTGCCAAGTTCCACCTTCGCACGACCCAAAGTGCGAAACGAGTTTCCCGCGTGTCCCACCAAGATGCACCCCGCGTAAGAAACATACAACTTACTGATCTTAAAGATCCCGAATTAGACTGACTACTGTTGTGCTGGGGATACGAAAGCACGTCAAAGTTAATGGCAACTCCTCAATTGGACTTTCAGGTTTATTTTTGAAATTTCAAGTCAGCTTGACTCAGCTTGAAGAACTCAACACTTCACCATGAGACAGTACCTAGTAGCAGAAGTGCCTTGCTTCTTCGCAGCAGCACCAGTTAGATGTCCTCGTTCAAGCACCTGTGATGCCAGGGAATCCGTGGCAAATCAGCAGGTCTAACAAAGGCGCAGAATGATGCAAGTACTGTTTCAACATCTAGAACAGTGTCCTACAAGTACTGATTTGATATTACTGATACTACTGATATACTAGTTACTAGTACTTCCAGTTGTGATTCCGTCAAAGGCATTGCCACAACGTTTTCTGAACACAGCCTGTCATGTACAGATTCTATTCCTCATGCTAACATTTGGCACGATCTTAAAGGCTGTACAGCATGCTCATTTTTATGGTAGACATACTGTAATACCGATCATACATAGCCACTGCACCAGCCGGCCAAACTGCACCTGGCGCAACTGTTCTTTGGTTCCAAAGCTGCCCAAATGCACATCGTCTACGATAATGCACATCTTTCTGGCAGGCCTCAGCTTCGGTCAACTGAGTCAACTGACTTTGCTCTGTTTTCGGGGGCTTCACACTTGGGGTTGAAAATAGGGTGCCCCAAAGTCTCATGGCTCATTTCCCCCCCTAAAACACCATAAGTTGGGTGGTAAATCCATGGAAATCCCACATTTCTTGATCAAAAAATCATGTGTAAACCATGGAAAACCCACAGCATGGCCGAACCCGGGGTCATGACATAGAGCTCAAGGTCACAGTCCCTTTCCTGGACATCTTTTCCTGGATGTACTCTGAGAAGCCACCCTGGCTGGAGGATCTGGGATCCAGAAATGGCAGTGACCGATACCTCAAAATGGCGGTGATAAAACCTGGGATTTGGAGTGAGTTACCCTATTTTCAAACACATCCATCTGATGTCGAAATCATTGTGCCTTGAAATCAATGGGAAAGCTGCTGCTTCACATGCCAAGAGGTCATGATTGTGTTCGACAGCACACAGAAAGCATGCGCTGAACATGTTCGGACTCGCACGGAACATGGTCTGGTGGAAGATTTTTCAAACATAGGAGGTTCGCCGCAGAGAGGCAATGTGGGCAGCGCAGGAGATCAAATCTGTGCTCTGACCTTGAGAGGAAAACCCATGGAAAAACCCCTCGGACCCCAAGGGGACACCTCAACCGAAATGAAATTCACCGTGTTTCACCGTGTTTCACCGTGTTTCCATGTATTGAAATTGGATGGAAACATGTGCTAACCTTGCCGTAATGACTCGGCCCAACAAATTTTGCTGCAAATGTCAGTTCCCATCCACGAAATCCACAAACATCTAGCAGTTTCTTAAATTCTAGACCTCAATACTGTAAGTGGTTGGGAGAACATGTGCATCACCCTCAGTCACAACTATTACACTCATCCGTGCTTCTTTGATGTGCTTAGTGTCTTATATAATATGTCTTAGTGTCTTCGCATTTTGTTTAAGCTTCACAGCGTCTTTCCCCCCTGTTCCCTCTGTTTGGTGCTCCCGGCATACTTGCCATGGAGCGAACCAATTCTTCTCCCAATGCCTTAAAATCAGGTGACGGATGTCTGTGGAGAATGCGTAGGGACAAGGTTGGGGGCTTTTGACAGAACGCTTTTTGGTATGAGAAATGGGACATGCTCCAAAATATCACTTTAGCATAATCTAACTTCACTATATCATGTCAGTACATGTCAGTACGATGTAATGGGGAAATGTTTCGGTAAAGTTATATAAATCCTATCAGGGCCTCAGGGCTGAACTGACTTGCCATTTTGCGGCCCCCAGAGGCGAAATCCAAATCTGCAATCCACATACACCTGCACGTGCTGCAAGGCTGTGAACCAAGCTCTTTAGGGTCGGGTTTGGATCTTATGTTCCAATGTAGACAATCAAAACTGGTTACATGTGTCAACATCATGCTGCCAAGTGGACACTGTTTCTTGTCAACAAAAACAAGCTGTTGCGAGCTCATCCACTACATATGACACGAATCCCTCGCGTATGTGAAGGCTGCAGGACCTGATGGCGAACGAACAGCCGCACTGCTTCCCTTTCCTCCAAAAGGAACTGCAGCTGACGGTCAACTTGCACTGGCAATTCCCTTACGTATCTTGCACCATGGCTGCTCTTTTTCAGGCAATTGACAATATCATGCAATATCCGTGTTTGATACTGTTTCATACTTTTTCGTACTGCTTGACACTCTTGATACCTTTATATATAATACTTTTGGAAGCCTGTTTCATACTTTTTCACTTCTTCACTTCATCATGCCCGATAAGTCACACGCGCACACACGCACAAACACACACACACAGAGCAGCAGCTCCTGTGCAGGGAGGAAGATACTTTGCTCGTCAAACTCCTGTCAGTCGCATTGCTAAATGGGTCAATGAATTTAATGAAGGTATGATGAAGGTCACATCCTGGACATCGCAAAATGAATCCGTCCTCCGGTTCTGGCAGCACATCGCGCAAAAGCTTCACCGATGTCTTTGGGACTGCATCGCGCAAACCTGGCAACAGCATCTGGGGCACAGTATCTTTGGATCTTCCAAGTGGGGGTCCTGAAATATGTGGCTCGAATGATTCCACCAACAGCAAACATATGCTTCAGGAATTGGATGGAATTGGTTTTAAGCTTTAAAAATGTTTTCAATACCTTGGAATGACTTCTGGATCCAGCTTCTTCTCATTTCCACAGACTTACACCGCTGTTTCTTGACTTCCTGGCCTGTCAGGCCCGCTGCATTGCTGGCAATGCGGAACTTCCAAAGGTTCTCTGGATCAGAGTGGACCTCAAAGGTGCCGCAAAAAGAACCAACATGACAAAGCCTGCTGGCGTGTGTTCACTTGTTTCATTCGCTGTCTCTCATCTGATCTTGACTACGTTTCTGTCACCGTTCCGTGGACAACCATGTTTGGTTGCAAAGGCAACGCTGCTTCGTACAAACTTTTCAGATGGCCACGACAAAGCACTGGACATTCGTTGATCCTCCGAATTTATACATAGCATTATCTTCCACATTATGATATGTGTACATATTATATTATATACATACAATATACACGTAATGTACATATACGATTGAAACCACCCGGATGAGGTTCCAACCTGACTCCCCAGTACAGAATAGCCACGCGGCAGCCCATCTGTGCCTGATGGAAGCATGGTCACTTGAGTCACTTGAGTCACTTGAGCCACTTGAGTCACTTGACACCAGGCCACAATGGTGATCCACGTCCTGTGCCTTCAAAGCTCGTGAGCAGCCAGGCACCAAGCCTAGCGATTTCAGCAAGGTGCTCTTACCATATCTAGGTGGCACGACGCTGTAGCGTCCTTCGCAGCGGTTCTTTTGAGGTCTTTAAAGAATGATAGCAACCATTCCAAAAGCAACATCTTACTGAAATATAGTGAAATGGTGGTAAATAAAGATAAATAGATATAAATAGAGTCTATCTGTTTGTTTTTCTCCATTTTTGAGACTAGAAACGTCCCAGGTTTCACGCCTCCTACGCCCCTGGCTATGGAGAGGACCACCAAGGACCCAAGCCTTGGGATTTTGAAGCATCACTACGAGGTCAACCAAAAGGACTTCTGCACAGTCCCATCAGTGACTGCAAATATTTTAGGCCCTTGCCGCACAATAGATTGACCAAACCTGATGAAGGCGAATGAAATCTCTGAGCAATTGCGGGCATGATTTTGTCGGGGTGAGCAACAATTTCGGTGTGCAGCGTCTCCATATGTCTCCATGCTTGCGCTGCGTCTGGGCTCTGGGAAAATGCCAAATCTCCAAAACCGGACAGTAAAATACAGTTTTTATAACATGAAACATATCACATCATATCACCCATTGGACGATGTGGGGAAAAAGTGGGTAGCATATGTAGCATACATCTCAATAGCCATAGCCATAGCCACCAATTGCGAAGATTTCAAGATCTTCGCCTCCAAGAGGGCCATCTCGCTGTCAAAAAGCTCTTGCTCTTCAACTCCTTCCTCGCCCTGTTCGGATGAGATCATCAGTCAGCATGGACATCTTGGAGCTGCGAAATGAAGGCTTCGGGAATAGATCAGCAATCCAACCGGGCCAACCAACCGGGCCAACCGGGCCACCCGGGCCAACCGGGTCAACCCAACAGTGCTACCTAAGTATCCGAACTTGTGAACGAACCATGCACCAGCCTCCAAATCATCCATCCTTGGCAGATCAATGGCTACGGATCCAAAAATCCGGCATGATTACAAGATATTACAAGTAAGAAGGCTTATCTAATTCCACATCTACCAGATTCACAAGCAGATTTACTGCGAGAAATGAGGACTTCTTGAAATGCGGGACCCCAAGTTATCATCCAAGTCATTGATCATTTAAATGCAAAACCAGGGGTGGTCCCCCAAGTCTACCCAAAAAAAAAAGATGTGACTGAGACAAGGGCGGCAAAGCTGCTCGCCAGGTGGCCTGTGGCTCTGGGTCTTGCATTAGCTGGTCGCACATCTGACCCCAGCACCGGGCAACTGCCTCCAGCATGTGCAGCAGCTGATCAGCAGCCACCATCTGGCAGATCCAGGGACCCAGGGACCGTTTTGGCACGCGGGACCCAGCACTGGATGTCTCGTTGGGATCCCAGCCACTGTGTGACTCCGGGCCCCTGCCTCGTTGAAGCCTTCCTGCACACCTGGACTCCGAGATTTCCGAAGCTCTGTGTCAATGACTTCTTCGCTCGTTTCCGCTGGTATAAAGATGTAGAAAGCACAATTTTCGTGTGGCAAGTGGAGTTCAATGAATTTAAACTATACATTCAGATGATATAGAATTATGTATGCATTTACTTATCATTATCATTATTATTTGTTATCACTATTATTAATTATTATTATTGTTATTATTAGTTATTATTATTATTAGTTATTATTATTATTATATAGTGACGGACAACCACTTAGAACATCAATTTTTCCAAAATTTCGGAACCTGTTCTTAGAACATCAAAACAACTACACTTAGAACATCAAAACTGTTCTAAATACGCACTTAGAACATCAGAAAAACAGATACTTTGAACATCTCCTTTGATTTTTTGCATACTTAGAACATTAAACACACATATACTTAGAACATGTCCTGTTACTTTGGTAAATCTACATATATACACACAAATACCTTGGTGAACACCATACTTAGAACATTGAACACATATCCGCCGACCCCGGCAAAAATTAGGCGGCAGGGGCGGCAGCCCTTAAATAAATATATCTATATATAGTATTATATAGTGTATATATATATAATTAGCGACGGACAAATACTTCGAACATACATATATGTATGGTTCCCATTGGTTCCCCACTGGGATGTTCTAAGTGTAGCTTGGAAATGTTCTAAGTATAGGTTTTGGGTATGTTATAACGACTTCATACTTAGAACATCCCCGCTGTGACGGTTTTGAAAATTTTTTTCCAAATGATGTTCTAAGTGTTTGTCCGTCACTATATATATATACAGTATATACATAATATGTGCAGGGTCAGTTGCTCAACTCCACCCAGCCTTTGAGGTCAGCATTGATGCCGGATGCCAAGCGAGTGAGCCATCCCAAGAGGGTCTCGCGCGATCCGAGGAGCTCCCAACATCCATTAAATAGTAGGGTCCTTGGGGAATATCATAGGAATATCATAGGAATATCATAGGAATATCATGGGAAAATCATGGGAATATGTTTTAAAAAACACAATGTGGTACGCATATGTACACATGGCGTTTGTCCAGCAATTGGCTGTAACCGCAGTTTGCCATTTGTAGTTGCAAAATTATGATCGTCGGTGATAAGCCTCTAAAGATGACTCTGCCCAAAATTTTGGACAAACTCTCATCAAACATGCAGACAGTGTTCATGAAGCTCGTCTGAAGGTCAGATTGTGTCAGATTGCTAAATCCTAACTATTTGCCGATTCCCCAAGACACAGCCGAGCATGGAGATAGTTTTGGAATGGTTTGGAATGTGGCCGAGATGTTTCTGAATTTGTTGACGACAGCTTTGTTTGGGCCAGAGTTTTTCCTACATCTGGGCTTCGAACAGAGGAATGGAAGCCTCGGGGCAACGCATCACAAAGGCTGAACCGAAACTGAAACTTATGACATAAATGTTACAAATGTTCAGTCCTAGTATCTGCTTTCCAAATGAAGCCGCTTTGCTTCTGAGGGAATCTTTGACAAATTCCCCGTCTGTTTCACAGGGGGTTGCAAAGCTGCCCAAATCTTCTGTCTTAGAGCTCTTGCCCCTGAGTCTTGCACGTGCGGCTTTCCCAGCAAATCCGTTCTCGATTCGATGTGCAAAGGCCTGTCCACCGTTATCCACGTCACATTCAATTTTGCATTCTACCTTTCCAAACCTGGCTCAATTTTACAGAAAACGTGAGTCTCGCATCAGCTAGGGAGCTCACTTTGGATATACAGCAAAGCTCCTTGGAGGGGGTCCTAGGTGAGTAAGTGTATTGGGATATATTGCGATAATTGTCCAACCATCGAGCTTCAGCCGGCACATCTTTCTGTGTTCCGATTGATCTCTGTGGCCTCCAATAGATTCTGAATGTCCAGCATCTCCTGCTACACTCTGCAGCACAATGCATCTGTCAAACTCGATTCACGATCTTGGAGAAAAACGAGTCAAGTTTGGGATTTTGTTGGCTGCTTCCCCTAGTCAAACTACAGCTTTGTTGCTCCTGAACTGGACAAAGCGCGCATTGAGAACAAAAGGCCGGAGAAGCTTTTTCCAGGGAACGAGTCCTGACTTGACTTCAACGTGGACTGACTGGTTGCGAGATAGGAAAGCAGCTGTGGTTCTACGACAAACAGTTTCCAATTCCATCCTCTTCCCAGAGTTATAGAAAAGGCGGGTAAATGGCAGCTTTACTGACAGAAGAGGCTATGCTCCTGTGACATTCATCTTGACATTGTCAGGATTGAGTATCTCTCACCCGCTCCGAGGTTCCCCCTGGGTATCCCAACTCAAAAAGAAGTTCGGCTGACAACGGCAGCTGGGTGTAGACTCCCTCTGTAGAAGAAGTTTGCCTCTTTTCAGTCAGAAGATGTCAGAAGTATGAGTTGTAAATCTGTGTTCAAGACTGTCCGCTTTACATGTCACTGAAGTTTGAAGGTTGTCTGTTGGCAGTGAGCATCATTTTCAAAGCAAAATCCTCAAGGTTTCCTTGCCTAGTGGACAAGAGCGGCCAAACATCATCACTCCAACGTTCATCAACCTGCCAATGGCGACTATCGTTGATGGGCGCGCTAATCACACAATTCCATGGGGATTTGTTCAGCTGATGGCAGGGCCTCCCCATCAAAGACAATCAAATTCTGTTGCCTCAAGCTGCGATGCTCCATGAAAAAATGGCCCCGCTCTTGGAATGCTACCAGTACAGTGCACAGAACCAAAGTCACTGTATTGATGGATCATGATAAATTGATAGAGAGAGAGAGAGAGTCACTCCATTGTGACCAATCATTACAAACACATACAAACACAATGGAATTTCCCAAGCTTCCAGCTGAGATATTGCCTCACCTTCAGCCTTAGCAGAGCACTTCGCACCATCCAACCACATGACTCTGGCAGCACACAGAAAAGCACTGCTTTTTGAAGATCCCAACCCCTCCACCGTCACGTTCAGCAATAGTTCTGAGAAGGCATGACCTCGGATGAGGGCATCTTATGGGATCCGTCACTCGGACCTGCTGATCTCTTTTCAAACTGTAGACTTTGAGTCCAGGGTTTCAAAGTTTCTCAAAGTTTCAAAGAACCATCCATGCAACCATAGTAAGTCGTACTCATCTACCGTAGCTACTACAAACCCCAGAGTTAAAGTCTACAAAGGCCCTTTTCCTACAGTAGATTTGATTAGTATGATCATCACCCCACTACTATTTGATCTGGCCTCAAGTCGCGTCTGAGTGGGGGAGCCATTTTTAAGCTGAGAGTGTGACATCATCTTCTGAAACGTCAGCTCACCTGAAATCGCCACTCACTGAAATCAGGCTTTATAGCTCGCACGTCCATTTCGTCAAATCTTTGTCGACCAACGTCAACTTTTGGTGAAGAAAGGCCTGCTCCACCCTCTTCATCTGCCAAAGCCTGCAAAATTCAAAAGGCAATCGCAGCAGAAACGCATCCGTTTCAAGGCCCAGTTCGCACCTGAGGGTAGACGTACCAGAGGCAAAGCCTGAGGCTTTTGCACTGCTACGGATCCAGCAGAAACTCAGTTCGATGGACCAACAAAAAGTGTGGGTTTCCAAAACCATCAAAATCACAAGATGTATCTGTGTCAAGATGATTCAAGATGTTACCATTTTGATGAAGGGATCCCGTGGTTTGAGGGTTCTTGATGGTTGTCCCCATGTTTGAAACAAACCAACAACAGATTTCCTTGGTGCCAAGCTCTTTGGCTCTCTGTGGCCTTTCCAGAGGGTCGCCTTGAAGGAGCCGGGCTGAATATTTTGTTGTCAGCTCGATCAAAACTCGCGTTGGGGTGGCTTGGGGGGTTGATGCCAGGGACAAATCAAGATAATCAAGAGATTTATCGATTTATCTGAGGCTGCGACCCTGACATGAGGCAGCTTGCATTGCCTGGCTCCAAGCTCTACTGGTGGCAATTTTACAGGGATGTGGACAATTGTGGACATATCACCTGTGCATTCTGTGACTGCAAATAGAATAAATAGAAGGCATCGTTCAAATACATGTTCGGACTTCAGGACAGCTTCTCACCAGAAGCAGAGACAACTGTCGAATCGTCTGCAATGACATCGATGCAATTTCTGTGATGTGGAATGTTGATGATGTTGCTGGCACCTATGGTTTGTTCTTGTTGACTTGTTGTTGCTCCGGAGGTGGCAGGTGTTCGTTTTGAAACCACTCCATGATTAAAAACAACTGAGAAACAAATCAACATGTTTGCACCTCGACGATTTAGTTTGAAACCATGTTTCTCGTTGTGGTGTATGTTCAGGATGTCCAGTATGTATGGAAACCGGCGTTGAAAAGGGACACTGCCATGTCTCTGGACTTGGAAGTCAGTTTTCACAACATTAGCATCTGCGGAGTAAGAAGCCTTGGGGAACCACCACACGGCTACAAGCATCAACAATCGTCAAAACGGATCAAAATGGATCAACAAGGAGCCACATGGCACGTCTGAACGGATCGGCCTTCAGTAATGTGGACTTTCCCGAACAAGCTGGGCCCATCAGTACAGTCGCCTCAGGGGCTCATGTTCTTGGCCAAAGTTGCCAAGACGTGGGGTTGTCTGGAAATGGTGGACAGACCAAAAAAAAAATGAGGGAGAAAATGATGATAAACATTGATGAAACATTGATGAAACATTGACAGAGTTTATCAAGCTATTGAAAATTGGAATGTGAGGTGCATGATGCGAGAGGATGGGAGAGTCATGCGGGAAGGGTTCGCAACAGATTTCGTTGTTCTTGCAATCCCAAATCTCAAGATCCAGGTGTCTGAAAATGTGGCAAAACCCCTTAATTTAGGTGGTTTTCCATGGTTTTCCCAGAATCTCTGTTTTCAATTTGCTTATCCTCAGCATTTCCCATAACTTTGGACTTCGCTCGGCGAAGTCCAGCTCCCGCCAAGCGGCGCGTCCATTGGACACGTGCTCATAAACCTCCACAGCGGCCAGAGCCAATCGGCTCGAGCCCTGGCTCCCAACGGCCGTGGATCTGTGGACATTGATGTGGATACTAAATGATACTAATGGATTGGTTTAGGGGAAAATCTACAGGAAATCCATTGATAATGGATATGGATGTGGATATGAATGGATATTACTGATATTACCAGCTGTGGATTAACCAACTATTGGTCGATTTGAGCCACAATGATCACAATGCTGGGAGGCTTGATCCGGAACTCCTAAGATATACGAATAAGTGGCCACAACTTGCCATTTTTGGGTATGGATGAAAATGGGTCGTATCCCTTTGAGATGTGACATAACCATCAAAAACATTCTGGAATCTTTTGGAATGTCATGTCTGGAAATGTCGCTTATGAATGGTTTACGGAAGAAACTGAGGTTCCTTTCCTTGCCAAAATACCCGGAAACAACTCAAGTTGAACTGCATCAAGGAGCCTCTTCGGCATCGACCGACCTGAAACTGAGGGGATGGCTTGTACCACCGGTTTCTTGCTGTTTGGCGATGATATGTCTTTAAGGAGTTATATAAGTTATATACATAGATCAAAAAGCATATTGCCATGCTCTAAAATCCGTACAGATGCGCGTGGCTTAAAAAGATACACTACTTGATCTATTTGGGGGAGGTAGAGGGGTGCGCTATTAGCCTATTAGTGCATATTAAACAGCAGGGATCCGGGTGTCCAAACTTCCGTCAAAAACGTTGAGTGGTACACTGAGAGTGTCCATTGGAAAGTTTAGCACCAGCAGCGATTCTACTGCAGGGGCTCAGTGTCGAGCGAAGCCAGCTCTCAGCTTCCGACTGATATTTTCTTCCAGGAGAAAGACCTGAGGGTTGTGGAACAAATATGATCAAATATCATTTAAGTGGCACCCATTATGGCCATGTATGATCCCTTGGGCCTCACTTGGCCGAGATCTCTCTCTCTCTCTCTACATATCTCTACATGAAGAGGCCGCTATGGCGGCTAGACCTCATGTAAATCAAGGCTCTGGGGCACCAGACCAAAATCTTTGCAGAAAGTCTCTACCTCGGAATCTGTAGGGATCTTGCAAAGGGACATTTCTGCAGAGGCCAATTTGCTTAGAGCTTACTCAGTTGCAATTCAAGACAGTGAGCTAAGCAGTTGGATTTTGGATCATCAATCTTTCCTGTCACTAGCCCTGTGGGTAGGAATACAAGCCGGAGGATTGGGAGATCACTTCCCAAAACAGCAGTCAGAAACATGACCTCTTGTGTTCTCCCTTAAATTCCATCGAAACACAAAACATCCGTCACAGGGCTTCCAAAGCTTCAATGCGGCTCCAACAGCGCCAAGCAACTTCTCTGGCCAACCGCTGGGCTTCAGGGGATGCCAAGGGCTCCTGAAGAGGTCTGGGCTGGTTGGAATTCAAAGAACATCCAGATATTGCATACAGCTATTGATGCTATTGGTCTATTGTCGTCATTGACGTCTGTCCTCAGAAGGGGGCTCCTCTCCTTCAGCCTGAAATAGTCATGGATCCGCATGGGTTGAGCTGAAACCAACCAGGCTTGACAACAACTACAACCATGTGGGCTGAATTTGACCTCACTTCAAACACAGCTGAAGTCTGCAGCATCCGGCAGCACTCCGGAATGTATCAGCAGCCGCAGCCATTCGAGTTTGTCCAAAATAGATGGACATCCCAGAATTGTTTTAATGGTGAAGATGACTATTAACCATTGGATTTGGGTGTACCCTATTCTCAGACACATCCATTTAAAAGAACAAAGTACTTTCTGAAAATCAAGCTGGGCAAGGAACCAATAGGCTCACGAGCTGGCTTTGTGCAGTCAGCACTGCATTGCCTTCTGCCCCTGGGCGCAGCAACTGTCGAACTTGCTAGCATCAAAGACTTCCAGCAAAACGAGAATTCCATCATGCAGCCGGTTTCATCTGTTATATGGGGCTTCTTAAAATGGGTATATCCCCAAATAATCCAAAATTAGATCATGTGAGCATTGAAATACCCATTTTTGGGGATCCCCCATTTCAAGAAATACCACTCATAGACTCATAGCTGACCAAATATCTGATCCATTTCCAGGCCTAACAAGCTGCGACGATGAAGACTACCTGCAACTGACTGATCATGGAGACGCTGAAGGATGATTCTATTGTTTCCAACCACTCCAAATGTGCCGGGTATGTGATGAATTGGTGACAACCTGTTTTACAAGAGTTGTAGTATGTTCGAAAGGCACTCCGATGTTCACGACTATGTCCGAATTGCGTGCACATAGAGGAGTTCCTCAAACTAGTCCAATCATGTCCAATCCAAATATAGGAAATCTCTAATAAGCTGGTATATTCCACATTTTTTTTGCTTACTCTGTGTAACAGCAACTGCTGGCATCCAAGAAACCACCAGCGACTTTCTTGCCTTCTCCTGGAGAAAGAGCTAAAACGGCAGAGAGGACCGTGTCTGCCATGGTTGCATCTCGTCTTCTAGCCTCGGAAGTCAAGATTGTCAACATTTGTCAACTCTTATATAATGCCAAGGAAAATCATGGAAAATCTTGCCAAGGGTGCCTTGCCAAGGCCTAAGAATTGACATGGAACCCCAGCCTTGCCAGCAGCAGCCACTGCATGTCGCAAACGACGGAGACCTCAAGGTACCATTTCCCAGCGACTTTAAACTGGTGAGACAGCTTGAAAGACCCAGAACCAACCTTGATGGGACAGGTTGCATCTATATAAACATATCTGAATCGAAACACTAGATCTTTGTGTTTCGTCCAACTGTTTATTGTAATCTTCGCTGCAACTTGGGCAGGATGAAATTGAGTGGTAGGCCACAACTTTGGAGGTTCTGCCTCAGGAGCGCGGCATTTGTACAACCTGTTTGGAAACGGACCATGAGCTAAAAATGAGCTGCAAGAATCTCTGCCGGGTCCAAGATGTCTGTGAGTTGAGGTGCTTGCTGCCCACTGCCTGCAATCACCTCAGCAAGTCAAAGGATCTGAAAGGCTTTCAGATTTTCAGAACCGACTGTTTTGACCCTAGAGATGTAGAATTACAGAGACTCTCGAGGCTTGTTGCCAGCCACCCCACTTACCGTCTTGGCAGCAGGCGAGTTCATGAGCTTTGCTCAAAAGCCCATTGGCGAAGCGTTCTGCAACCTGCTCGCGTTTGAGAAGCAGGTTTCCCCCCCGCATTTGATGATTTCTGGCTATCAAGCTCAAGAAGCTGAGATAGCAACAAAATACATTAAGATGCCAGTTATTAATATATACATATATATATATATATCGATATATATATATATGTATGTATTTGTATACTACCAAGGGAAATCGGTCAGCTTTCCTCAAAAGATGATGGTCACATCAAAAGGTACCAGGGAAGGTTGGGACTGGCTGCTGCACGCGCCTCCGGTTCGAATCCTTCCACCTGCAACAGCACTTCCACCACTCGGCCAAGCGGTGGCTGGGTGATGGTTATTGGCCTCGGGGGTGTAACTTCACCCATTCGAAAGCTGAATAAATGTGAAGTGTAACAGTGCGCGACCCCTACATTGATATGTATAATGTGTATAATATGTATAATGTGTATAATTATGTAATTTTGTACAGAGAATATAGAGTATATATCCTAACTGTTTGTGATTGATGTTGAGGTGTCTAATGAAAATCATCTTGCGGAAGGCCTCGTTGCTGGATCTGCCGAGGTCGAAACCGTAGTTCCACAACCAAGCTGGACGGCAAGTCAGAAAGCCTAGATGCTGGTCGTGCGCCCAGTGCGCAGGGGGAGGCCGCCAGATGAATAGCTTTGAAAAATGGCAAGCCAGATGGATGAAGTCCCATTTTGCGAAAACACATTCCCCTTTTTTCTGGTTGTGGATGACAGCGTTGTTGAGCTGCATGTCCAAACATGTTCAAACCACACGAATTCTGTTTGAAGTTCAAGGCGCGATGGCAGAATGAAGAAGAATGCCTTGGGTCTCCTGGTACATCGTACCTGTCGTCCACCCGAAATGATTTCTCCCAAAGTTGCTTCGTCAAGACTTGGCTTTTTGCTGGTGATTGGTCAGGGATGATCCGAGGGGGCCAACCCCTTCCCTAATCATGTCAGGAAACCGAGCAGGATCAGCCCCGCCTCGTAAGGCCCAAGTCTCACCTCCTGGAGCTTTCAATGCACATGGTGAATCCCATGCGGATGTTGCGATGTTGCTTGCAGAGGATGTCCCGGGCGGAAGGGACATGGATGGGCAAGGTATGGAAATTTCAAGGTCCACTCCACACCCCCAAAAACTCGCCCAATTTGTGAATTTCATGTCAGAGGCTGGTGTCCTGCTTGTTTGCCCTTGCTGCTGACCTGGGCACACCATATATGACACTGATTCGCACAACCCAAACTTTACAATAAATCCTTGAAGCCTGAAGCCTGGCTGTATAAAGTGCTTCAGGTTCTGAAGGTTCAGATGCAATGAGGATATTCTGGTGATGCACACAGCATTTGCTCTCCGAGATCACGACAGCAACGTCTGCAAGGCGTCCGCCATCGTGGCCAGCAAAGTCAGGGTCTAAGGATTGAGATGGACGAAAATCAGCGGACAAATCATGGGATATACAACAAGCCATTTTAGGGGAAGATAAGGATACAATATAACTATAAGTCATATGTATTCATAGTATGTAGCTATTGTTGTTCCCTTTGAACATCTTTCGACATTCAGGCCTTGCAGTCAATCACGCTCGTCTCGCCAGGGTAACTCGTACGCATAAAGCCTGGCTTTGCAGTTATTGCCCAGATGGCGCCGGGTTGAAGACTTAGCCACTTAAGCCACTTGAAAGGGAGGGGACAAAAGCTGCCATGACAGGAATGATCAAAAGATATCAAAAGGCTGTTCCGCTGGTCCCAAAGTGTGCTGGGATGGCCCCAGGCATTGGTAGTAGCAACACTCGCTAGGAATTGCCTCACCAGACTCAATGGATGGGCATCTCCATGAGAATGCACCAAATGATTGAAGACATTGAAGACTGCAAGTCCATTGATGGTCAAACAGTGCCAAACCTGGTGCTCTTGCACCTTTTCAAAGAGAAAAAATGAGAAAAGACTGCACAAGAAAGTGAAAGAAATGGCCAAACCCTTTTCCGTACTGATTAAAACCTTGATGGGTCGGTTAACATCAAGTAACTTACCAGATTGCTAGACTGGCTCCGGGGGGTCTAATTCTCTGCGAACGCAATATGGATCTCAACAAAACCGCTAAGGCTGCTGCAGCATGCCGACGACATTCAAAGTCCTGAACTGTTCCACATTCCAGGGATTCCACGGGGGTGTTCAAACTGAAAACACTATACCATTGTTTTTCCTATGAAATATGGGACTGTCCTGCAAATTTTCCCTTAAACCAATCCAATGACAACGTTTCACATCCGATCTGCTGTCACTGAGTCACACCGGCTCGGACTCGGTGACTGAAAATTGGGACATGTCGAGGTTCGCGCCCTGCTGCTTTCACCAGTGGTACAGCCTGGGGCACTTTTCAGCACTGCCGGAACGTCTCGGCATAACGACATTGACCCCAACTATTTCATGACATATTTCTCTACATCAAGTGCAAGCTCTAAGGATTCCTGACACAGATTCCAAGCCCCAAAGTAACGTGGAAGCTTGCAAAGGACTGGCTTTTCCTACACCAGCAGTTCCTCTGCAGCTTAGCTGCCACTGCCCGAGCCAACTCAGAGACCATCTCCACCTGTCTTGCATTTCACGTTGAATGAATTGAATGAACCATGGCATACGGCCGCATGAAAAGGCACAGGAAACGAGCAGTTCTCAAACTGCTCAACTTTTACCCCTGCCTTCCCGGATGCCGGAGGTCCCTCAAGTCCAATTGCAGCCTGGTCTACTCGGCTCCAAAGGGAGATGAACTCCTTCCCCCAATCATAATTATACTGTTTATACTAGGATAAATATCCCCTCAAACGAAACCCTGGCAGTGCAAGTAGTATTGGAATGTAATGGATATTGGATCTATATATTATGATCTATTCATATTTGATGATCTATTCATATTGGGGTCCCACGAAATTGTAGTATAGAATGACATATGCCATTACCTGCAAATATCCACATGAGATCCCCAATTTAAAATTAAGCTCAATAGTACCTGTCAACGAACCATCTTTTACCCTCTGGTGAACTAACATAGCTATAGGGAAAAAAAATGAATCACTCAACTACAAATGGGTTACCCTCTGGTAAACTAACATAGCAATTTAAAATCACCATTTTTAATGGGAAAATCCACTATAAATGGCCATTTTCAATAGCTATGTCAAATTACCAGAGGGTAAACCGAGGTCCGGACATGACCCTGCCGCAACGCGGAGGCGAAACTCACAAAGGCGCGATCTGTCTGAGGTGTCCGGACCTGGACAAGTTGGCTGATGTTGGCTGTGCCTACGGTGAACACCAAAACAGTTGATAAAAATTGATAAATAATGATAAATACCTCAAGATATGATAAATGATACGTTTTAATCATGTTTCAACCCATCCGCGTATTCGGCCAAATGTTTGAAGATTGCCAACTAACTTGGGCTCCAAGGCCATACCCCGCACTGGCTGCTGTGCTTCCGGACAAATGCAGTGGCGGAGCCAACATATTCGTAGCCATAGGGGATGGACCAATCAACACTGGCACAGCAACAGGTTCAGTTTTGTTGTGTCCAAAGCATCAGCGAATCGCGCTACTGACGTTGCCTTAATGACATCTTGTGAGAAGACCAAGGTGCACACAAGTACTGACCCTATGGACCCTGGTCACAGAAAGTGCTCTGCTTTGCTCAGGCAAGGTTTTTGCGAAACTAAACAGCGCTTTTGAGCTTCAGGACCTTCACTGAGTGCAGAAGCAACAGGAGGGGTCCTTTGGTCCTGCCATTTCTCACCTGTCAACCTCAAGGAGAGTACTTGTATATCAAAAAATTACGAGGAAAAATGTCAAACAGGATCATCAAGTATGCAGCTTGCCTTTCAACTTTCAGAATGAAACAAACTGCCTGCTCAAGTCTCTGCCAGGATGACCATGCAACGACCACAGTGGCTGATTCCACGTCCCAACGTTGCCGAAGAAAGCGCTTCCACTGAAAGGACTCCCTGCGACTCTGCGCCAGAAAAACTGTTGTACCGTAATATGTTGCAATGGCTGTACAGTGTGGGCTTTCCAGGCTATCAATCCCATATCATTATCCGTGCTCTCACGGCAGCTCAGACTAGATTTGGATACCGCAACTAGCAGTAAGCAGTAAACGCCAGGCCTGGTCTTTGCACCCTTCCATGCTTTCTTCAATGCGCTCAACCTGGGCATCTGTGATAGCTTGGAGATGCCATTGGACTTATCAATTGGCTATAAATCAAAACCCTGGGACCCTAGGTACCCAAAAAATATAATGATGGTTGATGGATGTTGGCCCATCCCCAAATCAAAAATGCTGCAAAATGCGCTGAAGGAATAGCCTGGATCCAACATCCAAGCTGAGTGAAGAACTGCTCTTGCCAATTCAGAGCCTGGACACATCCACGGTTCCAAGATCGATAAATGCTGCGTTACTTGCGGAGCGAGGAAATGTTGCCTTATTTCAAACTGCTTGAGGCAGACGATACATAGGTTTGTCTGAAACATGGTAGCATGGACTCACTATTCAAATGATCATTTTGGGGGGAATTTCCCCATCATTGGACAAATTCCACATTCCTATTCCTATCATTCCTATCCATGTTCTGATCTGTTGACAAAGCGATCACCAGCCTGCAGCCAGCAATCACTCAAGACCAGGCGTCTTGTATTTGGCAAAGATGGCATGCTAAGCAACCTGCCATCGATTCGTCGTTCTACAAAGCTGATTTCATGACTGAAGACGGCTGAAGATTTGCCTCGGCAAGGCTTGTTGCAACCCCTCCAGCATCTCGTCTACTTGGCCAAAGACCATGGCGACACCTGCCAAGTGCCAAGGCTGCCCAGGCCAAGGAAACCTGCGTCTACTATGTCTAGTGTGTAAGGTTGGGGGTCATAAAATTCTGTACCCAAATCTACAGAAGTGGCCTGCTTCGTCCTCAACGTCCATGCTGATCTGCCAAGGGTGCAGTCGAGACTGGGGTAGTTTTGGGTATACCACAAGGGTACGTTCTTCTTGTTGCTTGGAAACCGTTGTTGGAAAACGTTGTTCGTGATCCATGATTTCCAGCCCTTCACAACTTAATTACACATAAGCTGAATTCGTTCAGTCTTCACTATTGACAAGTCTCACGAAAGGGTAGAAGCCAAAGAATATCTGGGGTGCCTGCCTTGCACTTTCAGTTTCATTTAAGCAAAGCTCCGTTTGCCCATGTTTGCGCAATGCTCCCTTTATTCTGTCTTTAATGATTTGAGTCCAAACTCCTATCAAAAACCAAATAAATAGTCAGAAATCACCTCTAGAGGAGAAACAATATCCTTTGGATTCCACTTTTACAAATCTCCGCATAAATTCTTCGCAGCTTGATTCGGCCCTTGGCGAAACACCACACCTCCATGGCATTCATAAAGAAAAGCTGAAGGCCCAGGAGGAGTGCCTGCCCAGGCCTCGGCATCGCGTCACAGTCGTCACAGATCATGAAACCGACCGAGGAACGAAGCTTAGGAGTACTAGGACTAGGATGTATTTAGTATATTTTAGTATTAGGATGCATTAGGAATGTTAAGAATGTTAGCAATGGCTGGATCATTGGCATGTCCGAAGCTACTTCGTTTCCTGTTCTGTGAATGAAGCCTGGCCTCTCTTTAGTATGCTCCATGCATTGAACACAACTTAGCCCACGACACTCCCTCACCTGCCAAGGGCTGCAACGTAACGGAAATCCGTTATCCCAAATCTCTCCAAAAACAAAAAGTGGGTAGATTATGGTAGATCCACTGGACTGCAGTGCCTGAAGGTCATTGAGAACGGATCCTGCCTTCATTGAGCCATTCGGAGACCGCATCAACCAAGTTGGACTCGCAGATCTTCTTGAAAACCTGCACCGCGTGAGAATCCAAGGCACACCAAAGATTCGTCCCAAGAATCAAAAAGATTGACCCCTCTGTGAGAAAATCAACTCATGGCTGATGCCTGTTTGATCTGCATTTGCAGGAATTCTTGCATGGCTTTCTCCTTAGCTCCAGGGCATAAGACAAGTCGGACAAGTACAACGAATTCAACGATTTCAAATCTGTTCTGAGGAAGCAGCTGCGGCCAGCAGCCAGTTTCCCAACAAGGCCCTGCCAGGACCGACATCATCTTGTATCGCCCAATCATGATAGAACCATCCCCTATTTACACAATATATCACAATATTTACACAACTTGAAGACTAAATGACATTAAACATCACTAAACCAGCCTCCCTGTTTAAGGATCTGTTTCTTTTCTGGAAAAACTTTGGGAAGTCACCGACTTCCCGGACTCCCAAACCTTCATCCACCCACCCAGAAGCGCGCCCGCGTCCACAGCACCATGCGGGCCAGGACAGATGCAGCTCCTCATTGGATGTCAAGACCTGACTCTCAACGATGTGGGAAGACACGGGTCACCAAGAAGAAAAGGCTATTTCTTGGACAAGAAGATGCTGATCTAACATGATCTAACCATCCAACACTGACCATCCAAAGTGAAGATTTCACTGCGCATGAATGAAATCTCCTCAATTCATAATAATTGAACATCTTTAAAGCACGGAACTCCGCAAGTCAATGTACCCCCACGGAACTCCGAATTGTGTTGTCAAATTCTCGTGAAGTGACAAAGTGTCTGATACAGTTTAGTCATGTCAATTCTTGTTCTTCATACTAGGGGAACTCACCTGAGGAGCTCTCCATGCTCTCCAAACAGAGATCTGGGGTGATGCAAATCCGACCAATTTGCTGTGGAGCAACGTTCCAAAATGATGGGATTCAACGGCTTCAACGATTTCAACGATTTCAGGCCCTGAGGCCCCGTGCCAAATTGCGAGCCCACTCCCATCGCTGGGAACCAAAACAAACACCTGGCAGGGATAGCTACGTTTGTCTGTGAAACATCCATGCTCCAGAGCTGCAAATTGATTGGTAGTGAAAACCCATACTCGATGGCCACTTTTATTCTGGGGCAGGCCTTTGTAAAGCTCCTATTGGTCTCAAGTTGTGACATGTTCCCTCCTCTGCCATTAGTTGGTCTTGCTGGCAAATCTTTTGCAAAGCCTGACTTGATTCAGAGTGTTTCCCCGTCCCCGACAGTCTGGCATCATAAAACGCAGATTTGTCTGCAAAAAGTGCCCCAAAATCTCATTGTTTATCATCTTGTTCCAAATTAAAATAGCCATAAACGGGGATGCCGAATTTCGGACCAACCTATATACCGTCTATATTACATACATACATACATACATACATACATACATACATACATACATACATACATACATACATACATACATACATACATACATACATACATACATACATACATACATACATACATACATACATACATACATACATACATACATACATACTACATGTATATATATATACATGACTATATTACATATATATATATATATATGTATTACATACATACATACATACATACATACATACATACATACATACATACATACATACATACATACATACATACATACATACATACATACATACATACATACATACATACATACATACATACATACATACATACATACATACTACATACATACATACATACATACATACATACATACATACATACATACATACATACATACATACATACATACATACATACATAATACATACATACATACATACATACATACATACATACATACATACATACATACATACATACATACATACATACATACATACATACATACATACATACATACAACATACATATACCAATACATACATACATATACCATACCATACCATACCAGACATTACACGACATTACATGACATTACATTACATTGTATTTCATTGCACTACATTGCATTGCATTACATACATACATACATACATCATACATACATACATACATACATACATACATACATACATACATACATACATACATACATACATACATACATACATACATACATACATACATACATACATACATACATACATACATTACATACATTACATACATTACATACATTACATACCTTACATACATTACATACATTACATACATTACATACATTACATACATTACATACATTACATACATTACATACATTACATACATTACATACCTTACATGCATTACATACATTACATACATTACATACATTACATACATTACATACATTACATACATTACATACATTACATACATTACATACATTACATACATTACTACATTACATACATTACATACATTACATACATTACATACATTACATACATTACATACATTACATACATTACATACATTACATACATTACCATACATTACATACATTACATACATTACCATACATTACATACATACATACATACATACTTACCATACCATACCATACCATACCATACCGTAACATTACATGACATTACATTACATTACATAACATAACATAACATACATACATACATATATATATAGTTCTTTGTATATAATATTTAAAAAATCCCCATTGTGTGGACGGCACCCCATATATTTAGTGTTGGCTTTTTTGGTGTTCAGCAGGGGCAAGTGGCCCATGGCCTTGATGACCCTGCATCTCCGTGAACTGCTCAGTGGTGCCATGTCCATCGACCTGGCACAGTGCTGTAGTTGCGGTGTGGGTCTGAAAATGTGGTGGACCACCAAAGCAGCCGATTAATGGGAAAGATGATGATTAATTAGTGGATGGAATGGGGCAACATGTTTTCAGACAAACCCTGTGTATGTCTTATCAGACTTGTAAGAGCATGGTTGAAATAAAACACACAGGAAAGGATAGTTCTGCATTTCAAAATTGGGTGCAGAATGCTAGATACGGACAAGCTGGGGCATGGTAGTGATAAATAGCACAAACTCTGCTGTTTGTCATGCATCCTTCTGGCCTGCTCTCCGATCCTTGCGGCCACATCGTCCATGATACTGGTGAGACCTGCTACCATACGTACCAGGAATGTACCAGGAATGCACCAGCAATGCATTCATATGCATCATATGCAACATTTCTTAGCATTTTTGGGGTGCGTGCGAAACAACCTTTTTTTGCACTTGGTACAAGCTTCTTTCTCTTTATTTTCCAATGTCTAGTTTGGAGCCCAAAGTAGGAATGGTCTTGCTGAAGTTCTGCATTCTTGGTTGCAGACCATGAGGATGAGGATGTGCATGTGCAGGTCCTGAAAAAGGTCGAGGTTTCGCCTGCCGGACGATGACTGCTATGACTCGCATGATGGCAGGACTCTACATGTGGATGGTGCTAAATTACGGTTCTATATTTTAGAGGGGTATTGTTAACCATCCAATGGTTGTTGCTGGCCAAAGTACCAAGGATGCAGATGGCCACTGCTACATTCAAACTTCAGGGATCAGCTGTAGGACCATCATGCTCCGAATCAGTGAAGAGCTTGCCTGAATGGGTCCCATGAGGGCACCTGAAATGAAACCAACACAACCTGCTTGTTGCGTTGCAAAAAATCGGCTTTCAACTTCGAATGGCTCCGGGATCCTGGCTTTTGACTTCCGTTGCCAACCTTTCAGCCTGGAAAGCGTGCTGAAAATCTCTGTGAAAACTGGCGTTGCGAGGTGCGGAAGACACTTTCGAAACAAAAGAGCTGCACCACTCCATTGTCACACCATTGTCACATATGAGCCATGGTCAATACTCTATGGTTGATGGTCATCCCATCCATAATAAGGATCCAAAAATAATGGTTATTATAAATCCCTATGAACCATTGGATGACTAGCCCCTATTAATGGTTATTAACCATGAGTATTGACCATAGCTCATATGAGACGTATGTGAGTCTGAAGCTATCTGCCTGGACCGGAGCTTTTGCTTTTGGCCTCTCATGGGTATCTTCGTTCCTCAGGTCGCAGCCATAACGCGAATCAATGCAGCCCTCTTTCTGAGAGAACTTGCACAGCTTCTGGACCCAAGTCTGCGGAACTAGAAACTCCTAATGGTCAAAATGGGTTAGTCCAAAATTGGGTATGTATATATATATATATACCATGGTATACCGGTATACCAGCAATATAGTAATTTGATAGGGAAAATGATGGAAAATTATGATAACACATTCACAGCTTCCGAATTTGGACCAGAAACTCAGGAGCGCTGTGGGGAGGTGGAGGTTTCAACGCTATCAGCCTCAGGTCGTCTCAAATTTTTGGAACCTCCAAAATACCATTACAATGGCATCAGTGGCCATAAATCAGGCCATTATCCCCATTGAGAGAAAGAAACTCAAATCCAAAGGTAAGATCGATGGGCTATGCTGTGGCAACTTCATCGGTTCGCCGAAGTGACCACAGAATCCACCTGCTCTTCTGACTCAGCGGTGCAAACTCTCCTGGTAAAGAGACTTGGTCGAGACTGGATGCTGGGAGGCAGACTGAATATCCAAGTCACCAATGGCTTTGCGATTGAGAGCTCGGTCAACTTCCTGATTCAAAATACAAAGCTACCACCAGGCAGCGAATTTGATCATACATTTGTTACAGGTACATGTTCCATTCCTTTGGCCACTTGTTCTTGCACGCATTCAAGGGGGCTGAGTCGAAGTCTTTCATCTTTTTCAGGAATCTTCTTGAGTAGTTGAATAGGTCTTACAAGCATCCCTGATCTGTATACATATATACATATATATATAATTATATATATATACTGTATAATTCTACATATTATCATGTCTGAATCTATCCATATCGTTCCATATCTTTCTACCTCTAGCCTACGTCGAAACACCGAGCCCAAGCGCCTCCCGCATCATGTGCCCAGCAGATGACCGCCGACGAGCCTGCCACCGAAATATCTGGGATTTATGAAATTTATGGATGTTCAAAGCCCCAAAATATGATGAATTATATAATTATAGGTTTTAAAATGGTTTTAACATGTTTTAACCCATCTCCAAATATGGTTTAAAATAGGTTTTGATCCATCCCCCCATGTGCTCTCGGCACCTTTCTGTTTTGGCCACCATCATCAGGACCAAGCCATGTTGTGGCCTTCAATGAGAAAGCGCAGCCGTGTCCACTTAGACTCTACTTCGACGCTGAAAGGCTTCACTGAAGGAGCAACCCCAAGAATCTCCAGTCACAATCGCTTGTTAGAAATTCTTCTTTGGGAATTCCATTATTTGGAATCCATTTAGAATCCTCTTCACAGATTTCAGTTGTCCTAGCCGTCTGTGTCCAGCACCCCCTGCCTTGTCGATCCACGGGAAAAAATGGGTGGCAAAGGCTGCCAATGTCTTTCCGGCCGCAACATCCACGGCCTGCAACAGTCCCCAACTAAGCCCAAATCATTAATGGTCTCTTCGCTCACATTTCGTGTCTGAAAATGGGGCATACCAGCATATCCCCTCCAAAATTACAATTTAAGTGGGAAAATGATGATAAACCGTGGGATTTGGGGTTCTCCCCCGCAATTGTCAAGCAAACCAGTTTCAAGTCTCTGGGATCTTAGCGGCTTGTTCCAATTCTCCAGCCTTCGCTTCAGTCTGTCCTTGCAGCTCTTCGGTTTCCGCAGGGCCTGGCTCTTCGCATGCGTTTTCTGCAGTGATCCAAATGTCGAATTCCCTAACAAGACAACAAGTGGCAAAGCCAGCAAACATTTTCATTGGCTCTGGCGTGAGCCCTGCCGATTTGGCAGGTAAAAGTAGTCTCTCGAGGGCTGCAGAAAATAGGCAGCGAAACAGACATGCTCTACTTTGAGAGCACTACTTTTTCAGCTCAGTCTGTTCCCATTTACTTCTCTTCCCAGACGCATATGCAGCGCACCTGTGGCAGAGGCAGTAATACCATGTAGTAGCTATACAGATCTATACAGTACATTCATGATGATTCATGTACATTCATGTACATTGTACATTCATGTATACATTCATGTACATTCAATCCAGTTTTCATCAGGAAATCAGCTCGAAACCGAACCGAATGTCGGTTCGGAACTTCGGAACGGTTTCGGCCTCGCAGGATACACGATCCTCTCCATCTTGGGGGCTCGATGGATCCTTGAAGGCTGAGTGCAATGTGAAGTTAGCTCTTGAACCTGGCACCAAAGCGATGGCGATGTCCGGGATCCTGGGAATCCAAGAAAGGATCCCCAAGGAGTTTTTCCATGCAAAATTGAAATTGATAGTAACTGCTTAGTAACTGATAACCATAATTTCTTAAGTCAACGTTCATGGCCTCCGTGAAGCCATCCATCTGAATCCCACTGCTTCAGTACAATGACCTGCAACCATCAGGACCGTGCACAACATCTTAGCATGGCGGTAAACACAGGCGAAACAGAGGCATAAACGCATCTGGAACCTCCTCTTTGGTGATCTGCGGATAGTAATACCTTTCACATCATGGCATTGTGGTTGTAAATCCGACGTTAAATCCCCATTTTTGGTGGATAGAACGGTAGAACCTATTGAAACAATGGATTCCAATCAGAAATTGCGACTGGAAACCACAGGTATCCACTTGGGCACCGCACCATCGATGAGCTGGTGAGCTCGCTGCGAAATAGTTCTCTCCAATCCTATCTGCATAGTGGATCCTGAATGTGGCCGCAGATATGATGCTTCAGAAAAGAGAACCAACAAAATGGAAGCATCTAACTAACCAAAATGATCCAAAATGGTGATTTAACCCAAAAGCTAAAAAAGGAAAAAACAATTACAACACATCATTCTCTGTCTGGGTTTCCCTTACCAACTGAGCAACCATCGGCTTTTTTTCAGATCTTCGAGCGTCTCGAAGACACACAGATCCTTCTCCGAAGCTGTCCGCGCATCCATCAGAGCGAAGGGATACACTTCGACGGGCCTCGGCGCATGGCTGGCGCATGGCGCATGGCTGTGCCATGTCAGCTACACCAAGCGGCTTGTCCCGGATATTTCTCCAGGCATTGATGATTGCCCATCCTTGGCAGCCATGTCTCCAGCCAAAATTCCTGTTGCTGAATCTTCCTGACATGTTCTGCACCGGTCAACCTGGCCAAGAAGCGTCCTTTTTTGCCAACCTCAGTTGAATGATAAAGATTGCTTTTGCAGGGAGAAACTGGAAACTGGCATCAATAACCATCAATAACTGTCAATAACCATCAAAACTAATGTATGCCAATGTGTTTCATCGGCACAAATCTTGCTGCCATGACACTTCATACACCTCCTGGAAACAAATTGCCACAAATTGCAGTTGGCACTTTGGGGGAAAGCCGGAAAGGAAAGCACAATCGTAGATGCCCCAGCTGGATCATGCTGGACTGCCAACTACATACCCCTCTGAGCAAGTCTGTCATTCCGTTATGCTTTTATTTCACAGAGATTCCCAGTTCATGGATGATAATCCAGGCAGTATGTTTCTATATGATAATCCACAAGGTGTTTAGCACTGCTCAAGCGGGGCATATGCCAAGCCACTGGAGGGATCGTCGGTTTCATGCCCTCCTTCTTGATACTGTCATTGACTTTGGGTGGCTGGGAGAGCTGTTCGTATCGCAATGGACCACCTTGGGGGACATTCGGGACATTCGTATCGCAAGAAAGCTGGGAATACTGGGAATTGGACAAGCCTGTGATGGTGTAGTCATTGTGCACCAAACCTCCGTGACAAAAGACATAAGTAAAAGATCATAAAAGACTCTGGCATGTTGGTCCGTGTTGGTCTCCAGGCTCCAAGACAAGCACAAACCCAACCTCCAGGAGATTGAACTTTCGCCCCGCCCTGCGCAACAAGGAAGTAGCACTTCTGTTCCCGGGAAGTGATGGAGTCTCCAAGGCGTCCCGCACCAGTTGCTGCACCTTGATTTCCTTTTCGCTGGATTTCCCAGTTGCTGATCTGATATTGTGATCGAAAGGGATCACATATTTGGCGCCTGCACCAGCGCAACAGCAGTGACGACCAGGAATTCACAATGTTCAGCGAAACCATTCTGCAAAGATTCTGATTACAAAGCGGGTATTTGTATTCCTTTGGAGCACCAACATATGTATGTGTATATATAATTATGTATTATATGCCATCTTCTTAAGTGATAGGCTTGACTTGAAGAGAATCTATCTAGAAAAGCTGGGGGCAAGAAAAGGAGTGCCCCTGGCCCCAGTACCAAAGCAACCCTTGTCATCTCCCATCACATGGTGACCAAATGGTGACCAGAATAGCAGTCCACCGGAGCCTGTGGCTTTCTTCAGCAGCTCCACTATCTCTGCGTGGTACCGCTGCAGGATGTTTTCCTGCTCCAGGCATCGAAATCCATCCATTGGCGTGTCAATACCGCATAGGTCTTTTCTTCTGTCTATATAGATGGGTTTGGAAATGCAGTGCGCAAAAACATAGAATAACTTTCAGAACTGAAAACCACTGGGCCCATGTTGGCGCACACAAAAGATCAATGAAGATAATACTTGCAAATTCACGAGGATACTTTCAACAGATTGCCATGCGGGCTCAGCAAGCGGGACAAATCATGACTTTGGGCAATACGAGCCAAGCTCGAAACAACACGAGCCAGGCTCAAAACCGGCAGGATCCTCTTGGAAGAAGTCAGTGTAACTCATGGACGTCGGGAACTTGTGCAGTTCGAAACCTTGAAGGTCCAACTGGAAGGGCTCCTCTGCACGCTAAATCAAACATTATCTGGTGGGCGGATTCAATGGTGCCTGCGAGCGGCATGGACTCTCAGGCCTTTCCTATGACTTGAAAACAAATCACCCAAACCACTGCCAAACCACCTAACATTCGTGCACTTTGGGAAAGCTCATTCCACCCTACAAGTCTGCACTTGGCATATTATGGCATATGTGTAATAGCAATCGTGCTGAAGTCCCAAGTTGCTTCAACTCAGAACAAATATAATATAGGCATGTGCAATGCTTTTAGATCAATGCTCCCCGTGAGGCAAGAGCACAGACTGAATTTCCCTCGTGTTTGATTCAAGTCAACATCATGCAAGCCATCTCCCCAGCATTCGTTTCATGCACTCCTCTAGACGAGCATTGCGCACCATAACCTGCACCAAGGCTTGAAAGGATCCATGTTGCTGAGCACCCATGGGTTTGTCTGAACATGGGGAACCCCAAAAAAAAACTTTGGTTTGTCAGCACTTTTTTCCCAAATGTTCAATGGCAATTTTTCGAACCCATCCCGCCATTTGTGTACTGGGCTCATCCCCCACTTTTGGACGAACCCACGTAAGAAGTGCCTCCTCATTGGACCACTGCGCACCATGAATCTTGTCGTCGCTCCCTCGCAGATCCCGGTTGGTATACAGCTTTCCATTGCGTACCTCATCAACTGCTGGACAAGGACGCCAAATTGAGATAGATGTGAGAATTCACCAACCTGATGGATAAATGAGGTCATTTTGGGGTGGTTCCCCTGATTACTGATTGCCCATCATCATCCATGGTTTTATGGCTGTGGTTACATATAGGTTTTTAAGTTTTAAAGTGTTAATTCGTTCAAACACGAATGAGTCCTGAAGTCATGCATGTGCAAACACGGCACCAGGGTTCGCTCGATGGTGGGCTTCTGATAATTGAAGACCCCATGCACAGACATCACCTGGCACAGCAGCCAAGTTACCCCCAAAAAAAATCAGGCCGGGTAGATATCTCTGAAACTCCTTGCAGCCATCATCTGAGGGTCACACATCGCCATTGAGGTTTCTTTTGATGCCAGGGCTGCTGGCAGGAAGCATTTCTGGCCATGCCATGGTACCGAAGGAGCCAATCCGGCACAGTTCAGTACAGCTTTCTTTGGGCCAAAGCTCGAAGAATAGACCAGAAAATCATCCTGCAGAAAGCTCTACTTGGCCATGCCATGGTACCGAAGGAGCCAATCCGGCACAGTTCAGTACAGCTTTCTTTGGGCCAAAGCTCGAAGAATAGACCAGAAAATCATCCTGCAGAAAGCTCTACTTCATGAACGATCACCTGTGAGCCGCAGAATTACATTTCACAGTGTGTTGTCGAAAGAAACACAAGCTGCCTGTGGCTGCGTGGTCATTCCTATCTGATGCACACATGTCTCTTGTTCCCTGAGAAGACAAAGACCGTGACCCACGGGTACCCTATGCACGGCCTGCAAGTTTCTGGACAGCTGATAGGGCTTTTGTCAGGTCCGAATCCTGGGACATGGTGTGCAAACTCCCCACAATTGGAATAGCTTTAGAAGGCTTTAGTGAATCTTACAATGACCCAGTCTACTTTGGCAGACTGCTCGAATTGGTCTTGATTCGCTGCGGCCCTGCGTGACATTCCTTCCAAACTGCCACATATGCAACGACTGTATGTGGCATGTGTACGAAGCGTCTGGCTCTTGGAGAGGGTGTTCTTCCTCAAATTGTGATTGTCGGATCATGCATTACACAATGCTGAGGCGTGCAAAAAGATTATCCCAACCTTGAAGAGCCGACTGTTTTTGTGCGACATGAACTCTGGCCTGTACACAAAACTGTCTGAAAAATCTAGGCTTCCGGACAGTCAAGAACCACAGTCTCGGAGATTGCTGCCTGGGTACGGGATGCGATGGTCCACATAGCTATCGTCCACTTGACACGTGTAGACTTTCAAGGGACAGTCATACACAGCTTTGTCGTTGTAGTCGAAGGTGTCTCCAGCCGGTTCCCAAACAAAATCCGACCGCCACCTCTGCTTTTCAAGGAGTCTGTCCACAGCCTCACTTGCCTGGTTCAGTGCCAAATCCCAAAGCTTTGCACTACGTCTACCGTGCAAGTTGTGGATATAAGGTGCGATCAAACCTCTCTTGAAGTCTCATTTCGAGCTTCCAGTCAGACTGAAGTGTTGGATTCCAACTGCGGTCGACCCTTCAATAGCTCACTAGCTGCAAAACATGTCAGTCAGGCAAGGTTCACACCTTCCCAAATGCGCTGCAATTGTTTTGGCCTCCACATTTAGTGGGGTGCTTAAAACAAGTAGCAGGCAGCCGATTGGTTGCAACCATCTGGTGAAAAAAGAGCATCTGAGTTATTCTCAAATGCTGCATTTGCTTGGCAATGGCCATTCATTCCGGTAGACTTCCGGGCACAAATTGACAAAGCTTGGGAAACCCTCTGAAAAACACTTGAAGATCATCTGATTTCAAGGTGGTTCTAAGTGTCCAGCATTGTGCTTTGACCTGTGAATAGCAACACCGTCCTCCAAGGGGCTTCGAAACCATACTTCAACGTTCAGTGTGAGAAAAAATACAGAAAAATATCATTGTGAGATATTTTGTGAGATATGTTATGAGGTATTGTGTGAGGTATTTTGTGAAATATTGTGAGCATAGTTTCAACAAAATTGCACAAAATCAGTGGCAAAGAGCTGGATTCGAACTGAGCCCTCCAGTCTTGCATGTGGTCTGCGCCCGATGCATAAGAAGCCTCAAGTAGTCGCCAGGTTCCCGATCCCACATGATCCAGCAATCCATTCTGTGGGTGTGTCTCCAAATAGGATATACACCCCATTGATGCCCATTGTTACAATTGTTCATGGGAAAAACAACGATCAACTGTCAAATGTACTGGTTTTCCATGGTTTTCCTCTAAAATTCCAAACAAACCCATCTCACATCTCATGTCGTTCCACATCTTGACGGGCGATCTGCTAAGTGCCCCAAACCGCCACGCTTCATCGCTGGCATTGAACTTCTCTACAACCCGGTCACTCGCCTGAGGGATGCAAGGGAAGAGGTTCAACCGAATCCGCTGTTCCAAATGTGCTAAACTGCTCGGCCCTTCTAGGCCTTGATATCTATCATTGAAGTAGTGGGATGTTGTCTTCCTGATACATACAAGAATCTTTGATGTGGGTTTGTATCTCGAGATTGGCACTGGAATTACCAAAGTGGACAAGACAAACTTTATTGATACCATCAGCAGTGCCGAATTTCTCGCTACGCTTCAGATTAAAAGACTTCTTGCAGGACTTCTCTGGCTCCCCTGTTCAAGTCGATCTGGACAACTTTCTACACTTCACGAAGTTGATTTAAGATGAAACACGGTCATCCCCTACTGATCATCAGAATTCACCCAGATCAATGCCACACTTCCGCTCTGTCTCGGTGTCTTCCTCAGCAGCGCATGACAAAGGCGCCTCATCCTCTCCCAGTACCTTCAACCTCAAGCATCATCTACCCTCTGAACATCTGTGGACGCAGTCTGATCCGGAGAAGCTCTAAGTTCATATGGTGTTGTCTGAAGTGCCCCTAAATCCGCTGGTCGATCATCACCGTTCCAACATCCAAGACTGAAAGCAGAAAGCAACACAAGAATTGCCATCAAACCAGATTCCTGCCTGAAGAGAGGCTCCAAGAGGCTGTACTGTTCCTGCCAGCCAGCGGCAGCATCAGTCAAAGACTTCGATCCTTTTATTCAAGTTCTGCATAATCCTTACTCACGGAACGGTCTGGGTCTCAAACTGTTCCACTGCATCGCATAAAAAAATACAAAAAGACCGTTCCTATGAGCCCAACATGCGACCGCCAACATCTGCCAGTTGATACGAACTTTGTGCAAAAATTCGGTACTCCAAAATCCAGCAGTTTCTCGTCATTTCCCCTATTTTTGAACAGCCGTACAGGCTTCTCTGAAAATTGGGTATGCCTAAATCCACTGGTTAAGTAGGATTATCCCTGCTTAAATTGCCAGAACCCCCTTTTCAGGCACACCCATAAATCATATTGGTAGTTGATGGTTGTTGTATAGTCAATCTTCTATTGGTGGACAATCCCCACGTTCTTCAGCGCCTGCAAGAGGCTGAAGTCCTTCAATACATCACACGCGTGGCCTTGGTAACGCAATGTCATCCGACCGCGTTTCCTCCAGAATTTGATTAGTCAAAAACAAAAATCCGCCCACACCGCTTTGGCGGTGAAGGCGTGCTTATTGGGGGGCAACAGCAACACTAAATGCTCAATGACATTTGTTAATATAGCAGTCGCTATATCAGCTTTAGCTGGGGGGGGGCCCAAAAACGGTTTCGCACCGAGACCAGACCCCAAAAACGGTTTCGCACCGAGACCAGAATTCGGTGGTGTTTTCGACATTTTTCGAGGATTTTTGGGTGTCTGAGCCCAAGAGGGTATTGAAATGGAATTTTGGGTCATTTTGGTAGCTTTCCGGCAATGGAAAAACGGCCAAAAATGAAAAAAACATTGTACATAGCAAGATTTTGCAGGGTTTTTGGATGCCAGAGCATTGAAAACACTGCAAAAACAAGTGTTTTGGACTGACGTTATAGCAAAAAACGTGTAAATTACTGTATGCTTGACTGGAAACATTACAAAAACACTGTCAAAAACAATGTTTTGGAAGGATTTACTGCCTTTATGGCAAAAAACGTGTAAATTACTGTCTGTTTGACTGGAAACATTGGAAAAACACTGTCAAACACAATGTTTTGCAAGGATTTCTTATATATATGTTGGACTTGGCTACCGGCATTGGAACATGGAAAAATTGAAGAAAACACTGTAAATAGCGGTATTTTCAACGGTTGGGGAGATAAGGGAATTGGAAGCATTGTCGAACATGATGTTTTCGACCGGTTTTATGGCGACAAAAGTGTAAAGTACCGTGCTTTGAAGGAAACCATTGCAAAAACATGGAAAACACATTCAAAGAACACGGGATTTGGGCGACTATCTAGGCGTCGTTGTCTAGGTATTTGAAATTCCGCAGCTTGGAGAGCCTCCAAAGGGAGGGAAAAGTGAAAATTCCATAGCTTGGGAAGCTGTCACGGCGGGGAACAGTGAAAATTCTTAGCTTGGGGAGCCCCCACGGGGGAAAACCACCCTTAGCCCCTCTCACGGACCGAAATAAACCTGCGGTGTGGGCGGCCACCCCACGCGAAGCGGGGTGAATAAACCCAGCATACAACCCCAATAGCACAGTTTCGCGCTAAGCACGCTTATCTATGATATATACTTATATAATCTTATATAATCCAAGTTCCAAAATCCCTCCAAATCCATGCTGTGATCTCCAATGATTTCCTGTATCGAAGGACAAAATATCTGAGCCTCACTGCCCAATTTGCCACTGATCTCGCGGGCTTCAGTTTGAATCGCAGAGGTGGGCGACCTTGGAACCACTTCTTTTGGTCATCGCCGTTCTAATTGATGATTATGATTAAACATTACCTAAATGACCAACCATATTTTCTTATATAATATATACTTTAAAACAAAATGATGATACTTTGCTTGGTTAAAAAAAAATGTGTTCATGAATAAACAATAAAATCTGAAGTCCATAGATGCAATAATGTTTGACCAACCTAAGCATCCTCACGCCCATTACTGACTGTGATTCTTTGGGGCCATGGCTTGAGCACTTGCTGAAGGGCAGTGATGTCCTGCGCTGGTTCACTCCGTGGCGAATCAACCCATGGTAGCGACGAAAGTTGGTTCTGTGCCTCGTACAGCAAATCCAACATGTCGTCTTGGCTCTGTAGCAGCCACGGTGCCTACTCGCAAAAGTGAGATCGCTTCAGCCGACACTACTATCAGCATGCTTTGTTGATGGGGAGACTTGCTGCTCTGGATTCGAGTATGAGCTTATAGATGATTCTTCCAGTGCGAGTGCACTGAGCGAACTTGTTTTTTGCAGTATGTGGTAGCTCACATTTGGACTTGAAGATATTTGAAGATACTAGAAGAACATGTGAGTCTCCGCAGAGGAAGTGCCTCAGCATCCTCAGGCTCTTTCAGCTCCATCTCGACATGCTCCCAGGCCTGTTCCACATGGTGCTCATTCCATCATTTGATTTGAATGGTGACCTAGTCTTGTCAATTCGATAACTTCGATATATGAATATTATATCTATATATGGTCTCGTGTTCCGTGTTCCTACCCCCCCCAATGGTATGGGTGCCCCTGGGAGGGGGGTTGGAACGCTGCACCATATATAGCAGTTGTGATTCAGGTTCGCAAGAAGGTACATGAGTCACATGTCGAGCATGGAGCTTCAAATACATGGGCATGCACCCTTTCAAGTTTGGTTCCCTGCGATGACGTGGGACCTACTTGGGCTATGTAAAATTTAAGGTACCACACAGTACCACTCCTCGTTGGCGTGACTGAATCGTATATGAACCAGATATCGATCCTTGGAGTTCTGACCCTTCGGTTGTTGTCCCTGCCTCCACAATTGTCCGAAGGGTGGTGAGGAGACTATGCCTTCAAATGTGAGTCGTATGCAGCATGCAATGACCCACACACATGGGTCAGGAACATTTCAGATGTTCCAGGTTTCAAGAGCTGCACATCATGGTCAGGGCATGTCCAGGCTGCAACTTGTGCTCGTAACATCTCATTCCGAGAATAAGCCCTTCATCTAGGAGTCTCCAAACACAGTGCGACGTGCAGACGGGTTGCTCTTCCGCTGCTTTCGCTGAAGCGTTGGTCAGATTCTTGCGGCCCTTTTCCGACATGACGCCACCACCTAAGGCAGCGGTGTGCAACAAACTAAAAGCCCCACACTTGTGCATTCTATAGTGTAACGAGGAATACGGATGCATGCGAAGCATGAGTTGAGAAAACTGGCAGATGTCAATCCATCGAACCCATTCAAGAACAACCTCCTAGGATTTTGAGATTTGTCTGTTAATCTCGCCCTCCTTTCAAATGGTGCGTGCTTCACCACACACAGCCACTTTCCGCACTAAGTGTCACAGAGGAACCGCTGAAAGTCACTTGAGCTGTGTTTTTTAATGCTTAACCCTTTAAACTCGTCAAGGTTACGCAAAGTGTACGCGAAGCCTACGCCGACTGCAGAGGTAGCCCGTGGGTTGTTTGAAGGGTGCCTACGCAAAGGCTGCAAGAAGCCTATGCGGAAAGGTCGCCTACGCGGAGGACCCCACTGCTTAAAAAAACGCAGCTCGTCTTGGGCCCGAACTCAAGATGAAATCCAAGCTGTTGACCTCCGATTGTCAGCGATGATATTTCCGCTCAATGGCCAAGAGGAGTGTGGGGATCTCAGCATCTGCCAGAACCATACGCTACGGGCTGTATTGAGTTTTCCCTAAATGTTCTTGTCAACAGGCTCAAGTGAGTAACACTCGTGTCCACCAGCAGAATGTGGACCAAGGACAGCAGTCAAAGCATCAATAAATCGCTTCGGTACAAGAAGTCCGCAAGTCAAGTACCTTGATGGACTCAGCATCAGAAAAGCTGCCAACCACCTCAGGGGAAGAATGTCTATCCAAATAGACCTGTCTAGAGTCTAAGCCCAGCTTTGTCAATGCAATTTCAACAACAACAACAACAACAACCACAACCACAACCACAACCACAACCACAACCACTAACGCAAACGCTACTTCTGAGGAAATATTCGCAGTTGTGAAAAGACCCATCGACGCAAAATTGGTCCCCGAACTTGAGTCCAATGTTGAGGGCCTCAACAGCACAGATCAAACAAACAGTGTCCTTCGACATCAACTAGGTTCACGGTCAGTCAAACAAACACTTCCAGTCAGTAAAGTCGTGGCCTACCTGATACAAGAAATATGTGATACTGTGCATTGCTGCTGTTTGAGGCACGGTTATTTGTATACTAATTGTTGTTGAGTCTCGTGTGGGTTGCTTGTTGTGTGCATGCATGATGCAATGTTGCGCATCTTTTTGACGAAGTGTGCAACACAACGTAGTCTGTGCATGTCTGTGCAATGTTGGTGAAATCTGGGTGCTTTGGCGCGTGCTTGTACAATCACTGAGTAATGCAGCAGAGCCACACTCATTGTGCAAATTGATATGCCTTTTGTATGAGTGATATTGCCCAACACATTTATTTGTCATGCAGCCTGGTCAACCTGCTGAGTCAGGAACCCATCGCGGGGCCAGTCATAATCGCCAAGACCGGTACTCGATGAGCAAACCTGCAGATCACGCAGTGATTTTTCAGCTTGGTGAAACCATATGAAACTTGGAACAAACATGAACAAACAGTATTTCTCTTATTCTCTTGCATTTCTTCTTCCTTGTTTCTTTTGTTTGTTCTTATACTTGCTGTAGTAGCAGCAGTAGCAGTAGTAGCAGCAGTAGCAGTAGCAGTAGTAGCAGTAGCAGCAGTAGCACTAGCACTAGCACTAGCACTAGCACTAGCAGTTGTTGTTCTTGTTGTTGTTGTTGTGGTGGTGGTGGTGGTGGTTGTTGTTGTTGTTGTCGTTGCTGCTGTTGTTGCTGTTGCTGTTGCTGTTGTTGCTTTTAAGAGCTTTGCCAACATGGGACCCTTCCCTGGCACTTCAACTCTGCAAGTGACCAGGCATCAACTGTGTCAAGCAGTTCCAGTACCACCTCAGAAGCACAATAGCTCAAAGCGGACTATTGGCTCGCTACAACATCAACGGCCAGAAGGGCAATCCATGGCAATCCTGTAATTATAGCTTACATGGGCGTGTCAGACGAGGTACCACTGAACTCACGATATCATAATTTATGCTGTATTAAATGTATTAGGTTGTGTCCCCTGTTTCAATGTGTTTCATCTGTTTCTCAGGATGGCACTGCATCCGTCGCCAGGTCTTCAGATAGCACACCAAGCACCTGCACATCTTTGGAATCTTCCAACAAATTGCACATGCCTAGGACCCAGGTTGACGAAAGCCAACGAGGCTTCATATCAGGCTTGTGCCCGTTCTAGACCATTACTACTTCAAATATTGGTCATTTCTCGTAATGCTCAATAATGAACCATCCCCAGTTTCACCACAAATGGTTGTTTTTGCTTTAAAGAAAGTACAAAATCCCCAAATGCAAAAATATGTATGACAATATATGACATCAGGGACACATCTTTCAGGTGGCTGAGGCCTGCAGGAAACCCTGCAGCTGGCATCGGATCTTGGAGACCTGGGCTGCAGGTGCTACGGTTTTTCCTCAGCATTTGAACAACCAAACTGAAAGGAGTTGCAGTTAAATTGATCTGCCTCAAGCTACTGGGGGAATGCTGAGCTTCCAAACATCCACCCTGACCAGGGACTCAGAAGAAATTCGAGCCTCGCTGACAGTTCTCAATGGATTCAAGATGATTTAAGGGATTTGTTTAGAGGAAACGTTAGGAAACCATGAATTTTGACACCATGTATGATAATGTAGGGGCGGAAAAAAGGAAGCGGAAGGTCCAGTAAAGGTTCCCTGAAATCAATTCGGGCAAGTTCAGGTCCCGGCAGTTGTGTTGAGCCACTGCACTGCAATTCCCTGCAATGACAATATCTCAGAAATCAATCCTCACATATCCTCACAGTTCTTAATAGCACACATGGTTCAGAAGCGCTGCAACTTCAATGCCAGATAGTGGACTTTTTGTCGTGCTGTGTCAATTTTAACCGATCGCTCAGAGTCTATACAACCAGCTGTGTGCCCCACCCAAAGCTCATAGCGCTTCTTCCAGGTTCCTTGCGCCTTGGTCCCATGGTTCGGCAAATCTCTAGATTTATCTCACCTCATCAAAAAACAACAGAACTAACTAATTTCGAAACTTCAGATTCGCAAAACAGAACTGCATGACTGCATGACTGCATGACTGCATGACCGAGTGATTCTTCTAATCAAGTAAGAGCTGGACTTCTTCCAGCATGTCCACATCCCCCGGTTCTTGCATGAACAGGACATAGCAATCCTGCGGCACATAGAGCGGTGAAAACCCTGGTACCCCAGGTGAACATCAAAGAACTGGTAAATGGATGTTCATCCCCTAAAAATATGGTACTATAGGTGTTGACTATTGTTGACTCATCCCCACCTAACAATCTATAACCTCAATGCTTCGTGGAGTGCTGATCTTCTTTGGGCAAGTCAATGTAGCAATGGGCTTGGCATGGCGCAACGGGTGCAAAATCTGGGCCAGTCATTCAGGTACTTGAAGGTATCTTCAAACTGATCCAGCTTGTTGCCGACCTGCAGAAACAAGAAAATCGCTGCATAAAGACTCCCAAGCACCAATTCTAGAAGAGGGAACAATCCGTTGAATTAGCCGAACGAAGTGCCTCGTCCAAGTATTTCTGGACTTGCGGTGCCTTGCAGATCCCAAGTGCAATGTGGATTCTGGCCATCACAACAGCCACATTCCTTTTCCTGCCTCCGGCAAGAAGGTTGGATCTGCAGCCATTCCTCCAATAATCTCGTCCTAGGTAGCAAACTTGGTGGCATTTTTTTATTTCTGTTGCAGATTTTCAACTCCAACCTGCAGATCTTCAACTTCTTGTTCAGCTGCATTGTAGCGGCTGGCTACCTGTTACCCAGGCGTTTCGATTTTAGCCCCTTTTGGCCACTGAGATTTGCCATGACATCCGAAATCGACCTTTCGACCTTCATTCCAGTTGCATAGACAACATGTCCCAAGACAAAAGCCTATATCAGCCTGTATCAGCCTGTATCAATTATCAATTATATACATACACATATATATATATAAATTATATATATATGCACATTATTAGATTTCTTCTGTACCTGACCGTCTTTTTTGGAATGAAATTGAGTGGCCGGCCTCTGTGCAAGCAGAATCTTCCTGTTCGTTCACAAAGAATTGTGCCCCAGGCATTGCATCGTTTTCAAAGGTCATCGCCTCAGCACGTCCGGAATCGTCCGGAGCTCTTCCAGCAACAACTGACAGATTTCAGCACCCAGGGACAGGACACGTTGGCTCATCAAGTCCCTTTGGAAGTCATCAGCCTGAGCAGAATCATGAAACATTGCTGCCTTGATGCTGAATTTGAACCGGGCTTCAGGTAGAAAATGGCTACTTGGAAAATTGGCAATGATACTGATACTGATACTTGGTCTATTCCCATTCTACCACCATTGATGGTTGGTTTAGTCCCCATGTCGATGATTTTCCCATGAAATCCCCCCCAAGAGCAGCACTGGGGCAGAACGGATGTTGTGCTGCGCAAGCGTGGCGTACCTGAGCTGCCGATTGCCAGTCAGGTCCCAGGACCAACATCACCAAAATTTCATCAACCACATTATCATTATCATTATCATTACAATATGTAATTATATCCATTATGTAATTATAATATCTATGTACACTGAGTGTATAAGTATGATCTTGTACGCAACTGTGTATTCGTCAGGGGAAAGGGAGAATAATTCTCCTCATTTCCTCTCAGCTCTCATCAACATCAAAGTCAGCAGTGTCATTAGAGCATCGTTCGTAGGGATCTGCTTTAATTGCACCTCCATCCCTTGAAAACATGACCGACCACAGGGGGTTGCAGGAGTTCTGAGCACTCTTAAGAAAAATATAGCAGAAACACTCATAACAAATGACAACAAAGGTTAGCTGATTAGTTTTCAAACATATTAATAAATACAATGATAGTGTCCCTGGTGTCCCTGTGTACATATCTCCTGGCATTTCCTCTTCTCGCACAGATCTACACAGATCTTTTTGCCAGTTACCCATCACTGAGTACCGAACATATCTTCCACCGAGGTCTTCAAAGCTTCCAAGTCTGCAACTTCTCCACCAATACGCCTGGGCAACATGCCATGATTCTCGTGGCTGAACATTGCAAAATCAGCCTTTAAGTATGTGGATATATGTGGTGTGTTGGGCTGGAACGTGAAAGTTCTTCCAAATCCACAACAATACATCTGACCCACCACACATGGCATGAACACCAAGTTGTGGGCTTGAAGCTGCGAACGTATTCCACCAGCTGCTCCAAGTTTTTTGGTCGCTCTTGCAGCTTCTGGTTGACCTGTAAGTGGCGAAATCATTGGCAAAATCATGTAGAACGCTTATAGTAACTTTGAATTACCAAAGACCAGCCGATATTAAACCGGGGTCACTAGCAAGCTTGACACTGTCGAATACGCATCTTCGTCTGTCAATGTCTGTCATATTTCCAATTATTTGAGCAGTAGCAGTAGCACTAAAGCGATCTGTCTAGGAAGGTATCGCACGCCCTGACATTGCCCTTGTCTCTTTGGTACACAAAATGCAACGCAAGAGGAATGTAGGACAATTGGCCTCCCCTGCTAGCTAGCCCCATGAATGCCTCATGGTAACGCACTGCAGCTTTCTTGCAAGTTTCAAGAGCCAGTTCCTTGGCTGCCAATAGACAAGGGCCGTAAAGCTCCAGAAATCTCTTGAAGAAATTAAGCATCTCTGAAACAAGCCAAGCAACCAATCAATCCATTGATTGCATGATTGAATGAGTCCTTCCTAACCATTTCTCATATTTCTATATATTTCTAGAATCTTCTCCGAAAGTGTGGCTAAACTTCGTTTGATCCTATGATATCCTATGAATCATCGAGTTTGAAACATGAGCAGCTCCCTCTCCCGGTCCCCGACGCTGAGTTTGGACTGCATCGCCTTGACGCTCAGCTTGACGTGAGTTACCTGGCACCAACTCGTTGGCAGCAACTGGTTGGCAATCTTCTAACATCTATTAGAATCATATAGAATCTAACATCTTTTGACATCTAACATTTTCTAACATCCTCCAACCATAAGTGGATCAAGGGGTTGCAGCAAACAAGAATAGTCAGAATAGTCAATTCTTCAGATTCAGGAGAGCACCATGGCGTCTCGAAGAGCTGTCACTTCGATGGACAGGAAGCCAACAGGATGTTTCGTCCTGGAAGCCAAAGGATTTGTTTGAAAATCAACAGCTATGCCAACTATGCGAACAAACTAAACAAAACCAAAGCTTTCAGCAATCCTTAAAACAAACACGTACTTTGTTTTCATCAGCTGACTATGCAACGTCCAGTCCAGACCAAACTGGCCTGAAAGAACACAATCAACTACATCTTCAGTATTCGCCGTTCTTAAGCTTTGCATGCACAAAGCATGGCGTGCGGTCGTTAGCTTCTGCAGGTGCTTGTCAAAAACTTGCATCTCACTCATGCCTCACAAGCGGCCAAGACGCCAGACAATGGATGTCCGAGGATTCACAAAATTGTCGTGCACTCAAACAACGCCCTGCAATACAAAGTTCTGGTGGCCTCGTGCCAAAGTGTCATGAGTATGTTTCGCTCGGCCAAATGCATCTGTATCCTCAGTCGGACGGCTCAGATTCTACACTTAAGCTGCGCTGCCTATCTGGAACATGCGTAGAAAACTGAAGACCTGAGCCGCAGGCCCAACTAAGGCTATGTAAGTGGATCTTGTAGACAACTGCAAAATGACCTTAGGAAGAGTCGTCGCGGTCAAGCTGCAAAAAGAAACCCCAAAAGTCCCAAAAGGATGTCTCCTACACCTGATTTAAAGGATTTGCAGCTTCATGGCACAAGTGATTCCAGCATATTACATCATATCGAAAGGTTTTAATGTGTTTTTATTGGCAAACCTTGGCCCTTGGAAATATATCAATGCCTTGGTCGTAGCAAATGCCGCTAAGATGCTCTCGCCGAATTGATGGGCCTGCCAGTCCGAGAGCTTCTCAGCTGCACCAAGTGCCAAATGAAGTTGTTGGTCAAATTTATATCTTGACCCTTTGACCCAAAGAAAATGATTAAATGGTACCAATGGATGATTTACTGAAAAAAATGATTTACTGAAAAAAAAAAAACGATTTCCACATTTCTTTGCCACAGCCCTGCAAAACACACCTTCTCAAAGTCACTTTCAATTTGCTTCATGAGCCCTTGCAGCGTCGTCCTGATCTCATTTCAATGTTTTTCGCAGCCTTTTTGGCAAAAATGAGCACAAGTGGATCAGGACTAATACTAATACTATCACTATCTACATAAATTAATAGAGGATGTATTCAATGTGTTATCCCAATGTGGTGGAAACAAAAAACGACAACAGCAAGGTCTACAGCCCAGGCCAAGCTCCTAAAAACCGGGTTGTTGTGGATCACGTCTGTTGGAATCGCCGGGGCCGGATCCTGCTTGAAATGCCTGCGCTTGCAAGCACTGCATGTTGATTTGTTTCCCTTCCCCTGAATTGAACATAGTTATGACAGTTATGACATAGTTGAACTCTTTGCTGTTGAGTTTCCACCTCTTTCCCCCTGGCTTCTGGTGTGCAGTGTATAGATTATGGTTTCCTCGTGTTTTACGTTTTGGCGTTGGGTTTCAAAGAAAAAACAAAGACTTGTCCTTGACTTGGAAAATAATGTCCGAAAAGGCTTTGGAGTTTGCGGTCGCAGGTCACAGGTTTGGGTGCGGCGGAAGATCGTGGTAGAGGCACCACCCAAGACTACAGGCATCCAACCACTGAAAGCAAGGTGAACTCTTGCTGACTGTGCACGCAAGCTAATTTGTTGCCAAATCAAAACAGGAAGCCTGTCTAATCTATACATAATATATAACATTACATATATATATATATATTACAAATTAATCATATACGTCGTACGTAGAACATTCAAGAGCCACGCGCCTCATGTACTTCCTATAGGAGGTCACGTTGGGCACTTTGCAAACAGCCACAATCTGCTCCAAGACCTCAGCGTCACCGAAAGGGCTCCGAGATCATCTCTATCCTTTTTGCGTCCCGAAGGCGCCCCGCAGCTGGGTTTCCCTCACTTGCTGCATACCTTCCTGAAAGTCCTTCTTGCCGGGCTCCAAACCCAATGGAATCCCCTGAAGGCCAAGTTCACAACGATCTCTTAATGCTTGATGTCAACTCAGGATTAGCAAGTATTAACAAGAGCCCCTTTTGGTAATCGCGAAATCCACATGTAACAACATGTTATCATATTTTATCATATAATTATATATATATATATATTCATATATCATATATGCTATCAACTTTTGAACCTCCCTACGTAATCACCAGAGTTTGTAATCCGGGTTTGACGTGAAACTGTATTTTTTTGTCTTTGTTGCTGAGGCAGGCACTTTCTCGTCACCTGCCCAGGAAACACGCCAGTTGAAGAGCTGGAAAAGGACCACATTTTTCGAATATTTCCCGGCAAGTGACGGAGATTGGTTGTGCTTCTTTATGCTTGTATCAGTTGTGGCCCAAGATCGTTCATGTCTGGAAGTTCTGAGGCTGACGAGAATCGCAAATCAGCAGTTAAAGTCCCCTGGCCTGAAGTTTTCGCTTCGCCAAAGGTGGGAGAAACAAGAAAGAGTTTGGAAGTCCTGCGCTGCCACATTTCGCCCGAGGCTGTCAATTTCTCCAAAGACTTTGTCTTAGGGACCTAGGGTTGCCTCGAAGTTCGTTCCAAAGTCGACGAAGTGAACCATCATATCGAAGACTCCAACGGCTTCAGGCTGTTCAAGACAATGAAAGGAAAATACTTAGCAAACGATTCATTAAATCCAGATAGTTCTGCATGTTTTTTCTCCAAATCCATATCTATCCTTATCCTATGAAGCTTGTCCTTGCAAAACGCTCCAACAGGCTGCAGGCCTTTGATGCCTTGGGTGCTGGAGCTTCTGAGCTGCCCAGCTGTTTGTGAAATGTTTCACTTTGAAAGGGGTCTTGTCCGGAAAGATCGGAAAGTGTTCGCATCCCGCAATTCTCCCAGTTTTTTCGTTTTGTGCAGCGAAACGATGGTGGGGAGCTGAGGCACTGACTGCTAGATCCACCAAACAGCTTTGCTGAATGACCTTTTCTCAGCCGAACAAATGTCGCGCAGAAGCGATTTCCGACGTCGCAGACTGTCCGGACCATCCCATACTATGGCCAAGTCGCATCCACCAAGCGCACGAAGCTGCCGACCAAGGACTTGTTGAAGGCACAGAGTTTCTGCCGATATGCCTCTCATGCAAGTCGTTGACAATACAAGCCATGGCAAGATTTGAAAAAAGCCAGACCCTGCAAGAGGTCCTACTCATTTACAAGAGAGTGAATGTTGCCTCCCTCTCAGCTGCTTGTCGTTTGGCAAAGACCTGAGCAACGGGTTTCGTTGGAAAATCTATGGTTGAAATCGGTTGAAAGGATGGTTTTGTCACCATGTTTAAAAATTTCCTGCAAGCTTCCCCATCATCCATTTCTGGAGGTATGGGTCAAAATCATCTTGCCTTCAAACCCAGTGACTGTCTGGAAACATGGCTGGAACCCAATCTGAAGGATGCCCTCTAAGAATTATTTACTGTACTTCCAAAGTGGATGGTGTCATTATCATTCTTGGTATGGGTCGTGTGGTTTTGACACATACCTGTTTGAACAAAGGCGTTCATGTGCATGTGAAAAGTGATCTTGACAATGTGGCCCAGACAGACACATTGCGGCCGCTCAACATCTTCAGCAACTTTGGATCCTGAAAAGTTTGATTGTATGCAAATTCTGACCAATAACAAATGCCAAAAGTCTCTTGAGTATCTTGGGTTGAATCTCACTAGCCTCTTGATTGAACAGCTCTGCACTGTTCATCACCTTCTTGATGGCATCATCCAATACCTGACACATCTGACACTGTGTGCCATTGCATTCAGGCGACATGACATGGCCCGCTATCGACCGCCATGGCCCATGGCCGCCATGGCCACACCTCACGAGCTGCTTCAGCGGTCGTGTCAAGGTCTGCCCGGTCACAAAGCTCTCGTTGCTGGACCAAGAAAGGCCGCAACCTGCAGTGGAGTCAGTGCATCCGGCATTCTACCCCAATGGCCCCAATGGGCCCTGGCTTGGATGGCTTGGATGGCTTGGATCCCCACTCCAGAGCCCCCATGGAATTGTGATGGCCGTCAAGAGCAAGAAGACCTGTGCAGAGGGGCTTGGACCAATGCGAAACAACTTCGAAGTAGAACAGAAGAGACTTGGAGAACCCAAGGACATGGCAAGAATGCAAAATATATCATATATAGAAATATATAGAAAAAAGTGAAGAAACATGAAGAAACTCAGGTTGCAGCGGGTGAAACTGAGACTCCGCAGGATTTCGTGCACTTTCACTTGCGCATCCGCGAAGATTGGCCTGAGATCTGGAAACCTATCTGCCACGGGGTAGTGGAATCAAAATATCTTAGATTTCTATAGATTTCTGGGAAACCACTGCGTAATTTCCACAGAATTTGGGCCAGGTCACCCAGGTGACCCAAACAGAACCAAAACCGAGTCGCCGAGCTTTGGATCCCGAAAGGACGTAGGAATGGTGATGTTTTCTCTCAGTGCCGTCTGTGAATTGAAAAAAACGACGCTCCGTTCCACTCCGTGTTTCCCATCATTCGCTTCTGATCTTTGAACAGTAGTTTGTATCAATCATACATCAAGATAGATCTAGAACTCATAGGTAACAAGGTCCCCTGGGACTGACTGCTCCCTGAGAAGCAAGCTTGGCCAGGAAGAGTCGCCGACTCAAACTTTGACGATGCTTCGCGTAGATCTGTAGCAGCCATGAGTCATGGACTTTCCTCTTTAGAATTGGGGGGTACCAAACATACATCTATTTGATCTAGAATCTACAAATAATATTTAGTAATACTCGATGATGTATGTAATAATATGAATTTATGTAATATAAATATATATATATACTACAATGTACTATCATCGCAGTACGTTTGGGAAGCTACGGATCAAAGGCCTGATTGGAAGCTCCGCTCCTCCAGCGCTGAAACGCTGTTCCTCTCAAGCTGTGAAAAACGTGAAGAAGAACACCCTGCTTGGGTGCAAAATATGTTTAAATGCTGTTCGTGGTTTGTTGATCAGGTAAGTTGACAGATTTTTGATCGCTCTGAAGCGCTCAGCGGAGAAGCGGTACTCGCGAAATTTGGCGATGCAAAAAAGGAGCGGCTCATTGCTTTCAGCTGCTCTTCGTCCAGCAAAACCAACTCTGACACTGTAGATTATATGTGTGTATGTATATTTCTATATATATATAGGACATGTATATGTAGTAGATATGTGTGTATATATATATTATGTATGTATATATATATATACATATAGACTAGATATGTAGATGATATATAAAATTATTACGTCTATATATACAATATATAATATAGACTTATATAATCTTATATAATCTTACAGATACATCTACATGCATGTGTATCCCAACAAACTCCAGAATTGGCCTTGCTCCAACGCCGTGCGAAAATTCCACCAAGCTGCCTGTGTCAGGGCACAGACCTCTCGGAGTTAAGCAGTGGGTGCATTGGGTGCACCCATATAGGGCCCAAGGACCTTGTGACCCTCGGGCAATTTAATAGGCAGCTCTTGACCACGGGCGATGCGGTCCCTCACAATCAAGGCGCCATAGCAAGTAGAGATGGTGGGCACTGGCACTTTCTGTTCTTTGCCCATTCGCACCACCGAACCCAACAAATCGTCAACCTCTGATGGTTTGCCATTCCAGAGATCACGGCTGCAACTGGTGGTTGCACCCTTTGCAGATTTCAATGCATCCACTCGTTTGTCCACCCACTCCAGATCATATTTGATACCATAGCTGTGGCAAAGTGCGACAATCTCATGCATGGCAGCACGCCATGTAGCCAAAAGCTCTGGGATCTCAGGAATCATGTCTTGAGTGGCATGCGGACCAGTAGTAGCTTGCACAGCTGTAGTGGAGCAAATGAAAGTAAATTTCTCCCAAATCTTTGAAAGAGCATCTTCCTCCAAATGGCCTTCCATCCCAGGGGCTGCATCCAAAATTGCCTTGACTTGAAGAGTCTTCGGAATGGGGGACCCTTGAAACTCACCATAGGTGATGTATGGAGGATTGGCAGCCCAATGCTTGATGTGTCCAGGTTCTGCGATGGCAGACACGATGTTGCAGCAGCCTGCGATCGCTGGCTTTTGGGAGAAAGACTTGTGATGTTCATTTTTTCAAGGTTCAGTCTTGAGAAAATCTCTGGTTGAGCCTGTTGAATAATTATTCAGCCAAAAGTATGCCAAGAGAGTGAAATGAGAACATCTTCCTACGTTTCCGGCCTGCAAGAGCATGACCTTTACCCCAGCTCTTGACAACTTCTCTGATGGTGGTGAGCCCATCCACACCATTCTGCAAGGGCAGAACTAAAGTTTCAGGGCCACACCAAGGTTCGCACTGCTGGAGGCATCCCTCGGCTTCTGAGGCTTTGCAACCTAACATGATCACATCGGCAACGAACTTCTCCTCCTTGTCCAATGCCTGGGAGTCCAAAATCGGGCCAAGCTCCGAGGCCGGTACCTGGCACAGAATTGGTGAAAAGTTCTGCAGCTATCTGTAGGTCATAAATGATCATATTGTGTCATAAATGGTCATAAATGGTCATAAATGGTCATAAATGACATCATTTGACAACTTTTTTTTTCAGAAATGTTCAAGATGGGTTGGAATCTTGGGAGCTAAGAATGCCAGAGCTGCTTGTGCATCGCCACAAATGCTGGTGATTCGAACTCCATGTTCTTTGAGAGCTGCTAGTGCTTTGTTTCTCACCTTGCTCAAGGGCCAATCTTTGTTTGAATCATGCCATCATGCCACTGTCTTTGCAAGGTTCATCTGTCATTGACACCATGTTCTTCACATTCCTATCCATCATGAACCCTTGAATCCTGTGAAGTCGTGCAGGACTGAAGTGTCTTAAGGAAATCGGATCAAATCGGATCAAATCGGATTTTTGGATGTCACTCTTTTGCAAGCAGGCGGCAATATAGCTGACACGTTGTCCTTTCACCTGCGCGATGCGTGCACCAAAATAGCCACCGACTCCGCCGCAACCAAAAATGAGCCACTTCAAGGATGGAAGCTCCGACATGGCTGGCGCAGAGGGACAACTAAAACAGCTGCGGGGAAGAAGGCATGTGGGTGGTGGGTGTGTCTGAAAATCCGTATACAGTATACTCAGTATACCCCATTTGTTTAACAGTGAATAAGTTAATAGACAGTGATATCGGGGTATTCTATGTTCTATGCTCAAGCAGCTCCACCTACATCACCTACCAAAAAGTGGGATGCAGGCACAGTCCTGTCAAATAGTTCCGGAAGAATGACATGGAGACCAGGACCTCAGGAACACCACTGACATCTGACATCTGTTGAGGCCAATAAGATTTCCCAACTCATGGATTTTGATAATCCCATTAATATTGGATAGTATAACCCCATATATATATATGTCATATATATATATGTATGTATCTATATATATAATCATAATCATCAATCAAGAGGACGGTTCAACACTGCTCATCAAAAATTAAAGGCTTTAATCACTGCAAGTTCGACCCGATAAAGTTGCACCAAAGCCGCCGTGAAGATCATTACTTGATGCATCCTCAGTTGCAGACGCGCGCCATGATCAATGGAAATCATCAATGCACACCAACTGAGGGTGGCCAGTCAAGAAGCAGCGTGATTTAAGTGGCCATGAGCCTCAAGTGCCCCTTTCCAATCAACCACATTGAAGAAATACATTTGCCTTCCTTCAAACCTAAAACTGGGCAGAGAGTTGTTCTCTATTCCAGCAAGCAGCCAGCTGGTCAGAGTCGTATGCTCAGATTGCTTCCCAGGAGAAACATGGACGATGCCCTTAGGCGAGATCATGAAGTATTCGTTCCCTTTCTCCTACCATAGACAACAAGTGGCAAGTTCCCACAAATCGAGAGCAAGAATTCTGGCTTCACATGATACAACTGGCTTCAATCATCTGAAGAGTACATGTGTACCCAGAAAACATATCTTTTTAATACATGAAAACACCATCTCAAGACTAACATGAAACATCAAATGCTATCAGTTCCTGTCCTTCTCGTCCACCACAACCAAATCGTAGGGCCGAAACTTACCTTCTTCTTCATGTGCCGACACACAGTGGATCACCTGCACAGTTGCAGGTTTCAACGGTTTCGGTTCGATCCATCCAGGTCAAATGCAGCAATTTCCCCACCTGCAGGTCTGATTGATCTCCGTGCTTTGCGAAGAAAGCAATGGCATCCTACAAGATCTTTGCGAAGTCAGGTGCAAAATGGCACAATCTGGTACAACAATTTGTAACAATCAGGTAGCGAACTTACATTGAAACCGATCGCAGTTTCGGAGCGGCAACATTTCCATATGTCTGCAATCCCTCAAGCGAGTCCTCCCCTGTCTTTAGAAGCTTCATCTCATTCCTCAGGCCCGCAGGTTCCCAGGCTTAGTGGAAATGAGTGGCATTTGTCCTTGGCCAGTGGGCCAAAGTCAACTTCTACTTCGATGCAGTTCTTAGTTGCTTATGGTTACTTATGGTTTCTTCTGATTCAGCTGCTGGAAGTTTCTGCCAAGGATCAACAAGGCTTCTTCCCTGTCCTCCTGATCCGGTCCTCGCCTGTCGCTGTCTCTGCCAGTGGTGTCATGAGATTTTGGGACCGATGTTCATGATGGACCAGGTGACCATCTTCGGCGGCTGTTGTTTGGTAGATAGTGACAGGTATTTGAGAGTGTGGAAAATACATCTACTGACTCGAAACGTGCGAAAGAATGAAAGAGAAGCATGGGAGAAGCATCTGGCAGTTTGGTAAACGCGGATTTGAACAGAGTAACCAAAAAAAAAACAAAGAAGCGCACGCTGATACGACACGACAACGACACTTATCTCATCTACTGTAATCTCTTTAAGCCCGAAACTGCTGGCGGCAGTGTCTGTGCTGTATAGGGATGTGAATCAATTGGCATAAAGGAGATAAGGGGCTGTTCGAGAATCAGCCCAAACAAACCCAAAGATGTTTGACTCCGCAAAAGTTTCTCAGTTTCTGACAGAGCGTGTAAAAGCGCTTTGTCTTTCTCGTCTGCTGCTTCCTGGCGTAGGATGACCGTATATTTTGGCCAAGCTCGGAGCTGAAAAGATTGAAAAGAAGCTGAAAGGGTCCTCCTGCTCCTGGTACATGAACCAGATATTCCGCAAATGGATATCCAGATCCTGGCCAACTATCAGCAAGCCTCATGAAATGTTGTTTTCGCTCCAGGCCGCACAAGGCACACACCGCACCTGCACACCACCACCAGTGGAGGCCGTTTCGGTTGGAGTCTCCTCTGCTTCAGCCTGGAGATGTCCGATTGTGATCATCCCCAATTATATCATATTGGATAGCAAAGCCCCACCATTGGATTGGGTGACAATCCCCATATGGCCATGAGTCAAAACCTTGTACCCCTGGTGAACATCAAAATAGCTGGTAAATGGATGTTCATCCCACTAAAAATGGTATCTATAGGTATTGACCCATACCCATATAATCATGTGATGTGTAATCATGAAGCGAAAGGGGTTTTGAACACTGCCCAATTCCGACCAAAGACATCACGACTTTGTGCCAGCCTCGGCAGCTTGCTCTGCCAAAGCCTGATACATTGCACAAACTTTTACGCCCCAAACCACATGAGTCGGGTTTAAGGGATTTACTTCAAACCTCGCAACGCAATCGCCAAACGAGAATGCTCAGTGGCTGTTGAGTTTTGTGCACGTGGACATTGTGATCTCTTGACTCCGGGGCCTCTTGATCAACTTCAGGCTCCTCCTCGTCGAATTTCCTCACGAGACAGGACAAAAACCTACGAAAACCACAGGTGCAAGCCTGATGCTGAATTGCCCCACACCTTGCCTCACCATCGAGAGAACCTGAAAGCGCCCGAAGGTTGAGGTTCAGAATGAAATGTATGACCACTACAGCCCACAAAAGCTCAGGGGAAGAAAACAAGTGGCTGTGGGTCAAAAAAAACTCCAATCGTAGCTCGCATGTATTAAACTTTGACTCGTGATCAAGCTAGTCGGTCGCACTTGCAAAGCTCTGGCGCACCTCCGTTGTTGGAGGATACAGCACCTGGAGATTTCCAACGGGGCTTCGCTGGAAGTTCACCTGCACCGAAAGTGTTGCTCTTGTGAAAAACAAGTACCATCGAAAGTAAGGGCATTGTTTCCATTGGCCTGTGCCGAGGATGGGCGATAAAGTTTGGCTGAGCGAGGTGACAGGCGGTCACCCCTTCGCAGCCTCAGATGGTTTCTATTTTCAAGACATGAATCCATAAATGATTATATATGGGCATTTAAATGGGAAAATTGAATACTATAGATGATGGATTTCCAGCACTCTATGTGTGATTTCTCTCACGCAAACCTTTACAATTTTTATAGACTGATTGCCAGAATTTCACCTCTCTGTGAGCCCTGCGTGGTGGCCACTTGCAATCGGTGTTGGCACTGTTGTCGAGCCTTATCGCAGCTTATCACAAATCCCAGCATAGGATGGGCGGAAATTGCAGTTGTTGTACCCCAACCGCCCCAACCATATCCTTCATAGCCTTCATATCCTTCATGTCTGTCATATCTATCATCTGTTTCAGCAGATTCTTGGTTTTTGAGCATCCCACGAAACGGGCAGCTTGTTGTGCACTGCCGCGCGGTGCAAAGTTGGATGCGCCCTGGGGAGCATGGTTCATCAGCAACGTCTGGAAAGCAGTGAAGCCATGCGAAGCCTGTGCAAGCCTGAAGTCTCAGAACCGAGGTCGAGGGGAACTGACGAGTCCATGCTTCTAGGATTCCGCACTACAGTCCACATCCAACATGATAACATCACCCAATTCACTTCCCGCCAGAACACCTCCACAAACTTCACTCGCCGCTTTCCACTTCCCTGTCAAGCCAAGTTGACGCAAAACTTGGATAAGAGATTTTCTGCAGAGATCCTTGCTTGAAATGCACTTCCAGCACACCCAGAAGCCGCTCCAAGACCACCCCACCGACAGTGCGGAGCAAATATCTCTGAAACCTTCCATTATCGCAGTCACTATCTCAATGTGTGTCTTTGTTGCTGTTGTTGTTGTTGTTGTTGTGGTGGTGGTGGTGGTGGTTGGCTGTTGTTTTGGTTGTGTTTGTGTTTGTTGTGTTTGTTGTGTTTGCTGTGTTTGGTGTGTTTCTTGTGTTTCTTGTGTTTCTTGTGTTTCTTGTGTTTGTTGTGTTTCTTGTGTTTCTTGTGTTTGTTGTGTTTGCTGTGTTTGTTGTGTTTCTTGTGTTTCTTGTATTTCTTGTGTTTCTTGTGTTTCTTGTCCTTCTTGTGTTTTTTTGTGTTTCTTGTGTTTGTTGTGTTTGTTGTGTTTCTTGTGTTTGTTTTGCTTGTTTGTGGTGTTGGTGTTGGTGTTGGTCTTGTTCTTGTTCTTGTTCTTGTTCTTGTTCTTGTCGTAGTTGTTGCTGCTGCTGCTGCTGTTGTTGTTTCAACTGACATGAACTGCTAGCTCCCTCTCTGCTCTTCAAGATGTTGTCGAGCTCTCCCCAGCATAGCTCTGCCTGCACTGCCAGCACCTCTGCGTCTGCATCTGTGTCAGCATCTCTTACATCCTCCCAGGTCGCAACAAATGAAGCTACACCAACAGTGTCAACCCCAGACTGTAAACCCTGGTTGATTAAAGACCGGTTGCATCCCCCAAATAGTGATAATCTGTAATAATGTTCTCCTAAAACAATGGGAACCCCTATAATCAAACAGCCCAAGGGTTTATTAAGCCAGGGTTGGCATCAATGGATAAAGGGCGCAGCTTGCCAGCTAAACTTAGTGTTGGAACTCCATACTTCCATCGCTGGGATTCACAAGAATACAGCAAGTGCATCTCACTGCGCACGAACCTTAGCCTTAGACCTTAGAAAGCATCAGGAGGTTTGGACAAATACCTAACTTTCCGTTGGAGATGGAATCCATAAACAACCGCAACAAGAGAATTACGTCTGAGATGTCGATTTCAGACGAAACCCTGAACGTCTATGATTATCCAGGAATGCCTCCGAAAAACAAACCCAAAAAGCGGGTGAAAATAATATAAGGGTATCATCGCTGTCGTCACCATCACCATCATCATCATCATCGTCATCATCATCATCATCGTCATCAACATCATGATCATCATCATCATCATCATCAACAACAACAACAACAACATCAATCAGCATCATCCTTCCCATATTTTCCCCATTTAAAACAGCTCCAGACCCTGGCCTCCTCGCCCCGGGCGTGGCCCTCGACGCCAGAGGCCCGTCGTTTTGGCCGGCGACCGCTCAAGCCCGCCCCCGGCGCTGAGGACGGGCGGTCCCGCGGGCCGCGGGCGGAGTGGACCTGAAACAAAAAGAGAAGGGATGAACCAGTGGAAAATATGAGATTTATATTGGATTTTATATGGGATTTATATTGCTGATTTTCCACTATCATGTTGATAGTTTAACGTATGATTTTCAATGGAAAAGAAGAGTTGGTTGACCAATGGGATTTTACATGGGCTACTGAATACTGATAATATTACCCTCTGGTAAACTAACATAACTATGGAAAATCACCATTTTATATGGGAAAATCCACTATAAATAGCAATTTTCAATAGCTATGTTAAATTACCAGAGGGTAACGGGTTAACACTGATTATATTTACAATTATCAGCATTGGTCAGAGTTGACCATTAGTGGACCATGATGATGACTATAGTCTGGGGTAATATAATTGATCAAACGTACTGATGATCAATACTGGGGGAACATTGGCTAACTAACTTGTATCAATATGATCAATAGGAAATATGGGCCTCAATACTGATAACTAACCAAAATGGGCAATTTCACGATAGAACATTTTCATAAACCAGTGAATTCTGGGCAATGTCATGGATGATTAACGAACTATGGGGGGGATTTCAGCAACATTATATAATGGGTATATATTGGGGATATTAATGGATTTTGATATTGATTTCACTTAACCAACATCTGTAGATAGTCAATGGATCGATTTCAGGGAAAATCTACAAGAAAGACATGTTATATATATATTATATATATTATATATTATATATATAATATATTATATATATATATATATTATATTATATATATATATTATATATATATTATATTATATATATATAATGGTTATGTTATTATCCTCAAATCTCGCTTCCTGCAAAATCATCCTGGGTCCTGTTTTGCCGGTTTAAATGGTGTGGGATGCACCAAGTTGTGGCCATTTTATGATAACCATGCAAGCCTTTGAACTATCTATCTGCTATTTAGTTACTTGGGGTGGGCCCCCAAATTACAGTCGTTTTTGTATGTTTTTGTAGGATACCTTCCGGTTTTGGATACTCGAAAGCAGGACAAAAGAAAAGAGAGCTGCAGAATTTGCTCTACACACCATTTGACGACAGCTGCGCTTGGCCTGCATGGTCACTTTTGCAAGGCATTGCCCGCTTGCCAATGCGTCTCATTGAAGTTTCAAGCGGATGTTTGACCGTGCATGATGCTGACATCTGGCTTAGAACTGTAGGTTTGGAACGAAACTAGGCAGTTGATTGCTGGAACGGTATGTACAGTGTTCTCCATGCTGCAATGGCCATTAGTGCTGTTGACAGTTGGTGTGACCGTGGCTTTTGTGTGTCTGACTTGTCAGCTTCACCAGCCATGATTGACAAAGGAACGTAATTCGTACGAAGGCGAGCGAAGCAACTGCTGTGCTTCACATGCATGCATGCACGTCTGAGACTTTCACTTCTCGATTTTAAAACCATTGCATAATCAATGCATATGCCAAAAGCAACTTTGTGCTTTAGCAAAACTATGTAGATTTGAAAGCCCTGAAAGAGAGAGTAGAGTGCGCAAGCAGGCTCAAGTCAAAGTACAAAAGCACCACACCGTCAGTTACAATGTGCATGTGTTTGTGTACACTTGTGTCGATTTCATCATCGACTCTTTGTTGAATCCATGGTCGAGCTATGTCGAACTGCTGTCTACTCACTGGACCTTTTGGAGTGAGACAGGCTTTGGTCTCCTGATGGGCCTCACAGGGAAAACACATCAATCAAAAAATAACTTTCATCTCGCCGGAATCTGTGAAAGTCCCCTCTGTTCCTGAACATCAAGCCCAGGGCCTTGTCAAGGCTTGATGGGTTCGAGGCTTTCTTCGAAATCACTGTCACTATCCTGGGTGCAGATTGAAAAAACTATCAGCAACTGTCAAGTCATTGGATACGGACCTACAATTAGTTGACGATTCATTCTTAGGATCCAAAGAAACAATCGAAAAAAAAAATATTCCATTAATATCCATCCTATTATTAGAGTAACAACTCATCAATGGTTGTACCATCCAAACTTTTAGGGGATAATCCAATCACATTCTTGACCCATACCTGGACCTTATGGCAGCCAAAGATGCTGAGGTCTTTACGGAATCCTCTCCAGTTTCGTGCTGCCCGCGCTCAAATATGGCAACGCCTCCAAGCACCTCGTTTTTGTGGCAACCATATCTTGGATGGCACATTTGCAGTCCCAAAAATGGGGCTCTGTCCCAAAAAATGGTGATGTGGATATTTAGATGACTTTTAAATGGGCAAAATGATGATAATCATAAGCCATTGGGTTTCAGGTGCCCTAGTTTCAAAGAAACTCGGTTAGCATGGAGTGCGGTAGTTTGCGCAAAAGGCCGAGGAACGAGAGCACTTCCCAGCACCACCATGACTGGAAGATGTTCTCCCAGAAAGGCAACTGATATCGATGCCAAGCAAATGGTGTTGAGCCTCACAACTGTTTCCAGTGGTCATAAAATCGGATACATTGGACCACTGGGTGCAGGACTTACCCACGATCTGTTGAGCACTGGCACCCAGGTCGTGCAAAGCCTCGAGAAAGTCTTCGTTGTTTTGGGACTTTCTTGCTAAAAAGTGGTTTCAGTCCCCTGAACAATAGAAGCTGTTAGGGATCATAATTCCAAATATGAGAGAAGATCAAAAACATTTGAAACCACCAACCAGCCACAGTAAGACAGACCTGGCCGGAGATTTATGTGTTGCACCATTGAAACCCAACTTTACATGACTTTTGAATGAAGTAGAGCGTCAATGCCTGTCGGTTGCACAAGGCAGCTTGACCGGTGCACGGAAGCTAATGGGCTGCTGAGGGACAAAAGTGCCCAAGAAATTGAGCGCGAGGGCAAAAGAGCAGGACAACGCAATGTAGCCACATAGTTCAGGAGTCAATTGTTCCCACGCCTTCCTTAAATGAGTTGCACAAACTTCAATTGACAATAACAAGATTCACAACATCAAGGGAACACAAATATCACAACATGTGAACAGGCCGGGGTTCTGAGGACTTTCGCCACCCCAAGTCAGTGCATATGCCAGCGAAAGCACTGCACCCCAGGGATACGTCCTCAGTTGCACGTGGTATAGTTAGTATAGTTGTGTCAAGGTAGTTGATCCACTTCCAGTCCACCATCTTCAATGGGTTCACTGAGAAGTTCAGTGGGTCTCTGTCAAGGTTCAGGCCCAAAACGTGGATCACTGACAGCGGCTCCTCTTCTGCGTCCAGACCTCTGGCATAAGCTAGCGGGGCCTCAGGCAAAGAAGACACAGAGTCGGCGGGAAACTGCTGGGTAATCACTGTAGTAATCACCCAAACTCCAAACGTTGCCATGAAACCAACACACAGTCCAATTCCATGAGCTGCAAATGCGTTGCATTTTCGATGCAACCATGTGCACTTTGTAGTCCAATACAACATCTTCGAAATTCATCCAATGAGTGATTTGAAACAGATCTAGGGTCAAGTGGCAACCATCTGTCATCAGTCCGATAATCCGACACGCGGACTGATTCTCAGGAGCTCTAGTATTGACTGCAACCGCACTGAGGATTCAACCATCATATAATCCAGAATCACTATCTTTGCACAGCGGCCAGACAAGGAGGCAAAGGCGTAGATAAGTCCCTGTCCGTCAATATCAAAGTCGAAACCACGATTTCTTGTGTCTGCCCGAAATGGGGTACAACTCAAACTAACGACGTTACTGAAAAAATTATTACGGTACTACTCCATTGAAACTCGGGTTGCCCCATCCTCAGACAAACCCAGTTCAATTGACTCTGGTCAGCACGTGGCCTTGCCTCAATGATGCGAGACTTGTGTTTGGCCTCTCCGACCTAAAGCAACTCTGTGCAGTTTTGATACCTCTCACAGCCTCTGGTTGATTGTTTTGATCTGAAAAATATGCAAAAGTCTGTGGAGGATCATCATCATCTTCTTCTTCTTCTTCTTCTTCGTCGTCGACATCCTCATCATCATCATCATCATCATCAAAATCATCAAAATCATCATCATCATCAACATCCCCAACCAATAAGCATGAACCACCAACCAGTTCGTTTTCATTGTTTTCTCGTCGAGACCGGGACTGAAGACACCTCGCCCCAGGAGATCACCAATGCACCGAAGAATGCAATGATCACACCGCCCCAGGACAAAACCTCAGCGGGGAGCGGGCTACGCCACACGCGCCACACGTTTGTGAAGTCAAAGTCCCACTCCCCAAGAATTAGCTATGGCAGAGGCTCATCACGGTTCTATCCTTGCGATGCCCATATGCTTGCAAAGACAAACAAAAATTATACATATAATATATATATACATATATATATATATATGATGTATGTATATAATATGGAGGGAGAGAGAGAGAGAGAGAAAGAGAGAGAGAGAGAGTCTTGTGAAAGTTCGACTCAATCGCCTTCCCACCACTTATTGTGCCAAACCAAGGGACTGTCAGCCGTCTGCCGCAACAACTAGAGATGACTGCTGTACAAACAGGAGAAAGCGTCCCAATGACGGCGCAAACACCAGCACCAGCATAGACCATGGCTTTGTTGTTGAAAACCACCTCTGCAGAACAAATAGTGACTTGTGTCTGGTTTGAACTTGGACTCTGAAAAGACCTAACTTCAAAAATGCATGAAAAGGACGTGAAACTCGTGGTTGCCAGCATCTTGGTCGAGGCACTGAGATGGGTTGACTAATCGCCACTGGAACAACTGTCCTCAGGTGTGCGATTCACAGAAGAAAGCAAAGCACAAGCTCTCAACGATGGATGTTGCCATGATGTTGCCCACGTGTGCGTGCAAAGAAGGTCTGTTTATATCTGAGCACAGATCTCAGATCGGCAAAGCCCTCTGCGATCTCTGTATTTCTAAGTCTTTGTCTTTGTCCCTGACCTGCTGATGCAAACGCAACTTGCACAGCTTGCACAGCTTGCAGAGTTTGCCAGCAAGCTTCTTCACCCAGCGCAGGAGGGGAATTGACCAGGGAAAAATCTTGCGAGGCTCTCCTCTCCATGTCCAATACCTCAGTGCAGAGTTCAGGGCCGAATTCCTCACAGCATATCCTACCAGCCTTGAAGCCTATTTCCCACAGCTTGAAGTTGCCATGTCTATCTGAAAGGTTGCCCAACAGCATCTATATGTCTATCATTGTCTATCTGGTCAATCTGTGCTCCGTAGATACTTGACCTATATATAGATATATATGTATGTGTATATAAATTGAATACAGTATATGATTCATAGTGGGATTTGATCAGCATTCAAAGCTAAAGCGTTTGTGGGATTGGCTACTTGATGTAATCTTCAATAATGCAGTCTGAATTAGTGGCCAAACTCCTGACAGGATAAGCTGAGAAGCATAGAAAAAAGAAACTGCTGACCGAGTGACACAGAGACAGCGACCACAACACAAGAAAAATGCAATGTGGTGAGCAAGCCAGGATACCTGCAGGAAGTCTACCTAGCTGGACACAAATCATGTCATGTGCCGTACCTGTTTATGCATATATTATATACCAAGGAAATTTGCTGGGTGCTCTGCCTAACCCTAACAAAAGTAAGTCCTCTTACCTTGGAACTTTGTCAGACTGATGTATCCTGTTACAAAAGCCCAATGAGTATCAGATTATGAAATTGATGATATCTTAGCAGTTGCTGACCATGTTCGCAAAGTTTGGGAGGGCAGATAGTAGTATCAAACAATACTTGATATAACTTAAAAATCACTGCAATTATCAGTAGGTCTGGGCTTCAGCCACTGTTTTGGATATGGTTTTGATCCTTTAAAGCCTGCACCCCAGGGCCCCAGCCCCCCACCAAACGCGCCTCCAATTGAAGGGCTTAGACTCCACGATCTTCACCGACAGCTGCGTTGCAACTAGGAAGGCCACGAAGAGGCTGGCGCTCAAAACCACTCGAAGACCACGAGAGCGAAGAATGACATATATGGCCACCTAAGAAATGGAAAAGGATCAAACACAAATGGGTTTGTCTGAAAATAGGGTATATTCCCAATTATAGCCATTTAATAGGGATAATGATCATTAACCATTGGGTTTAGGGGTACACTATTTTCAGACACACCCAAATGCTGATCATATCTGTAGAATCTGCTAATGATACAAATGATGATAAATGATAAGTATCTCATCAAAACTGAAAAAAAACTCCAGCTGCTGATGTCATCACAACTTCCCTCTCTCTGGAACAAAAATGTCTGAAAAGTCCCTGACGAACAGACTCACAGTCAACGAGATAGCACATACTTGACCTCAGCACTACAAAGGTTCAGAGTCAAGATCCTGTCTCGTTTATAGTCTATACAGTATCATTGTTATTGTTACGTCATTATTACGATTGATCATCTATGGCTATAAGTGGCTATAAACAAGTATCTACCAATAAATAATTATAATCTATAGTATTCTATAGTCATGCTTATGGACCTGCCACTTGTGAAAAACTCGTAATCATTGGGAGTTCTGTAGAACTGACACGTCAATAGATCTGAGGCACTTATCAATGAAGCAGTCGTCATCGCGAAATGCTGCGGCTACACTTTGCAGTGGGTGTTCAACATCGTTTTGGCTGCAGGCATGGCATTAAAACACGGACTAAACATTACCTCTCATGACCACACGCTGTAGGCTTGCACAGCTTGCACTGTAACCGCAGCTGAGCTCCAGCTTTGAAAAAATATGTGTCTACCAGCTGTCTAGCAATGAGACTTTGTTGAAATGCTTTGGAATTATGGCAGCCAAAAGAACTTTGGGCCGTGCAGGGACACGGATTCTCGACAGCAGCAACTTCTCCAGGACTCAATGAGACCCATCGGCTGAAAACGCAAATTTTGAGAGAAATCATTTTTCCGTGGAGGCTCGTGTCTGGAATCTAGGTGAAAAGCAAGCCATCCCAGTTCCAATTCTACACGGTATTTCAGAAGCTTATACATCTTCCACTGCATCTGGGTCAAGCCCATACCTCAAGTTCAACGATGAACAGCCACAGCATGTTAAGCCAAGACCAACACAAAGTAGGAAGCAGTTCAAACAAGTCCGGTAGTTGAGCTCAGCTTGAAACTCTTTTGTTAGGTCGCGATATACAGAAGGACCTGTGACCCAAGAGAAGATTCACAAAGAGATTAAAACTCAGCCAGCAAGTCATGTTTTATATGGAATTGTCTCAACTTTGGGAGCCACAAACTGTATGGTTTATCATCATGTTCCCTATCAAAAGTCTCAGTTTGGAGTATCCCCCCAATCCCCCCCCTTTGAGACAAACCCCAAAGTAGATTTGCTTTGCTTGACAAGTTCCCTCTCAAAATTACATGAGGACTAGACCAACAGCTCTTTTGAGGGCACGAAGGACTTGGCCTGTCGGATCGGTGAATGTGAACAAAGTGGTCATCCGGACCCGATCTGTTCAGAGGGAACTTCTGACCCAAAGATCACTAGGGCACTATGTCAAAGTGCACTTAGTCTTTGCCTATAAATCTGAAATCGTACAGGACAGGTGTACCGAAACTAAATATAATATAATATAATATAATATAATATAATATAATATTTAAATATATATATATAATATATAACATAATATAATATAATGTAATAAAATATAATATAATATAATTTAATATAATATAATAATTTAATATAATATAATATAATATTATATTATATTATATATATATGTATGTATAATAAATCATGTCCCCTACCTTAGTTACCCCCCCCCTCCCCCAAAACAAAATATTTTGATGGGTGACCCCCAAAAAAATATGAAAACACTTTGAATGGAAAAAAAATATTTCAAAATAATTGTTGTTTTCTATGATATTGTTTGCCCTCAAGAGGGTTTCATCGTATAACTACCGAAGACACTATCAACCCCCTGAAAATAATTTTGGAAATTAATTTCCAACCAGAAATTATTTTGGTGATGGTTAGACTATGTAATCTATATATCCAACATGTTAGAGTTTTGGAATATTATTTTGGAAAAAAAATGTTGGTGGGTGACCCCCCCTGAAATTATTTCACTAAGGTAGGAGGGGTTATAAATATAGTATATAATGTTATATTAATATTATATTAGCATATAAATAGATTGTATCTTAATTATAAGTACAATTATAGTTTTATTTCTATAATAATTATTATTAGTATTATATTACATTATATTTTATTATATTAAATAATATTAAATTAAATTAAATTATATCATATTATTTAAATTATGTTACATTATTTATATTATGTTATATTATACTATATTATGTTATGTTCTATTATAGTATCTAATATAAATGATACTGTATTATACTATATTTTGTTTTACAATATTATATTGTGGTGTTATATTATGTTACATTATATTTTATTATGATATGTTTAATAATATAATATAATAAATATAGTTTATCATATTATGTTATATTAAAATATATCACACCAACTATATACTGCAATACCGCACTGCTTCGCATACCCTCCGGAAAACTGCAATGCCAAGGACGATCTTTCAATTTTTCTGGAACGAAGAATTCTTTAGATGCCCTTTGTGGTTGAGTCGGGCAGTTTTCCATTGGTTTCTTCAACCACTCACAACGTGCAGCCACCTGGTGCCGTCTCCTCTGGCGGGGTCTTTGCAGATTCCCCAACGGCCATCGCGCTGCGGAAGGCTGCCTGGGCCTGCCATGTCTGTTTCAACGAGGGGAAATTTGGGAAAACCAGAATCACCAGAGCTAGTTATTTGCAGCTAATTTGTCCAAAAAGTCGGGAATGACCCCAAGCAAACTGGGGACTTAACCAATAAAAATAAAGATTTCAACTGCATTCTTTCCCATAAGACCATTTGAATTATTGGGTCCTCGTTTCTGATACCCATTCTGAAACCAAGCCTTTTGAGCTTGACTAGGCAAACCATTCGCATAGGCCTCTGACAAAGAACCAGAAAGAGCAAACTGTCAAAACAGAAATGTGCACTCTCCGCTCTCAGAACCTTTGCAGAAGCTGGATGAATGACTTTCCAACGCATCTCACATCCGACGTTTTCCACCTCACCCGGTTGCTCAGCTCCCCACATCCAGCAGCAAGGCCAACGATGCAGGCCCAATCTCTCCCTCCGGCTGGGCCTGAGCCTGGAAAACAGTTCAGCTACTCCTGGAACTGAAAATTTGGCGCCCGTGTATCAACAGCATCTCTCAATGATGGGTCAGCATGACGTTTCTTCACCGGAAACGCAGAGACAATGCATGAGGTCTGCAAGCGAATCTGCAACTGCGACATTTTTCAGGTACAGTATGATCAAGTATGTCTTGTTTTCAATGGCATGTATCTTTGGCGCGGAACAAGTACACCTGGAAACCAGAAATACATATAATATTATATATATATACCCTAGGGGGAGGGGGTTCCCCGGGGGGGAAGGGGTGGGGTGGGATGGGGTGGGGTGGGGTTGGGTTGGGATATTAACGTCCTGACGACCACGTCCTTGATACTACGTTGTCAACGCATGTTCCACCAACTAGGACGACCTTGATGATGCGACGTCATGCCACGTTGACAGCACGTTGGCGTGGGGTGGGGTGGGGTGGGATATTAACATCCTGACGACCACGTCCTTGATACTACGTTGTCAACGCATGTTCCACCAACTAGGACGACCTTGATGATGCAACGTCATGCCACGTTAACAGCACGTTGGGGTGGGGTGGGGTGGGGTGGGATATTAACGTCCTGACGACCACGTCCTTGCTGAGACGCCACGGATTGCAGAAGGTTGTCAACGACCCAATCGAATATCACAACGTTCTAGCAGTGCACTATCTAAACAAAAAGCCTGGTTTGGAAAGTGTCGTGAAAGCACTCGCACGCTTTCGGCAGCTGGCAATGAAAAGTTGCCGCCAGCCAACGTCAGTGTTCAAAGAAGCACCATGGGACGGCTGAAACAGAAAAAAAACAGCTGACTCACAGCACTGGGAAATCTTGATGATATGCAAAAACACTGGGAATTCCCAATGAAAAACAACATCACATCAAAATACCTGTGGAAACACAGTACATTATATATACCCTTTTCCAATGATCTCTGATATATCACTAAATGTGCACCTCGTAATTCCAATGGGGAAAAAACACAAAAAAAAGACGTGTTATCAGGGTCCATCTACGACTTCAACTTCGACGGACGAAAAAAAATTAGTCCGTAATTGAAAGACATCAAGTATGAAATGAACTACATCAAAAATCTCCATTTTACCCCAGTAAAACACTGTTTTTTTTCTCAAATTCAATGATCCTGATTGACGTGCTATCGGAGAACCTACTCCCCCTACCGTATATATATATATATACTTTTTTATACGTATGTATGTATGTATGTATGTTATGTTATGTTATGTTATGTAGTGTAATGTAATGTAATGTTATGTTATGTTGTGTTATGTTATGTATGTATGTATGTATGTTTGTTTGTATATATATATATTGGAAAGCTGCTACCGCCATAACCAAGCAAAGAAATTGAGGCACCTTCGCGGCAAAGAGCCTCTCTACGAATCTGTATTCACCACCTTGCAGAAGAATGCCGTTTATTTGGAGCTAAATTGACCCAGGCATGGCAAAAGGAGGTGAAGATACGTGAAGTCAATTCGAGACCGTGATGCCGGCGGACTACAACAGACCTGAAATAGCGGGTGATACCTGAAAACTTAAGGCAAAAATCCAGAACAGTATGGTTGATCATCACTTTTCACAACAATAAATATACTAGGTTACTAGGTGTACCTCCCCTGTTCAGCACCCAAATAAAGAATTTACTGGGTTGATCACTCTTTGATGCCGGCGTGGCCAAGAGGTCAAAGCCTTGGCGCGACGTGAACCACTCATTAACCCAGCTTTGCAACCCAACAGCATACCTGAATCTTCCACCTACGTCTTTTTTCAGACCCTGTGCCAAAGTCCTGTTTTTTCAGTACCCAGAAAACTTTTCAGGACCTACTCTCAAATTCAGGACCTGGCCATTTTGGGGTATCAATGGTAATGGCAATCATTGGGTGCAAACATGTGAAACCAACATTTGGTGGATATTCAAGCCATTGGTATTGATCCACGCAAATAAAAGCACTCCCAGCCCAAACTCATGGCAAGGCAGGATCAGAATATAGTATATTCCAGAAAGTATGTCAGAATAGATGCCAGATAGGATGCCAGAAAGAATGTCAAATAGAATCCCAGAAAAGAATGTAAGATAGTATGTCAGAGCATATATGCCACATATACGTCCAGATAATATATCAGAAACTATGTCAGAATAGTGTGTTAGGGTGGGGATCACTCTTAGTAAGGCAATTTTGAAAATATATTTCAGGTTCGGAATTTTCAAACTGTTGTCCTTCAGGCGCCGAAGCTCCCGTTGAAGGTCAGCATCGCCCCATGTCAACTGGTCCAGTCCCACTTCCATTTCAACAAGTCCAACTTCATCGATTAGGGTGTTGGTTGAATGGACTTGGGACTCTAGCTGGCACGGCATCCCTTGTAACCCTGTAGACACTGTAGTGGGCAAAAAGATTGTAACACACAGAATCAGCATCATTTTGATCAGGCATTCATTTTGCTAATCATTTCTCCCTGTTACGAAAAATACCCCCAAATGACAAAAACTAGGTGCGATTTCCAATTTTGGGAAATGTCAAATTGGTTAATCTGATTTTTAATTAATCCCCTTGAGGAAACAATTTTAAAAATGAAGGTACCATGTGAGGGTTTCACCCCAAAGAATAGGGTCCGTCCTTTAAAATCGTCAATTTTAGTTTTTTTAATTCAGGTGTTGGTGCTTTATTTGATACTAGGCGAAAGCTTCGAAATCCTATTCTTGGCAATATTCTATTTAAAGATTATTTTCATGGATTTTGAAATTAGAAACAAAAAACGGTTTAATCCCTTCCCCCTGTTGCTAAACAGTCGCCCCTTCACCCACCCACCCAAATAACAAACACCTGGAGGAGTTTTTAGTATTGGGGGGGTCTTTAGTATTAGGGTACGAAGCTTCCCCCTAATACTGATAAAAAAAACACACACACACATATATTTCTATTTCAAAATCGATCAGATTTCTTTCTTTTTAAATCCAATTAAAATATGGCAAACAAGTGGATTCCGAAGCTTAATATCAAATAAAAACCCCCAGCATAAAAAAATATGTATATTTTTCTATTTCGAAATCGATTAGATTTCCTTTTAAAAATTAAATAAAATATGGCCAAAAAATTGGATGTCGAAGCTTTTCCGTTATATTAAACCCTAATATCATTTTGTTTTTTTTCCTGTTTCAAAATCGATTAGATTTCCTTTTGAAATCTAATGAAAAAAACAAAAAAATAATTTTGAAGCTTTCCCCTAATATCAAATTAAAATCCAATTATTAAAATATGTTCAAAAATTGGATTTCGATACTTCCCCTAATCTTGCATGAAAAAATCCAATATAAAAAACTAAATTTGTTCTATTTCAGAATCGATTAGATTTCCTTGTAAATTCAAATTAAGATATTGCCAGAAATTGGATTTCGAAACTTTCCCCTCATATTAAACCCTCATATCAAAGACTATTTTTTCTATATCAAAATTCATTAGATTTCCTTTTGAAATCTAATTAGAATATGGTCAAAAATTGGATTTTGAAGTTTTCCCCTAATATTACATTTAAAAACCCTAATATAAAATATTAGTTTTTCTTTTTTGAAATCGATTCGATTTCCTTTTAAATTGTAGTAACAAAAATAAAAACAAAAACCGGATTTCGAAATGTTTCCTCTAATATTAAATTACCAGCCCTAATATATTTAAAAAAAACTGTTTCAAAATCGATTAGTTTTCTGTTTAACATATAATTAAGATATTGCTAACAATTGGATTTCGAAGTTTTCCCCTAAGATTAAATTAAAAACACTAATAAAAAAAACTATGTTTTTTCGATTTCAAGAATCGATTAGATTTCCTTTTGACATCCAGCAAAAATATTGCCAGGAAATGCCAAAAAGTGGATTTCGAAGTTTTCCCCCAATATTATATAAAGGTTGTAATATAAAATACTTTTTTTTTCGACCTTAAAAGACCCTAGTTTAAAAAATCACCGGGGCTGACTAGTTTTTATTTTTTGGTGGTGAAATCCTGAAATGGGACCTTCATGTTTAATTTGTTTTTGAAAAGGTATCAATTAAAAGTCAAATTGGCCAGCCTGAAATTTCCCAAAATTTAACGCGGACCCTAGTAAAAGGAATCAATGTAATATTTTAGTATTCAGGGTACCTTTAATAAAAGGAGGTGGGGATTAGTAAGGTTTTCAATTTAATATGAGGGGAAGCTTCGAAATCCAATTTGGCAAGATTTGAGTTAGATTTTGAACAGGAATTCAATCGGTTTTGAAATATAAAGTTCATTTTTGTAAACGAATGTTTTCAATTTAATGTCAGGGGGAAGCTTCGGAATCCAAGTTTGGTAATATTTTAGTTAGATGTTATTTAAAAAATGTTTTCCAATTTAGTTTTTTTTAACCAAGGGGGAAGTTTCGCACTCTCATACTTAATACCCCCTAAATACAAAAAACTATTCCGTGTCTTCATTATTGGGTGGGGAGGGGCAGACGGTTTATTATGACGCAGGGATTGGTCAGGCATCACTTGCTAGAATTATTGGATTCTTTTGGGATGATTTCATACTTTAGTGGCATCCTCCAAATTCATTAGTCAGCCTTTGTTAATCCAGGGCCCATTTTACACATGTCATCTTCTTGGTCGTGGCGCCATTTCAGGATCACACTGATGACCTAAGCTTTGGCCTTAACTATGATGCAGGCAAGCGACATCAGCACGCTATGGTATTGGAAGACACAGGGTTTGCCCGTAGACCAGCCAAAAAATCGATTTTCCACACTGAACAATTGGATTTAACACATTTAGAATAGGAGCTCCGCCTGTTCAGATTTCATCACTTAAAAGGTACCCATGCCTGACTAGCCTTCATAATTAAGAGGTACCCACCCACGCCTGATCTAACAAAACCCATGCCTGACTAGCCTTCATAATTAAAAGGTACCCATGCCCCTGAATTCAGGGAACCATGCCTGACTAGGCTTCACAATTAAAAGGTACCCACTGGAACCATGCCTGACTAGCCTTAATGACTTAAAAGGGTAACTACACCTGACTTAATACCTGATTACTGGTTTTGCCTGATTTTGGAAAAATGCAGAGCCGGAATTTGCCGGGCTGGGATTTTGGGGTCGTGCCTAAATAGGATTTTTGCAAAAATCGTGCATGACTGAAGGGAACCATGCCTGACTAAATATCATACCCATGTAATCACTTTTGAGGAGCACTCTATGGCACGCAGCGCGCGCAGCCTGCTTTACGGTTAAGCGTTTGAAAGTTTTAGGCTTTGCCTCTATGGCACGCAGCGTTTGAAAGTTTAACCGTTTACCTCTATGGCAGGCTGTGCGCGCAGTACGCGTAGTACGCGTTACGGTTTAAAGTTTGAAAGGTTTAGGGTTTATGTGTGTGGCACGCAGTGCGCGCAGCGCGCATGAGGGTTCAGGGTTTGGAAGTTTTATAGTTTATTTTATTGCATGCAGCGTGCACAGCGTGGGTTGAACTTTAGGGTTTCGAAGTTTAGGGTTACCTCCATGACACGATGGTTTAGGGTTTGGAGATTTTAAGGGGTACTTCTATGGCACACAGCGCGCGCAGCGCGCGTTAGGGTTTAGGGTTTAGGGTTTGCAAATTTTAGGGTTTACCTCTATGACACGAGAGTTTCAGGTTTCAAGATTTTAGGGTTTATTTCTATTGCACAAAGCGCGCGCATTTGAAGGTTTTAGGGTTTATCTCTGGCACGCAGCGCGCACAGCGCGCATTAGGGTTTAGGGTTTGGAAGTTTTAGGGTTTATTTTATTGCATGCAGCGCGCACACCGCGGGTTAAACTTTAGGGTTTGGAAGTTGCATAACACGATGGTTTAGGGTTTGGAAATTTTAGGGTTTACTTCTCTGGGACACAGCGCGCGCACCACGCATTAGGGTTTAGGGTTTGGAAGTTTTAGGGTTTGCTTTATTGCATGCAGCGCGCGCAGCGCGCATAGAGTTTAGGGTTTGGAAGTTTTAGGGTTTCAAGGGTTCCAAGGTTCCAGGGTACCAGGGTCCCACGGTTTCAGGGTTCCAAGGTTTCCAGGGTTCCAAGGGTTCCAGGGTTTCAGGGTTCCAGGATCCCAGCAGGGTGCCAGGTGTGCAGGGTTGCAGGGTTCCAAGGTTCCAGGGTTCCAAGGTAGCAGGGTTCCAGAATCCTTGAGGGTTCCTGGGTGCCAAGGTTCCAAGGTTTCAGGGTTCCACGGTCGCAGGGTTCCAAGGTTCCAGGGTTTCAGGGTTCCAGGGTTCCGGGGTTCCAGGGTTCCAGGGTTCCAGGGTTCCGGGGTTCCAAGGTTTCAGGGTTCCAGGGTTCCAGGGTACCAGGGTCCCACGGTTTCAGGGTTCCAAGGTTTCCAGGGTTCCAAGCAGGGTTCCAAGGGTTCCAGGGTTTCAGGGTTCCAGGATCCCAGCAGGGTGCCAGGTGTGCAGGGTTGCAGGGTTCCAAGGTTCCAGGGTTCCAAGGTTGCAGGGTTCCAGAATCCTTGAGGGTTCCAGGGTGCCAAGGTTCCAAGGTTTCAGGGTTCCACGGTCGCAGGGTTCCAAGGTTCCAGGGTTTCAGGGTTCCAGGGTTCCGGGGTTCCAGGGTTCCAGGGTTCCGGGGTTCCAAGGTTTCAGGGTTCCAGGGTTCCAGGGTTCCAGGGTTCCGGGGTTCCAAGGTTTCAGGGTTCCAGGGTTCCAGGGTTCCAGGGTTCCAGGGTTCCATTCCGGATTTTGAAGGCTGCAAGTCCCCGCGAGCCAGCCCCAGCCCTAGAGATTGAAACCCAACAGGCCCTGCTGTTGGGAATAAAGCAATCATCAAACAACGGAAAATACAATGGATTGAAATGGATCATTCAATTGTTTGATAGTCCAAATCATAACTGATTGATCATACTCTAAAATTTTCAAAAAAAAAACTAAAATACATGCCATGATCACTCAAAATACTTGAAGCGGATTGAAGCGGTATCACTGTGAACCCAGACTGGCATCGCTGTGCTGGAGCCCAGCATCTGAAACCGCCTTGGCAATCCGTGGTGTATCTGAAAACGAGACATAGCTCCCCATTTAAACAGGGAAAATGATGGCAAATGATGGAAAATGGTGAGAACCCAGTCCAATATGATCCAATGGCTTACCGTGGTACATGATTTTCAGTCACAACCATAGTAGTTCATTGACCTTGGCCCCTGCCTTGAAAACAGCCAGGGCATCATCTAAAGCACCTCGCCGTGAGAATGCCTGGCCCCGGGTCTTTCCTAAACCACTGCACCAGAAGGTCTACCCTCTGTTCTTCATCCTTAGAACTCAGCATCCAAGTTCTGAAAGGTTTTGTGGTTTCCACGTTCGCGTGAAAAAGGAATGTCCCTTCAGTCACAAATCAACCCACAAGAAACCGTTGTGTTGCTTGTTAAATTTTGTTAGTCAAATCAGATAATATAATACAAATGGGACCCAAAAAAAATTGTCCCAATTTTCACATGTTTATATATTGGGAAAACCACTGGTTTTGGTGTCCCCCATGGACCCCATGATTGAATCAAAAAGGTGAACATCCAGCTGCCCAACCTCAATCACGAGGTCGTAGGCTCCCACTCCGGGTTTTTCACCCGAAGCCTCAGCTCAGCCGCCTTTGAACTTGCAAAATTGTTCAACACTGACATGCAAAACTGTATGTTTTTATATGCTTTTAGTATGCGAAAACTGCACGTTGGTTGCAGTGGTCTAGAGACGGAGTTGCAGAAGCATTCACTTTGACAGAAATGAAAAGAGGTGCATGGTTGAATGGGTAACGGATCAAAAAAATATTGGGATCAAAAAATACTCTGGAGATCAAAAAAATATTATCAGGATCAATAAACTATTTCCAGTCATAGGAATAGTAGATATAGTAGAAAGAGTAGACATAGTAGAAATAGTAGAAATGGTAGAAATGGTAGAAGTATGTAGAAGTGGCAATAGCAGCAGCAGCAGCAGCAGCAGTAGTGGTAGTAGTGGTATTTAGTGGTAGTTAGTAGTAGTTAGTAGCAGTAGGAGTGGGAGCAGTAGTAGCAGTAGTAGTAGTAGCAGTAGCAGCAGTAGTAGTAGAGCAGTAGGAGCAGTAGGAACAGTAGGAGCAGTAGGAGCAGTAGGAGCAGTAGGAGCAGTAGGAGCAGTAGGAGCAGCAGCAGCAGCAGTAGTGGTAGTAGTGGTAGTAGTGGTAGTTAGTGGTAGTTAGTAGTAGTTAGTAGCAGTAGGAGTGGGAGCAGTAGTAGCAGTAGTAGCAGTAGTAGCAGTAGTAGCAGTAGTAGCAGTAGTAGCAGTAGTAGCAGTAGTAGCAGTAGCAGCAGTAGTAGTAGAGCAGTAGGAGCAGTAGGAGCAGTAGGAGCAGTAGGAACAGTAGGAGCAGTAGGAACAGTAGGAGCAGTAGGAGCAGTAGGAGCAGTAGGAGCAGTAGGAGCAGTAGGAGCAGTATAGGAGCAGTAGGAGCAGTATAGGAGCAGTATAGGAGCAGTATAGGAGCAGTATAGGAGCAGTATAGGAGCAGTAGGAGCAGTAAGAGCAGTAGGAGCAGTAGGAGCAGTAGGAGCAGTAGGAGCGGTAGGAGCAGTAGGAGCAGTAGGAGCCGTAGGAGCCGTAGGAGCAGTAGGAGCAGTAGGAGCAGTACGAGCAGTAGGAGCAGTAGGAGCAGTAGGAGCAGTAGGAGCCGTAGGAGCCGTAGGAGCAGTAGGAGCAGTAGGAGCAGTACGAGCAGTAGGAGCAGTAGGAGCAGTACGAGCAGTAGGAGCAGTAGGCGGAGTAGGAGGAGTAGGATACTAGTAGGATACTAGTAGGATACTAGTAGGATACTGGTAGGATACTAGTAGGATACTAGTAGGATAGTAGTAAGATAGTAGCAGTAGCAGTAGCAGTAGCAGTAGCAGCAGCAGTAGCAGTAGCAGTAGCAGTAGTAGTAGCAGTAGTAGTAGTAGTAGCGGTAGCAGTAGTAGTAGTAGTAGTAGTAGGAGTAGTAGGAGTAGGAGTAGTAGTAGTAGTAGGAGTAGGAGTAGGAGTAGTAGGAGTAGTAGTAGGAGTAGTAGTAGGAGTAGTAGTAGGAGTAGTAGTAGTAGTAGTAGTAGTAGTGGTTGTTGTAGTAGTAGTAGTAGTAGTAGTCGTAGTAGTAGTAGTTGTTGTTGTTGTTGTAGTTGTAGTTGTAGTTGTAGTTGTAGTAGTAGTAGTAGTTGTTGTTGTTGTTGTAGTTGTAGTAGTAGTAGTAGTAGTGGTTGTTGTAGTAGTAGTAGTAGTAGTAGTCGTAGTAGTAGTAGTAGTAGTTGTTGTTGTTGTAGTTGTAGTTGTAGTTGTAGTAGTAGTAGTAGTAGTAGTTGTTGTTGTTGTTGTAGTAGTAGTAGTAGTCGTAGTAGTAGTTGTTGTAGTAGTAGTAGCAGTAGCAGTAGCAGTAGCAGTAGCAGTAGCAGTAGTAGTAGTAGGAGGAGGAGGAGGAGGAATAGTCGTCGTCGTCGTCGTCGTTAGGGTTTCTTTTAGGGTTTTATGTAGTGTTTCTTTTAGTTTTTCTTTTAGGATTTCTTTTAGGGTTTCATTTAGGGTTTCATTGGGAGTTTCATTTAGGGTTTCATTGAGGGTTTCGTTTAGGGTTTCATTTAAGGGTTTCAATTAGGGTTTCTTTTAGGGTTTCATTTATGGTGTCATTAAGGGTTTCATTTAGGCTTTCATTTAAGCTTTCCTTTGGAAGATTTCATTTAGAGGGTTTCATTTATAGGGTTTTATTTAGAGGGTTTCTGTCTGTCTGTCTTTCTGTCTGTCAGTCTTTCTTTCTGTCTGTGTTTCTTTCTTTCTTTCGTTCTTTCGTTTTTTCTTTCTTTATATATTTATGTCTTTCTTTCGTTCGATTGATTCCAGGAATATGTGTTGATCCTTACAATAGAATATTATAAATATGTGGATCCTAATAATATTTTTTGGTGCCAATATTTCTTTGTTGATCTAGATCTCGGTTGAATAGAATTTCCTAGCTGGGAGAGTTCCATTTGTTTGGTCACCACTATAGGATGAAGATCTTCAAGCATCTGTATTTCCTCATCTGTGCCCCCTCTGTCTGTTTCAGTGCGTAAGTGACATCTCCATGAGGGGATCACTTGCTTTGATCAAAAGGTGTTGCAGGAAATGTCAGTATGAGTGTACGAGTTTGTCTGAGACTGGAGTACAGTATGCTCCTTTTTTGGGCAAACTGTAAACTCATCTTGGCCTCGGCTGGAGAAAAACTCCTCAGCGCTCTGCTGTGATCTCTTGCAGAATCTCCCATGCCAGCACGCCATCGGGGCAGAACCTCAGCAAAATGGCTATGGATCAAGCCGCCCGTCCCTTGTTTGATGGATAATCATCCCCACATCTCGAAAATCATATCATAGGTTGTGAATGGCTTTTGACCCATTCACAGCAGCCAAAGGAACAGGCCGGAAGGGATGGCACCACCAGGTCTTCCATATTTTCCATGTGGCAAAAGATATCCGCTTCGCATGTTATCTGAGCTCAGCGCTCTAGCGTTCGCCCTTGGGTGTACAAAGGCATGACAAAATGGCGGGTTTTGTCTCCAAACAGAGATCTGCATTTAAGCACGGATCGCCCTCTTCAGGTTGTCCACAAGCTATGGACTTTGCCACAGGTAAGCTGGCAAACAAACACAATCAAACCATATCAAACACGCATACCATCACATGCACATCTGCGCATCTTTGGATCTTCAAGCGCAGCTGGGTTTCGAATCCGTACTTCGTGAAGATCCTCTTGAGGCTCTGAAGCCTCATCCTGCGCCCTGAGCCAGTGATCTACAAATCTGATGGAAACAATGTGCTGGGCATCTGAGGCATATACTCCATCATCTCTTCAGGCTGAATGAACATCTTTCCCAGCACCTCCTCTTCCTGGAGTTCAGCAGCTCATTGAGAGGACTTCTGCAAGGCGAAGTCCAAACGAGTACTATTGTGTTTGCAGAAGCGTGCAACAAAGAAATCTGCTTTTCAAGACTTCGGAACGCTCCTCCGGGGTCATCCGGCGTGGCTCCGCCACCTCTAGGGACTTCAATGCAAACAAAAGAATCTATCCATCCTGTATCATCCTGTATCTACCTCTGCATCAGTAGAATATACAGTAATGTTTCATGAACTTAGCGCAGTTTGCCAAACATCAAACAACAACCAGCAGATTTCATGTTGAGTTTCATCCGGAAGCAACCAGACCGAGACCTCCAAATCGGGGAAAAAAACAACTTGTGGCTTGCCTCAGCCCCCTGTGCTGCTTTGGCCTGCGTTTCCAAACCAACCCACTCACTGCAGAATGACACTCCATGATGACTCTGACACAACTCAAAGTCGCCCATGACAAACCAACTCCGCTTCAGCACAGCAACTTACCCCCCAGCCCTACGCTTTCAAGACTGGCCCACCCTCTTTCCAGTATGTTGTAAGATGTGTAGAGAATGTGAAGAAAACTGACAAACAAAGGAAACAACATGTGGATACTTGAGCAAACCCAAACCTTGACAGCGGCAGTGGCTTTGATCCCAAGTGCCAATGACAATCAAAACTTCCAAGCCTCTCCGCGTCGAATGGCTGCTTGGATCATTTCCAAGCGCTTCTCCGCATCTGAGCCTGTGACAGAAAAGAGCAGGGCAACAAACAATCAAGTTGAAAGTCAAATCTCGGGTAGTTTGGGGTAGTTTGCACTTGACTTTTCTGATTTTTCCAGACTCGTCGTCTATCTGCACGCACGTCTGAGAAGCAGACTTTCTCGATCAGCCTGCGTTGCAAACGGTCCGGCTCAACAGTTAACACCAAGCAGCAGAAGCAAACTCAGCAAACTCCAAAACTGGTACCTGGCGGCGCTTCACGAGTTCACGGGAGCACAACAAAGCTCCTGTGGATCACAACTGAAGCGTTTCAGGGCTACGTTGCCTGTACTTATCCTGTTCCTCTATGTTCCTCTATAGAGCTCGGCAAATTCCAAGACACCCCCTCCAAACATGTCTAAAGTTTGAGACTATTCAAAACCATCTCAAGGATACCAGAGCAAGGCAAAGGACTAAAGCTCAACAAGCACGCTGGACTGGTGCTGATGGCTTGAAATCAAGCTGGAGGAACAGACATCAACAACTAATCCGCCAATGAAGTTTCTAAGTCTCTTTTGTCTTATCAGCTGCGCTTGAGAAGGCCTGCTGCACCCACAATCTGTCCACCAAGATGAGAGCTGCCAACTCAGCCAATACTTTTCAGTCAAAGACCTCCACACTGACTTGCGGCTTTGTTGGGGCTCAGACCCCAGGCAGGCCCCCAGTGCAGCGAAGTCGGATGCCCCGACATCAGTTGCACCGGAGAGTGGGCAGGCGCCGAAAGCTGCGAGATGCAACCTGCCAGATCTTCAGGATCAGGATGGTCTGGGAGCTTTAGCGATGCAACCGGAAGAATAAACTCAAGTGCTATCCCCAACAGCATGATAGTTTCAGCACTTTTTCCAATACCACACACCGGTTCCTTCCGGAACCTTTGGATGCTGCAGCGGAACCTCCGGAACCTCACAAGGTATCTGCACTGCAACCCTCCAGAACCTCACCAAGCATCTTCTCCAGAAACTTCCGGAGCCTCACCAGGTATCTGCGCCAAAACCCTCCCGAACCTCGCAAGGTCTAGGCCCGGAACCCTTTGGAACATCACCACGCATCTTCACCTGAACCCCTAGGAACCCCATCAGGTATCTGCGCCAGAAACTTCCGGAACCTCACCAGGTATCTGCGCCAAAACCCTCCGGAACCTCGCAAGGTCTAGGCCCGGAACCCTCCGGAACCTCACCACGCATCTTCACCTAAACCCCTCGGAACCCCATCAGGTATCTGCGCCAGAAACTTCCGGAACCTCACCAGGTATCTGCACCAAAACCCTCCGGAACCCCACGAAGTATCTGTACAGGAACCTTCTGGAAAATCAACACCGCATCTTCACCTAGACCCTCAGGAACCTCATTAAGGTGTCAGGTATCTGCACCGGAAACTTCCGGAACCTTAGTAGGCATCTGCGCCAAAACCCTTTAGAACCTCACCAAGTATCTGCACCGTAATTCTCCGGAACCTCACCAAGTACCTGCACCGGAAATTTCCGGAACCTCACAAGGTATCTGCACCGGAACCCTCTGCACCGGAACCCTCCGGAACCTCACGAGGTATCTGCACCGGAACCCTCGGAACCTTGTCCGGAACCTGGTGTTCAAGCTGCACCGCATCGCCCCGGAGCTAATCTGGGCCAAAGACCCCACAGCAAGCAAAGTTTTGCTGTTGGGGAAAAAAGTTCTGGACACATCAAGATCATCAAGATCATTAAGATCATCAAGATCCTATCACACTTCAGGTGCTCTGTAGCAAGCCCTTCAAAACCCATAGGTGTGCTGCGCAGCCTTGAATGCCATTTGCCCGCACAGGCTGCGGCAGCATGGTGGACTGCTTAAGACTAAAATAGCAGGGTCGTCGGAAGCTTCCAAAACGCCTGGTGAGATGGATTTTTGATAATTTTGAAGGCATTCCAATGGGATTTGTTATTTTATTGGGATGTAACCTTAACCCGCCATTACAAGCTGGTGAGATTCACCTCTCTACATCAAAGGAGCATCTTTGCCTTTGTAATTCTATAGACATGCAGAATTGAAATAGAAGAGGCCCGAAAAATGCAAAACCACTGCGACATTTTAGGAACATCTGGTCTTGTTAAATGGCCAGCGACCGTTGAGATGTATCCAAGGCTTTCCAAGGCTTTCCATCATTCCAGTCCATGACCTGTTGAGCCGACCTGCTGTAGTAGGCAAGCTGTGTTGTCCATTCTCCAAACACCACTCCCCACGTGCCGACAGCATAGATTGTGCCAATCTAGATCATGTTTATGGTGTCAATCTGAAATGTCCATTGAAACGCCATTATCCCATTTGCTAGATGTGCGGGGTAGCCTTTGGCCCATGCAAGTCGTGAGACCAAGCTTCCTTCGGAAGCTTGTGAAACTTTCACCCTCTGAGGCAACAAAGCTCGTGGCCACCAATTTCCTTCCTGAATTGTACAGAAATATGGATTTAACAGCCGTTAATTAGTATCCAGCCAATAAAAAGGTGCTTGAACAACTTTGACATGCTTTGACTGTTGATTACAGTGACTTCTACTGAAGTGATCACCAACAATCACCAACATTAATAAAGTATCATAAAGTATCCTGTCCATGGGAGTAGATTCCGTCTGAATTATAATCGTCCATTGGTCGCCCCCAAAGAGGCAAAGCTTCTGCGGATTCTGCGAATCCTGCGGCTGTTCTTCGGGACAGTCAGACCTGAGGGTCACTGAAAGAACGGCAACAGCATTAATCTTCAGAGTTGTACCTGGGCGGAACATGAGGAAGTACAAGTACAAGTACTATTAGTATACTATAGTACTATGAAGTACTATGAAGTACTATGAAGTACTGCTGTCTGATCTTCGGAAATGCCAGAAATGCCACTGTCTCGCAAACGTTGCAAGCGCTGGCACTAGTTTCTTCCCTCAAATGCTCTGCCCACTTGCTGCATTTGCTAAGAGCTTCTGGCAAGATGGTGAAAAGTGGCGTTGGTGCTTTCTTGATACTTTCCAGCAATGTCTTAGTTTCTCGTTGCTTCCAAAATCAGCTTCATGCATGTCCAACAAGCAGACGTAGATGCTCTGTACCCACGTGTTGTTGCTTTCAGATGCTTTCAAGGCTATGGACCTCAACAAACCTGACCAAATTCCTGCATGGATTTGCTGTGAAAAGAACCAGAGCCCCTTTTAAGGCATTTCATTACATTTCATTCATTTTTCCAGACTCCAAAGGGAGAATTCGGGAGAATCAAATAAAAGTGGGCGCACTTTGCTAAGATCTCTTCTGGCATATCTTCGAAGTCCAGCAGCTCGCAGAAGTCATCAAAGGTGACGGCCGCCTCGCAGCAGGTCGTGGCTGATGGACCAATGGAGCACCGCCCAGCAATGCCGCGTCCCGTCCTTCTGGTCGACATCGATCATCTCCCAATATCTGTCGAACTTTTTCCTCGTGAGGTTCTTCACCAGAATCCCAGCCTGGGTAGACTGGATCATGGTCCAAGTCTCAACAAAACTCAACAGCATGTCATTTCGACACAGTCTTGAAACAGGGGTCCAGACCAGCGCGCAAGCTTGCTCTTTTGGAATTGCCGCACATGTCTTTGGATACTCATCCACCTGCTCAGAGACTCTCAAGATACTTCACAAGACCTCAACAAAGTGGAGGTGCCGGTGGCATGTGGCCCTGCAGGCTACTCTTGGCACAGATGAGATGTGATGTAAACTTTCTTCACGAGTTGCGGCCCAACCTGACTTCCAAGTTCAAACTTGAAGCAGTCGTACACGTACCTCAGAAAGCAGGCTGAACAACTCAAAAAACACAGCTTGACACCTCAATGCCACTATTCAGATCTATTCAGTTCAATGTCAGTCGGATTGGCGTGGTTTCCGGTTTCCTCCTGTGTCCCCTCTTTTAAGATCAAACTAAGTCACATTATGAGTTTGAGGTCAACATCCATGTCATCGGCCAGCTCCTTCAGGTAAAGCCCATCTGAAAACAAACATGATGGCACTGTGAGGCTTCAAATGTCACGTGAATGATCGCGAATGTGTTTTCTACCGAAATGTTCTTGTCGAAGGGAGTGACAAACGCAGGAGGTCGACCTTTTAAGCTGATCTGGGAGTCAAGCACCGTCAAGCACCGTCAAGCACCGTCAAGCACCGTCAAGCACCGTCAAGCACCGTCAAGCACCGTCAAGCACCGTCAAGCACCGTCAAGCACCTTTGGACAAAAATTCTGATCTTTGCCAAGTGGACAGTCCTCGAAGGTCCTTTTCACCTTCTCGGCGCTGCCAACAACTTCTACCTACACAAAACTGCCAAGCAGTTTGAATAGGAGGTCTGCCCAAACCACTGAACAAAATGAAATCCTTTGTGTTTGCTGACAATGATGACTGTTCCTAGGTTCCTGCCTCGTCATCATACACCCTGTAGTGCACACAGGCCGACTGCATGAGTGGCTGCCCCCGATCTAATGCCATGTTAAGTCAAACAACCGCGCAACAACCTTCATATCTGAGCATCGGCGCCATCGTACAAACTCGTCGAACTCGATCTCAGCCATCAGATCACATCTGGGATACGTCTGCTGCACAGGCTGCCTGGATTCTGCTGGGCTCCCAACCACACCACTGGCGTCATGATCTAGCCGTTTGAAACGAGCCTCGAACTCCGCCTGCACGAAACAGGAAAGCGGAAAGAGACATGCCACATAGCAACAGCGCCATACCCAGCAAAAAAGCATTTGAAATGAGCAAGTTCGTGGCATGGCACCTCAGTGAGTGTGGGTTGAAGCTGCTTCAGAAGCGAAAACATCGTCTTTCTATCAATGACCTCGGGCCAACAGTGATTTTGAAGCTGATAACTGATAACATTGAAGTGGAGGATGGAAACTGAAATAAGGTGACCTTACGATTTAACATCAGGCCAAAGCCCATCATGTATTGGGGGCTTCACATCATGTGCTCCTGATGTCCTCGCTAATTTTGCTTGCATCTTCTCAGGGAAGTTTCATCTACAACATTGTAGACGCAGGTTCTCTGGGTAAGACCGCTCACTGACAAATATGTCTGAAATCTCTATTCCAGCGCAAAAGATTGGTTTGCAGCACTCTTTACCAATGTTGAAATTTAGGCTTCAAAGATCTTGAAAGCCTTCGCGTGGTGGGTGTCCAAGGAGGAAAGGATCCTCGCGTTGCAGGTGGATCTCAAAGGTCAGCGGAAAGTGTTACAGGCCGTCGCCTGGGTGGCCTGGGTCAGCTGGCGCTGGCAATTTTGGGCACAAGCGAACGCTGCCAATCACTGGAGGAACGAACGGAGACCAATGCGAACTACGTTGGCCAAAGCCACAGCGAGCGCTGCCCCTCGACAGTCTGAGTCTTCCAAGACTGCTTCAACGGCCATGATATTCGAGGCCGCTACAAAGAGTGCCAACGCAATGACCATGGCTGGGCCTGGACCGGCTGGGCCCAGGCCGCCTAGGTTGTCGGAGAATCCTCCCAAATGGCCCCACACCAATCCAACCAATGTGTACACTTTGCCAAAGGAGGAAACAAGAACTGCTTCCCAAATGCGAAAATGAGCTCGTCTGCTGAAGATCGACACCGACGGGCTCACCAGCAGAGCCACAAAACTTACGCACAACAGGTAGGTAGCTGTCTCCAAAACCGTTACAGCCAAAACAGCCCAGTCACCATGCTCTTGTCGTAGCCAGTCTGACACAACACTTTTTGCATCAGGAATTGACTTCAATTGAGACCAGCACGTATAAGTGTCCAAAATTAGGCACAAAAGGAAGAATCGCCAAGCTTCTCTGCTCAATGTCTCTCGTGAAAAGCGGTTGAAGAGAACATGTCGATAAACCTCACGACGCAAGAGCTGCATATCGATAAAAACCAGCAGAATCTCAAACTCAATGTAGTGGTCCGCCACTTCTCCACAGCTGCATTGTCTCAATCTAATATCCTGTCCAATTCTGTAAAACAAATCCGAAACTGGAGCACCGCAGTGCACACATCGAAGCCCTTTATCAGAATTTGCCATGCACTTGAACTAAGCATGTTCAGCCAGGACAGAATAGGTGCAGGCACCAGAGAACACCAAGTTTTCAGCCATGCTTGCTGCAACACTCACTGTGGCAAAAATATGAGCACAAATACATCCCTCAAACTACAAGCAAATCCTTCCAACCATTTTGGCCAAATGTGGCTCACCAAAGTCGTATAATGTCATATGATACTGTCGGACTCAATCAAGGGCTGTAGGAGCACAAGCACTGTAAGGGTCAAAAGTAATGCAGTTATACAGTATATACAAAATCATGTTTGGTGCTTCTCATCTCTGTCAGGGTCATTGTCTGCTGTTGATTGCGGTGAGCAAAGACTGCAAACACTTCCGAGCAGAGGTGATGAGAAAAATGCCCTCGCAATCACCCATCTTGGAATGTGGAATCATCCAAACCATCCCTTTTCCGGTATTCAATTGATTCGATTCATGAAATTGACACAAAGTATTGCAGTTGACCTCTATTGACAAGTTAACAATCATGACAATCCGCCAAACTTTGGGCAATGCGTTTGACACGGCAGAAAGCCTGAGGATTCACCAAGAGCCACAAGGAAATCCCTGTCATGCGACCGTTGGTCCAAGAGCCACACGGAGGGATTCTCAGGGTACCCACAGGTTCCAGGAGATCCGTCCTAGCAATGAAATCATTTCTCTACATGACATGGCAGGTTTATACAGGTTATATAACATGATTCATGACATGATCGATGACATGATTCATGACATGATGGACATGGATGCGACAAAATAATGGATGGGAGAAGCATGGCAACACCGTGCTAAATCTCTCCTCTTTCACTGGAAGGAAGCTTTCGAAGAGGTCGTGGAAGAACATCAAGCGTGGATGTGACATGCCATACTTCAGTGACAGTTCCTCGTGCATTGGGAACCATCGGGATCCATTGGCAAATGGGGTGGTTGCCATCAAAAATATGATTGGCTAAGCAGAACGCTTCAAAGTAAAGCGTCACAGACAAAAAAGGCCATATCAGCACCATCTATAATAAACAGTGGACTCATCCCCTCAACATAGCGCAGGTCGCACCATTTTTCAACCAATGTGGTCTGTTCATTTGAACTGTCCGATTCAAACTGCGCTTTGCTCCTCCATTGTGGGCTTCTGCTTCTTCTTTTCTAGGACCTCATGTACGTCCTGTGGCCAAAGAGCTGCTGAACCCGATCCGGCCGCTATTTGCGGATGACATACTTTCCAATCCAATGTCTACAGATTCTACTGGAAATGCGCGAGGAAGTACAATGAAGTTAGTCCAAGTCTGTACCTGCGAAAGGAACACACGCAGCCTGCACACCATTTTCTGCCACCTTTTGTAGTTCAGCAGTCACCTACGGAAACTCGGGCATCAGCTGGCAAATAAAAAATGATAGCCACCAGACTGGCACGAATACCAAGACATCTGAAAAAAAAAAGTACCTCAGCTACCCCTGGAAAAAGTGCAATTTGTTCTCAGGGCAAATGCAAGCACTCCCAACAAGCCGGCCTTGTGCTTGGTGAGAGAAATATCATCAGGCACTGCCAGCAGCTTTCGAAGCACCTTGGCACATCTATTCGCTCCACGTGTCTTCCTTTTGTGCCTTTCCCAACGCACAAATAGAATCAAATAGGTTCAAAAAGCATTTCTTGTCACTAACACAAACCAGTTTCAGAGGTCACAGCCTCTGCCTCCACAATGCCAGTGCGCTCCGCACTGCAGGCTGCCTGACACAAAGGCAGCAAGAAAATCAAGGAAGAAAGGGAGACAGTATGGGAGGCGGCGGTAAGGTACAACAAAGATCAATAAAGTACACACAGGTTCCGGATCCTTCGTTTTTGGGGTGCACCGGGTGCACTTGATTGCTATGCGCAACAATGTGCTTCAAGCAGAGCAGGTTTGAAATAGAGCTTCAAGCGGTGGAGCCGATTCCTGTCCCCTCATACCTATCTGATCTATCTGCGAATAAAAGATGAAGACTTGGCTGTCCTCTGTCCGTTCTGCCTGGAGGATCTTCCAAGAAGACTTGAGTGTAGAATCCCACCAGCGATCATCTGTGGCCTGAAATTAATTGCCAACGGGCAAGAGGCAGCTCCAAGGAAACCCTTTGGAAGCAAAAAGGTCTAAAAGGTCTAAAATGCCTCAGGCCCTGACTGGCATTTCTTCAGGCGGCTCCTCCTTAGATGCTTGCTTTGAGCCTGGTTTGGAGCCAGTGTCTTCCTTAGATCCTCTCTTTGAACCTGGGGCAGCGGATTCCTTGGATCCTCTCTTCGCAGCTACATCTTCTTTAGTAGATCCTCTCTTGACGAGGCCAGGATCCTCTTTGGATCCTCTCTTTGCAGACACATCTTCCTTGGACCCCCTCTTCAAAAGGCCAGCATCCTCCTTGGATCCTCTCTTTGCTACGTCTTCTTTGGATCCTCTCTTGGCGAGGCCAGGATCCTCCTTGGAGCCCTTCTTGGTGGGACTTGCTTCCCTCGGCTCTTCTTTCGATCCCTTTCCTTGCCTGCACAAATTTGCACGATGCTGTCAAGCACCCTCACTGCATGTATATGGACCCACCCCAGAAGTCAGAGTACAAGTCCCACAGTCCCACGCCTCTTTCCAGCCTTTTGCCTTGCAGCTGCTCAATGCTTGCATGTGATTTGTTGCACTTCAAAGTCAGCTGCACATTTGGATATGCTGGGATCATCAACAACTGCAACCACAACAGCCAGGACAACAACCCCCAAACCCATTGCAGCCTCTTGTCCTTTGCAGCCTTTTCTTCTTCCGCTTCTGCCTTCTCCACCTCCTCCGTCTGGTGCTGGACCTTGTTGCCTCACCAAGGATCAAGTCATGACATGAAGACCTACGACAGCTCATGGAGTTGCAGTTGCTGTCCAAACATCTGTGGCTCAAACGGAAAAGCCGACGTCCATCATCTTCCGCCTTCAGAGCGGAAATCTATATCTGCTACCTCCTTGTTGAACCCCACCAGATTGATAGACCTTGCCCTTTAACATCCAACATACATCCAACTTGTTCACAGAATCCCAAAAACGAATGTTACTGGTTCCGACTGGTTCCTTATCAAAGAAGACATGCAAGCACCAGCCAACCGGCCAAGCCTCCAAGCCCCCGAGGTTTTCCTTCTCTGAGCGAGTCTGAACAGGAAAGTGCTTCAGACACGGCAAACTGTTGGGCATTTTTGGCATTTTGCTACCTCTGCGCAATAGTTTGTTTTTTCTTCTGCACTGATGCACTGCACCTCAAGCCCGAGCAAGTTCATCAACTCTGCCAACAGGAGAACGTGGGGACCATGTGGTGCAACCTGAAAGTGCGATCGGAGTTCATAGCATAAACAAATGCAAGACTCCCAACCCCTACAATTCGCACTGCGAAAAGAAGTGAAGTTGCCTGGGACGCGTATTCTGGATCAGTCGGCTTTAAGAACTCACCCGTCAGAGTTTTGCCATCCAGAATGCTTTTAAGCGCCTGGAACAAAGCACGGAGGTGAAAATCAAGTTGGTGGATGCTTGCATGCAAGTGAAGTATGCATGTGTACACTTTTACAAAGCATGGTCCGACAGCCACCCAAAAAAGAGACTCAAGTAAAGGGTACAGCAAGAGCCATGGTTCACAGCAAACGGAAGCCTCATCTTGACTGAGTTTTGGGTAAAGCGCTGAAAAGGCATTATTCAGCCTGAGGAGAAAGCAACGCAAGTCCCAAAGTAGTAAATGATTCAAGACATTCCTTGCCAGCACACTGTACTTTCACAGGCCTTTTCTCAACAGCCTTGCTAACCAGTATGACAGCTTTCAGGTTGAGACTTTCGAATTGCTTTCGCTTCCTTTTGCCTTCGCTCTTCTTCCCGTCTTGCAGCCTGAGTTTCACTGTTTTGCCAGTTCAGCTTCTGGAGGAGCGGCCAGAAGTGACAGGTTTTTGCATTTGCAAAATGCAACCCAAACAGCTCCAATCGTCACGACAGCACCTCCAGTGCTCTCACCTGCTCTTCCTCTCTGAGTTTTTGCAAGCGTCTACCTTGGGAGCATATGAAAGGGAGCCATGCTTAAAAGAATATGTGGGAAGTCTTTGAGCAAAGCTGCACACCAAATGCTACCAAGACTGGACCAAGCAGGCTCCCCCACCCTCTTGAATGGTCGACAGGAGAATGCCATCATGCTTCACAATCTGGAGAGACGAGCAGCAGTAGCAATGTCATTGCAAGATTTGGACCGTTCAAGTAACATCAAGTAACTGGGTGCGCACCACATTCGCCATCTTAAACCAGAACTGATCAAAGCTGACTGCATCTCCTGCAAGGCCATGAGATCAGAGTGACAGATCTTGGCGTCAGGTGTTTCCTTCACACGCAACAGCGAACTACGGACCAAAAGTGCCAACGGAGCACCTCCAAGGGAACCTCGTCTATGAGTAGCTCTGCTTGGACCACCCTGAGAAAACGAAGCTCCCCAGGTCTAGCAAAGAGTGAACAGGTTGAGCAAAGCTTGTGCAAAGCTTGACCAAAGGCAGCAAATCTCGCAAGAAAAGTTCGAAGTATCTGATAGGTGAAGGGAGGTAAAAGAGAATATCACCAAGCCTTCAGAACCTCCTGCTGAACCATCTGGCTGTCCTGCGCTCACAACTGGCTCCACCTTGGATCTCTTCAAAATCAAACCATCGCCCCGTCCCCACCTTCAGAGCGCCCTTCAAGTGGAAGATATCATCCACTGCTTCCAGGATTCTCGTCAGGCTGTTCCTGCAACAGAGCCATGCCATGCTTCCCCCATATGGGACGGGTGGAGGCCTGCCCGATATGAAAACCGTCCTGCCAACTATACCGTTCTGCATGAAGCCATTGAAAACCTGCACGATTTGGGTCTGCAAATAGGGTTCGGCTGAAATCTAGTGGTCTATCATTGGAGCAACTCAAGCTGAAACCTCCAGGAACTTTGGCTTGGAGCGTAAGAGTTCTCTCCTTCCACGTTCCTGCAGACAAAGGCTGCTCATCTTGCGAAGTCATATCTTGTCATCGTTGGAAAGTCTTACACCAAGCCACAAGATTGAAAGACCTTAAAAACCCCTAGGAAATTTGATCGCAAGGTCTGTACTGCACGTTGCATCTTCGCGGCATGGCACCCAGTTGCACCTGATCGGCCCAGTCATGGAAGTTCCTGTAAAGGGCCATGCGTCTTGGAGTGCTCGCCACCCTGCCACATGGCGTGCATGGCACCGAACCAATGGCATGGCTTCAGGTGGGCCAGGTGGCCTTGGATGCCTCCGAAGCAGCTGCTGTGCCAGCCTTGAAACGTCAAGTATGGCAACACTCAATCGAGTCCACTGCCAACAGCAGATTCAAGTCCCCTGCCAGGTGATAGGATTGAAGCGAGCTCTAACCTGGCTTCAATGTTTCACCAGATTCAAACGCTTCGATATCTTTCATGGCAGAGGTGTCTGCACGATAAATGTGCAGCTTTCCACCCTAGCATCAAGCTTGTCACCCTGCAGCTTCATTCGCGACACTTGTCGTCCAAGTGCGTCGAGAGCCTCGCCAATAGATTTGGTTTTTCTTGAGAAGTGCCAGTGTTGCAAAGAAGGTGACATACCTTGTGATGCGCAAGACAAAGCCTTTCTAGCACGATGTTGCGAAGGTCGCGATGCATAAACATTTTCTGACACATTTCGTGAAGTGTGCAAGCAATGGCCTGCGCTAGAACTGGCATCAGCGACTCGGACAGGTAGACATCAAAGTCTGGAAACCTCTCTGCATCCGAAAATCCGCGACATTCTGCGACCCCTCACAACTCCCCGTGCCCAGAACAGCTGCCACCCATGCAGCACATCTCCCGCCTACGAGCTACCATGGAAGGCCTCCGTCGAAAGCCTGGCTGTACATCGGGTTGGATCTTGGAAGAATCTTTGAGCTCTGTTCATCGTTGAATATCGTTGAATATCGTTGATGTGTTACAATCTTTGTGATTCATCAACTGTTTGTGATTTGGTACAGGAATGCACTGACATAGTAAGATTCAGCCAGGAGTCACCAACGAAGTTCATCCAAAAATGATCACAATGGTCCGCCTGTTCCAACTGCCGGAGCCTTGTTTCCGCCTCGATGCTGTAAAGGTAAAAAGCTTTGCAGCCATGGCATGGCACAGCCGGCACAGCACAAAGGGGCCTATCGATAGTCTCGCCGACCCTCTTTGTCCTGCCATTTGGGTGGAACAAGACACAGCCGTTTTTAACGGAGTCAATGATGCCAATCCAAAGCGTTGAACGTTGAACATCAAATCTGCCTTCTTGCTCAGTACCATCAGGATTGCGAGGTACAAGCTTGTGGGCACTATCACTGCTCAGCCTGAGCCACGGTCTCAGGGTTTCTAGGAGGACTTAAGCTCCTCCTGAAGAGTCTACTGCATGCGATGAGCACAGAAGTTTTTTTCATGCTTGCACTCCTCCTGAGCGAAGCCATAGAGAAAAGCGAATTCCGTTGGATTCAACGGTTCAAAGGTTCAAGCGTTCAACGGTTCTGCTCAACGCAAACATCTTGGAAGCTCTGTTCGGTCGAGCACTTCTCATCACTCAAAGATGGCTCTGCAGAGCTTGTCAAAGTTTGGATTGTCTCAACTCACCAGCAGATGGCACTGATGGCAAGCTGTCAAATTCTGGAACTGACTTTTGCACCATCGATGCCGTTGCCATAGCTAGATCCGCTCCCTGCAGCATGCCCATGTTCCAGGTGATGGCATACTCCAGACTGTCCGAGACAGAATGGTCCCTGGAATAGTTCAAAAATTCCTTGATCCCCAGTGTAGCCACAGGGCTCTTAGACGCGATGGTTTTGGCTAGGCTGAGGGCCTCTGCCATCATGGCCTCTTTAGCAGTAAAGCTGCGGGAGACCAAGCCATGCTGGAAGGCTTCATTCGCCAGCATTTTGCGACCCGAAAGGGCAAGCTCTCTGACCAAACTCCTGAGGTTGAAACACAAATGACACCAAAATCAGCCCATCAATATCTGAACCCAAAATAAGTAACAGAGGGCAACCCTAAGGCAAAAACAGAAGTAAAGACGTTCAAAAGAGGGTACTGCAACCCAGGGCCAGACCGAACCAGCAGCCACTGACGCGAAAACAAATCAGGCACCTGCCAAAATGTTTGGAAACGAAGATAAACATCATAGTTTAGAGCTTGATAACTTCCTTTCATCTCCTTTCTACATCCCATGTTCAACAAATTCGTTCATGAAGTGACCTGTAGTCGGAGGCAACACAAACCAAAGAAAAATACAAGCACCATCAAGATTCTGGTTGCCAATGATCTTGGGAAGCCGCTGCAAGCCCCCAACATCAGATGCAAGACCAAGGTTGACCTCGGCCAGTTGAAAGGTCGTGTCCTCTGTGCAGAAGCGAATGTCACAGGCAGATACCATCTCCAGTGCGGCTCCCAGACAAGCACCATGCATGCAGGCAATCACTGCCTTCCCACAAATCTCCTGAGTGACTGCTTTGCAACGTCTCCGCAAGCTCAACCGGTCTCTGTATCGAACAGCTCAAAAATGCGCCTTGTCACAGCTTGTCAACCTTTCTACCTGCAAGAAACCAAAAAAAAAACTTGCCCAGTCGACATGTCAGTTTCAATCGATGTGAAAGCATCCTGCCAAGCTTTCCCAAAATGGCGGATCTTTAGAGCTCTTCGAGGAACATCTTGAGCCTTGGCAGCCATGGCACAGTGCCAAATGCACAGCATAATTGTGCGTTCTGTAGCAGAGCAATGGCATGTCGTGGCTGTCGTGGCTGTCGTGGCTGTCGTGGCATGCACCAAATCTCTCTAAGGAACTGAATCACTGCCGAAGATACTCATCGCAGCTTGTAGGTCCAAACCAGCACAAAAGAGACGACCAGCTCCTGAATCTCATGGATCGATCAATGATCAAAGATGATGGGAGCCAGGGAATCCGGAAATGGAACCTGGAGCCATATCTGTTAAAGCACCCACCAATGGTCACCCATAGATTTAAAAGAACGTAATTGATCTTCGTGATAATAATAGTGCGTAACAGCAAGGCCAGGCAAGCAGAAGCCAATTCCTACCATGAATTGCTACATCAAAGTCTACTGTTGTTTAATGGCCAAATGCCTTGAACAATCAATACACAATCTAAACGCAAACCATTGCCTTTTAACCAGGCACAAAGAAACCACCAAACACAATGACCCTGCAGCTTCAACCACCAACTTTTAAGGGTCTACGTCTGGTCATGTGCTATTCTAACGACCTGAAACGTCGTTTTTTTCGACAGACATACTTTACTTTCACAGGAAAATACATGCGAATCCGCATTACACTTAATATAAAAGCAAAATCACCAGCCATATCCACTGCATAGACACCGGAGAGCAGAACCGCTCGTGCTTCGGCATGACTTCTGATGATGTCAAAGCAGGCCTTGACTTCCTGGCCATAGGTTCCACCCTCTCACACTGGTTGAGCACCCTGTACATCCTGCACCAACAACTCTTACAGTTACAACGCAAAATTTGGTTTTCCCAACGGCGCCTGCCAGCAAAGGATGTCCATAGCATTCAATTTGTCAGGACGATTGAGCTCAACGTGTAGCACATGAGGAGCAGGGCTAAAGACGCGCAACCTTACAATGCAGGGAATGTCATAAAATCATGTTGGTGATTGAATGAACTTGTGTTGGTTCTACATTTGAGAGCAACTGACGAAGGACATAGAAGGACACTGGCAAAAAACGTTTCATGAAATCTACACTCAACGCATCCTGCCTCTGCAAATTCTCGAAACCCGGTGCAACCGACATGTTTTGGCCAATGTGTATCCACCTTTTGCATTCACTACTTACCACCAAAATTTGGTTCGTTCAATGACAAGGTATGCATTTGAACAGAGGTATCATTGATCTGCTGGAAATTGCATTGGCTGCAAATCATCATGCTGGTTCACATCGTCCACAATGCATTGTGTTTCGATCTCTTTGGATTTTTTACTGGCAAATTTTTGATGGACAAATCCGCGCTGCAGTCATGCACGAACCAACAAATGAATTCATTAAAAACTGGTGCAATCTGTTTGCCTCTTGATCTGTCCACAGTGCCAGTGTTGACTTGAGGTTGCGGCTTTTGCGAAAAGAAACTCTTGTCCAAGCTGAGGCCTTGCAAAATAGCTGCCACCTGCAAAGCCATTCAACGCAACTTGCGCAGCGGCACAACACAAACCACAGCCTCGTCCCTGACACGGTTGGAATTTTCCAGGTCCGACATGATGCAAGGGTGTCCATTCACAACGCTGCAAGAAACTGGCACTTGCATTCATACGCATCGTATCTCGTGAATTTGTTCAAATTGTTGCATGAGCATTCGTAACTAAAACTTTGTCCACATGTTTTTCATTTATTAAAGGCGTGGCCTTGCGAACCCAAAAGCAACCGGAACGGCACATCCAACAATATTTTCGCAAAAAAAATCGTGCATGCACTCCATGGATGATTGAAACTAACCAATTCAATCCAACCGCTGACTTGTCCCAACAGTTATCCGCAATTTGAATTCCTTGCAGTCCTGTTCCATGTTTTCCAAGACAAACGAACACATCACCTTCAAACTGCGACCACGACAAGAATCAACTGTGTTCTGTTTTTTCGATTCCCACGGGGACCTTGCCTTGTGCCCGACACTCAAATGCGAAACAAGTTAGGTATGAACAACCATTGCATTTTTTTTAAGCGCCCCTGTGGGATAGGTTTACCTTTCCGGTCGTGTCCGTGGATTTCCCTGCGGCATTTGATCCCAGCCATGTTGCAGGCCCCAACCTTCATTCTCAATCACAAATGGAACCAATGCTGTTCATTTCCAAAATGTGTTTTGGAAAATGGACACATAATCTGTGATTCATAAATTTTGGTTGCACAACGTGTAACCAGGAAAATTGCGGTTATTGATTTCATTTGTGGGTCCAAATTACAAAATGTGGCGCATCGATTTCGTGACATTTGTTTTTGTGAGTAATGTCATCCTTGAAAAGTTAAATGTTGTTGGTTAAATGTGGGGTTACCCCTCACCAGCGATAAATTTGTATTCGAACTCGTCACCCCGCATTAAAGTAAAGCAGGGGTCTGATGCTAGGTTCGTTGAGCCACTTTTGCCATCACCATCTTCATCCCCACATCCCACATCATCGGTTTCATGGTACATTTCTTCTACATATTTTTGATGTTTTTTGGTTCACACGTCTTGATCAAACATTGCGCACCTACACTGTTCAAATTGTAGTTTTCTGTGGTTGCAAGTGTTTACTGGAAATATGTTTGTCCTTTTTTTTTGTTCAATGTCATTTTTTGCATTTTTTCACGCCCTTTTCAAACTTCCCGAACAGTGTAGCCACACTTGGGACTCTTACGGTAATAGTTAAGGCCTGACATTGGTGACCGTTACAACACAAAAGATTTTTTGTGAGATGTCCATATGCATTTCGACTGTGCAAGCTTGCACAAACCCGCGTTTTTTCATCCGCGTGGCAGGCGTGGCAATTTTTGGACGTCGCTAAAACGTTGGCAGGCGCGGGTCAAATGCGAGGCGGTTTCGGAAGTAAACTTTTCGTAGCAAGCACAGTGTTTGGTGAAATTCACAGTATGGTTTCCACTGCTTCAACTTCCAAATTCAAAATGCCCAAACCTATCAGCATCAACACAAGGTAGCTGCTGCAATTCAGGAGCGCTGTTTTATGCGTGGTACGATGAACTTATAGAACCAGCGGGTCCATTATGTGCAGAAACGGAGTGGATCAACCTGTACCCCCAAACAACTGTCAAATACAATCCCAGAGTCCGGGGCTTGTAAACACTTAAAAAAAGAAGGGGCGGGGAGTCCAACAGCAACCTCCAGAACCACAGAACGGTGCAGCATAGGGAATGGTGGTGGGAACACAAAAACGAAGTTGGAAGCTCGGGTCCAATATTGGAACAATCATGTACAAGTACATGCAATCGAGGGGCGAGGCCACGCCTCGGACGCAAGACGTATTGGCACAAGGACAAAGCGATGCTCATAGGGACTCGAAACTATATAATACTATTGTTGAAGTCCCAGCAAGGCTGAACTTGAAGTAGTTGGTGCCTGTGCTGCCTCGCTAGAATTTTAAGCCGCAGCTGGCGCAAAGGGACGGCCTCAAGGCAAGCCTCGAGGCTTCAAGGTTATGGAAATTGCAGCAAACCCAAAAAAAATTATAGGATGAAACAAAGTTGGAGGCAGGCCTCAATGCAAGTCTTGAACTCCAGTGTCGCGAGACCTGGAAATTAGAACAAAACACGTCACGGCAGGCTTCGAGGCAGGCCTCGAGGGCCTCAAGGCTATGGAAATTGGAGCAAAATTAAAGGACCGGGTAACCCCACATGTTACCAACTTCTTTAGACTTAGACTGACCATAGAAGAGCAAGAAGGGAAGAGGAAGTATAAGAGTGATGGAGCGGTGATGGTGGGTGAGTTTGTGTGTATGTATGTATGTATGTATGTATGTATGTTCATGTACAGTGAGTGAGTGAGTGAGTGAGTGAGAGTGTGAGTGAGTGATGTGATTGTGGTGTGTGTGAGTGAGGGATGTGAGAGTGAGTGAAGTGAGTGAAGTGAAGTGAAGTGAAGTGAAGTGAAGTGAAGTGAAGTGAAGTGAAGTGAAGTGAGTGAGTGGGTGAGCGAGGGAGCGAGGGAGCGAGGGAGCGAGGGAGCGAGTGAGTGAGTGAGTGAGTGAGTGAGTGAGTGAGTGAGTGAGTGAGTGAGTGAGTGAGTGAGTGAGTGAGTGAGTGAGTGAGTGAGTGAGTGAGAGTGTGAGTGAGTGATGTGAGTGTGGTGTGTGTGAGTGAGGGATGTGAGAGTGAGTGAAGTGAAGTGAAGTGAAGTGAAATAGTGAGTGCGGTAGGTGAGGTAGGTGAGGTAGGTGAGGTAGGTGAGGTAGGTGAGGTAGGTGAGTGAGTGAGTGAGTGAGTGAGTGAGTGAGTGAGTGAGTGAGTGAGTGAATGTGAGTGAGTGAATGTGAGTGAGTGAATGTGAGTGAATGTGAGTGAGTGTGAGTGAGTGTGAGTGAGTGTGAGTGAGTGTGAGTGAGTGTGAGTGAGTGTGAAGCCTCCCATTAACGTCCCCACCACCGGCCAACGTGGTGTCGGCTCGACCGAAGCCGAACCGTTTGGTAAGGACGAAGGCATCGACCTCAGTGAAGAAACAGGACTGAAGATGAACCTGTTATTTTCCTTCCATCGGAAATGCCCGGAACTCAACCTACCGGAATCAGAAAGCATCTTCAATAGTGATGTAAATGACGTACAGACCTCACGGTGACCCCGGCTTCCAAGTCCGTTGAAAGCAAAATTCTAAGAAAAAAAACTCATCATCAAAACTCCCGGAACTGGAGCTGCAGCCCAGAGGCAAGAGCCTGCCTTGGAGTAGTTGCTCACGGAGGTGCTGAGTCAGGCGACGAACCGACCTGCCCTCCGCCAAGGTGGGGGAACTATCCTATCCCCTGGAGTATTATAGGAGCGGGCTATATTTACATACATATTTTTTAACAGTGTAAGCAAATCGCTAAGGCTTTCAGATCGAAATATGCCATACATATGCACTACATCACAATTCGTGATATGCACTACATCACAATACGTGATTCGACGATATGCACTACATCACAATACGTGACCAAGTGTGCAATGTCATGGCGAGCCTAACTAAAACTTTTGTCAGTCCCGAGATTGTCCTGCAACAGCTTGAAGCGATCACTGCTTGCAGCAGCTGAACCAAAGCGCGCACGGGGACAACCTGGTCGTCCGTCGTGTTTTGGACGGAGGTGGATACCCTCGCAGACAGATAGCCAGTCACACGTCTCGTGCGTGTACATGTTGAGTTTGTCTGCTGACAGGTGGGAACCACATGACACCACCGCCAGCCACTGTAACGCGTCCATCTGTTTCGCCTAGGCAGTGGCGAGATGTTTCTCCTGGCTTCAAAACAGCAAGGTAGCTGTAGTTCTCCTTGCTCACCCTTTTCTTCACACATCTGTGATGACCTTGGTGATCGCCGTGATGTCCTTCTCCAGGAAATAGCTAGTTACTTGCTTCTTCAAAATGACCTCGTCAACCATCAATTTGAGGCCACTCGATCAATCCCAAAAAAGGTCAATGGACCATCTCAAAGGGGATCACTTTGAAGAAGCAACAGAAAATAGTTTTTGCTTTTCTTTTACTTAGAAAAGTCCGTCCGTCCAGAGAGAGGCCTATCTGCCCACAACAAGCGATCGGGGGGAACCGGGGTTACAGGCCAAAGGTTATCATAGATTCAATTGGGAGGAAGTGACAATAGATGTACCGTGGCTGATGGCAAGGCCATGGTACACCATCACTTCCTTTTAAAATCATAAGACCTGAGGAGGAGCCTGGACACGTATACCTTGTATCGTGTGTGCATGTGTCGAGGGGTAAGGTGGCGAAGTCCCATTTCCATGCGAACCAGAAAGAAGGACAACGATGCGACGCGAAACCAACGTGTATCGGTATGTAATGACGGGCGTGTGCTTTGGGGCCCCCCAACCAAGGTGGTTTGCCATCTCCCCAAAAAATATAAACGGGCGGACCTGGCAGGAGGCGGAGGTCGGTGGGCTGGGGCAAACTCAGTGCTATGATATCAAATAATGGGACAAAGTCAGTACCACGATCTCATATAATGGGGTTGCCCTGATGCTCCCTTCCATAATCTTGCTGGGATTAGGGTCCTGGGTCCTGACGGTACCTTGCACTGAGACTCTTATCCTAGGCTGTACCCATCTTTTGGTTATAAACTCTAATCGCATGACTGCAACAAGATGTGGCAGCAGCCTATCGCTCTCTTCCCCCCACCAGTGCCCGGGGCCCTGGCCTGACGAAAACGCAGATGCAAAGAAGCATCACAGACCTGCAAAACTTGCATGGTCGGTCCTGGGTCCTGACGGTACCTTGCACTGAGACTCTTATCCTAGGCTGTACCCATCTTTTGGTTATAAACTCTAATCGCATGACTGCAACAAGATGTGGCAGCAGCCTATCGCTCTCTTCCCCCCACCAGTGCCCGGGGCCCTGGCCTGACGAAAACGCAGATGCAAAGAAGCATCACAGACCTGCCAAACTTTCATGGTCGGTCGGTGGAGCGCATGGAAAGTGAGTCACGGTGAGTGAGAGTGAGTGAGAGTGAGCCAAACCAGATTGATGTCAGTGAGGAAGAGTGAGCCAAACCAGATTGATGTCTACAATCTCGACAGAGAA